ACTAAGTCCATTTGGTGAATCTAAACTCCATATGTATACTAATAGCCATTGAATAGAGCCGGTAGCTAACTCTTGCCTCTATCATTAAATCAATAAAACAAGGGTATATTATTCTGTCCGTTGCATTATAAAAAAAAAAGCAAAAAAAAAAAATGCCTAGTGTGGGAGATGTTTAAAAAAAAAAAAAGTATTTATCTATATCATCTAAGCTACATATGCACATCATCAGAGCTTGTACTATGGGCACTAGACAACTGATATAAATACATATATACTTTTTTGTAAATACATACATTTTATACATAGAAACACCCAGACCAATTCAAACATTAAATGTTCATGCACACAAATGTTTGACTTGAGCGGGAATTGAACCCGCGACCTATGTATAGATAGGATGTATGTTCCGATGTGTTCACTTTTAAAGGTATTTCTAACGCGCACATTATGAAGTTAGAGGTCCCAGTGATTACCCGCTTGACTCTATTAACATGCTCACTCTACGGAACTCGTTTATACTATAATAGTAATCTTATAAATGTCATAGAGCAACACAGGCCATTGGCGCGGCGGACCGGAGTGCTCTATGAAATGTGTTATTTGATTATCTGGCTGCGCCGATCTTAGGATTCAGGAAGGCGATTTACAATCTTTTATTAAAAGAGGATATACATAAATATAGGTATTAATGATTGTTGTCTGTTTCTGTCTATCAACCTATCATCTATAGTAGTATTATCAAGCCCTGTAGCAGAAACTGCAATGAACACTTTATAAAGATGAATCATGGTGAACTCGTAGAAACGTTGTTGGTTGTCACCCTAAATGTTCACCTCGTTCAAACTTAAATTGGACCTGTCGGTCGACTGATACCATAATTGCGCTTACCATAAATCAATACCCTCACGTATGACTATTATTATTAAAAAAAAGTGCTTTCAGTTACTAGTAAGTACTTTGTATAAAGTGATGACGACTACATTCCAGGTTTTCAAAATATTTAGTAGTTTAATATTTAGTTTTAACATTTTAATTTTATACAAATAATTATTTACTGTGTGGTTTTAATTAAACTCACGATTTCTTGAAACATCCCATTCATCACTGTCTAATGTCAAAGCTTGGCTGGCCCGCGCCGGCGCCAAGAGGTCGTATGACACGGTTTGCCGTGTATACCTACTTATAGAAAAACCTATTATTTTTAACTTTTTGCACAAGTACATGCATCGGCGGACTTAATGCCTAAGGCATTCTCTGCCAGTCGACCGATTGGAAGGTGCTGAGAAAGAATGAGGTAGGTGCATTTATGGTAGGCTAATAAACGATAGAGGTTTTGTTAAATATTATATAGTCAACCATTAATTATTTCATATGTATGTGTTTAATATTGTCGCATTTAACAATATTTACTTATTTACCACGCATCTACGTCCAAAGAAAGAAAGAAAAATTATTTATTCCATAAAACAGAATACAAAACATAAAAGGTTATCCTTTTCTTCCCTCCTGAATGCCATCTTCAAATATTCTATGTCCATATTTACTCTATGTTTAAGGCTCATACAATATATACATTTATACACTTGAAAAACATAACTGCCAAGCGCAGTCGCATGCATCCTGCCCGCTTTTTCTGCCATTTCACACATTGGTGTAAAAGTTGCAACCAACCATACCCACCAAGTAGGGTGTATTGCCACCGTTTTGTAATATGAACTGTCCTTAATTACTGTACTTCCTTTGTTGTCGTAGACCAGGAAATGGTAATAAATAGAATCGGTCGAATTACAATCGATCGTCACACACTTTTACAATATCGCAGACGATATACAACGATGATTGTTTTGGAAAAGTGTTTGTAAATCATCACAGAATAGATATTCTTAAAATGTAGCGCATATGTCACTGCCTTGTTCATATTTATATTTATTTATTAGAGTTTTATAATAATTTACAATCATATGAATGGTTGAGGTCGAGCCCAGTTGATGTCCCAGTCATAATGAGCCTCTCAAATAACAAGGCGAACGTAATCCCAGCCTCTTCGAGCTAAAGATTTGCGGTCTATCGCATATAATATAATGTATAGCAAAAACATAAATAAATTATAGTTTAAAAAAACTAAGAGACGCTTTTTCTGTAAGTTCAAAAAGAAAAATTATCATAAAAATGCTTCGGGTGCTAGATCACAATTGTTGTAAAAATATTTTATTGACAGATATTTGTATAAATGAAGTTATTAGCTTTAGTTAGCTTTTTTACGATAAAATGATTTTTCTTTTTGAACTTATCAAAAGTTCGGCTACTTACAAAAGCGTGTTTTCAAATTTCTTTTAAATAATAATAATAATATCTTTACACAGCTCACATACGGCAGTTTAGTCCCAAAGTAGGCAGAGCCTGTATTATGGTAATTAATCTGCTGATAAACATACTTATATATATCTAATTACATACATAAATTACACCCAGACACAGAACAAATGATCGTGCTCATCACTCAATATTTGTCCTGGGTAGTAATAGAACCCACGACCTCCGGCTGAGCAGTCACGGTCTAACTAACTAACCACTAGATCAACAGGCCCGTCACTCGTATTACTCGTCATCCGTCAAATTATAATTTATTTCTACTTTTTTAGTCATTAATTATGATTATTTTCTTATTAAGACTAAAAAAGTACCAAGTAAGTAAGTCAATTATGCTTCAGCACACGCATCTTAGTACGTTTCAAAAGATACTACCGCATTTTTAGGTATGGAAAAAACCGTTAAACCTGAAGATAGGATCAGGATAATCGGCCAAATTTATACAATGATTGTATCGTCATAGGTTCTTGATAAGTGTGCGAAGATTAAATTTGATTCGGCGTTTAAAAGTAGGTCATAAACACGTTCGAAGATTCTGTCTGTACATACATATATAACAAGCTAATAAAAAATCGTCCGCGTGGTGACGGATTAAGAATACAGAGTGTCACCACCCCTATTCATCCCGTGGGTGTCGTAAGAGATGACTAAGGGAGCAAACTTCACAGGACAACAGCATTTCAAAGAGAAGGAAAACTTGAAACAATCCCTATTCCAACGCCTCTGCCCAGCTTGGTGTAGTAGGCCTTAACCTCCTTTCTAAGGTTCAGCAGTGGCCTAATAAAGGCTGTGGATGATGATGGTCGATGAGGCTAATAAAAGCTCTTTAAAAAGGAAATAAAGTTTTCGTTAACAATCTCCTGACTTTATCATAAGGCTCACTCAGAGTTGTTGGACTTGTCTATTCTGAAGACTATCCGCCCCCATGTCCGTGTGGTGACGGATTAAGAAGTCCGTGTGGTGACGGATTAAGAATACAAATTGTCACCACCCCAATTCATCCCGTGGGTGTCGTAAGAGCCGACTAATTGAGCAAACTAAGCAGGACAACAGCACTGCAAAGAGAAGGAAAACTTGAGACAAACCCTATGCCAACCCGTCTGGCCAGCGTGGTATAGTAGGCCAAAACCTCCTTTCTAAGGAGAGGCCTATGTCCAGCAGTGGACTAGTATAGGCTGTTGATGATGATTGATGATCCGCCCCATTCGTAATAAAAGTATGGATTATCATCCAAACTACATATCCTAATACATAATTTCATTTCGATATGATATATAGAAGTATTAACACAGCTAGGTGAGTTAGTTGGCTAATAAATGTTAAAACTTATATTGCAAAAGTGTAATATTTATTGCTTGTATGTTAATTCATTATGTGTAGGTTCATGTTACGGCAGATCACGACAGTGCATCACCATCATTATTAAAACATGTTAGCATTGAAGTAAATTACTTATGAGGCGTGTCTAGTAGTAATGGGCATTAATGCTAATTAGATTTATGCATAATACATGCTAATGCTAATATTATTGACTGATATTGCAATTTCGTTCGAGAAATAATGCAATACACACTTTCTTCGCGATAGGCTAACCTTCGTCAATTCGTCACTTAACACTATCTATTTTAAAAAAATCCCTATCTATTCACAAAATACCTATTTACTACGCACACGTCACACTCTTCAAAACTTCAAATATCTATGCCTACCCTATAATTAAACTTCTTATTAATAAATACCTACTATATAGGTACCAATTCTTTGAACAACTATAAACAATTTGACAAAACACTACGAGAAAACAAAGGCATTCTAAACAATACTAAAACCTCCCGGTCACTTGTAAATGTTAAAAATTCAATGAATGATATTAAAAACATATTTATGGAATAAACAATCCTAAATACGTTAATTTCTTTAAAAATAGACTATAAAATCCTTTGCCCTCTCAATCAATCGCGCCGCGCTCGGTCGACATTCCTCGAAATTTAGCATTAGGAGTTGTATTAATATTTTAGCACGACGATTAAATTAAATTTAGTCGTCGCGTTGATGAGAATGAAAAAGCACACGCTGTGTGAATGTGAGGCATTAACGAATGAAGCGACGAAATTTCGTATACGTTTTAATTCATACTTTCACGACTACAATTAATTTTGCTAACTGCTAATTAAGAATTCACAGTTAAATATGAGTGTGAATACTAATTATTAAATCATGGTTGCCTAGTCCTTGTGACATTGAAGGAATTGCGATAAAATTTTAAAGTTTAAGGTTCAATACTGTTATTAAATACAAATTATTTTTAAATGTATGCTTGGACCAGGTATTGTATAATGCCTCTTTTGTATTGCATAATAATATCAAACGCTATAAAAAATGGCCGAAATGAAGGTCTCCCATAATTTGTCGCCTGTTAAAATCTGTTAAAACCGACCCTGAAATATGTAAAACCTATTACATGCATGTTTCTGTCAAGTCAACATTATTGTTGTACTGTTTTTAAAATAAATCGAACTTTATTTCAGTTTTTTTTTATTCTATGTTTTTTCTATACTTTTATTAATTGCAATGCGAACCGCGCTTACATTCCGACCCCGTAATATTGATAATATGTAGTGCGTGAACAGGTGCCGCCCTTGCTGTGCGCGTCAGGGGGCAGCTCCGTGGAGTGCTCCTCCAGCGAGGACAGCGTGGCCGGGCCCTACGCCAGCGAGCACAGCGAACCTTACACGAGCCGGCCTGATGAGGGTTACGAGGTGAGCAGATAGCCCCGAATATGGACTGTCATTTTCTTGTATCTTTTTTTAATTAGGTAAAAGACTGTTAATGAAAAAAAGTATTTAAGTATTCTATCAGTCAATCCAGCTTTCATTGTACTGCTGATTAGTTTGAGCCGTCTAACGCGAGACTGTTAATGTGTTGTGTATTATTATTAGTGACAAAGACCTAGTCTTTAAGAATTTGATACAAAGCGTACTCAATTCACGCTTTACATATTTGCAGACCGCAAGTATGGTGCAATGGTGGAAGGGGCCTTGCAACTGAACTTTGTGGGCTCAATTCCCACTCGTAATACAAATCTGTTTGATTCTCGAATAATTTGTAATAAGTGTATTATTTGTGTCCGATGTTTGTGAAGTCCCCCGTGATACAGAAATCATTTATAGTGCGGGAGTAATAGATCGTAGGAGTAGGAAAATAAATCATTCTCGAGTCTAAGTTTAATATCTCGACTTATGAAAACAAATTCCAAAGAAGTTAGGTCATAATTAGAGTTCCGTGCTCCAAAAGGAAAAAAACGGTACCCTTATACTCGTAGGATCACTTTGTTTTCCGTATGTCTGTATATCAAGCCCCTTAATCTCAGCAATGCGTGGTGGTATCGAGTTGAAATTAAAAATATACACTCAAGTCTACAATCCCTTGAAGCTGTAAAATAATCAAACTTCTAAGTTAACGAAAAAAAGTTTATGCCGCAAAACGCATATTTCGATACTCTCCTACCTTCCAGTTGATCTAAAACTATGAAATTTGGCAAGTAACATGGTCTTATACTTCAAGTATAATAAAATCTGAAAAGTATATATTTGTAATTAAATCATAAAAGACCTATTACTAAGCGTTCCATGGATTCACCGTATGGTTGCCGGGTCCATCGCGTGATAGATGGGGGCAACACATGCGACTTCAACAGCGCCTGGGACTTGCGCCCCAGGTAATGCCGCTTTGGATATTCGTACAAGAAAAGAGCTTACTGAAGCTCTTGGCAATCCAAGGTCTTTAAGCAGATTATGGAGGGATTTAGCTGGTATACCCCTCGCACCCACTTCCACAGCATACAACGCAACGACATAACCATTTTTTGTTTTTTTCATTGGTTAAGTGAAAGTCTTTTTAAAGTGTGGTCTTTATCGATGTTCTTTTTCACGGCACCGTGAGTTCTACTAGTACTACACGCTAAATTGAAATTGCATAAAGAAATATGGTTGGTCTGAACGCCAAGGCAAAGATATCCTCCGGTATTCTGTAATGATTTTCATACGTGTCCACTAATAATGTCCAGTCACTGGCAGTACATATAATTAAGATTGGCTTTTGTGGAGTCTTTTTTGTTGAGCCTTCCTTTACAAACGCGATGTTTGTGTTCTTATGTTTGTTGTTATTCCTTTTTTCGCTCTCGCCAGCGATAAACTTATATCTTCGCGTATGATTTGTAATACCCTATCATGGCGACGTGTATCTTTATTATCGTATAGTATCTTTATTTAAGTACGTAATCAATCATCAATGTACAAATTCACTTATAACACAATAATAGAAGTAATTATAGGTTTTGGCAACTGAATTTCGGGCAAAGCTTGAAAGAAACTGTGGGACTCGATCCCTGAACTATTAATTACATGTACCTACAAATTTGTACGGAACCCTCAGTGGGCGAGTCCAACTCGCACTTGTCCGGATTTTTTTTTAAGAGTCAAAATCTATATTAAATTTATACCACAAAGTTTAGTGTTGTTGTTACTGGTCGTTCTTTCACAAGCTGTTATGTAATGATTTGCCTTATGTGATATGATGAACGTTTGGCGTTTAGTTTTAAAACGTAATAATAATATTAAATGCGAAAATAAAAACAAATCTTATTTCTAAACGTCTTCAAAAAAGGGAAACTTTCAATTCGATTGTATATTTTTTTATTTATGTTACGCAATATTGACGCCATTTTTGAATCGATTTCAATTATTCTTTTTTTATCTTAAGTAATAAGAATAATAATATTCTACCACATTCACACAACGCCATCTAGTCCCAAACTAAGCAGAGCTTGTACTATGGGTACTAGACAACTGATATAAATACATATATACTTTTTTTTTGTAAATACATACATATTATACATAGAAACACCCAGACCAAATCAAACATCAAATGTTCATGCACACAAATGTTTGACTTGAGCGGGAATCGAACCCGCGACCTTTGGAATAGCAGTCCATTACACAAACCACTACGCCATCCAGTCGTCCAAAGTGGTTCACCTCATTTAGATTGGTTTATTAATGAGTGTGTTACGTGATTTTTTTTTAAATGTTATGCAATCAAACTTGGTCCTATTTTATTTTAAAGGTTCCACCTCTAAGGGGTTACTCACTGCAGACTCGGTCATAAATCAATGGACTTAATCAATGATGAAGTTTGATAACTTGATAAATTAGACATAGGATGAGCATCAGTGCGGAGCAGATCATCAGTATAATTATGACCACGTGATTTAGGACCGAGCCTGCAGTTAGAAAATAATTTAACGATAGTCAGTATGTTATTTGTAAAGGTAAACATAAATACGAGTATGATTGAGACGCAGTACTCTTAAAATCTAATGTTGTTATATTTTCCTCAGGCTGACGTCGAAGTGGGTAAACTGGACCTACCACCCCTATACAGGTTGAGGAAGTTATCAGGGTCTTTGTCTACTTTAGCATCAGGTAAAACATTTTATAGTATCATTACAAAATGGTAAGCCCATGTACCTTGTATTGGATATCCGTGTGGTGACGGATTAAGAATACTGAGTGTCATCACCCCTATTTATCTCGTAGGTGTCGTAAGAGCCGACTAAGGGGGCAAACGGGACAACAGCACTGCAAAGAGAAGGAAAACTTGACTCGAACACTATACCAACCCGTCTGGCCAGCGTGGTATATTAGGCCAAAACCTCTTTTCTAAGGCGAGGCCTTTTTACATGACATTTACTTATTACTTAAATATATTTATTTATTTATTTACACTTCCTGCAAATATATTGGCATAAGGCGGACTTAATGCCATAGGCATATTCTTCCAGTCAACCTTGGGGTTATGCATATATGTATGTGTTCAGTGTGTACAACAAATAATAAATAAATAAGTTATTTGATAACTAAATGTCTAATTTTATTTTTTATTATAAATTTTATGGACATAAAATAATCATATTTGACATTTATGTCTAAAATTTCATTGACATACTAATGTTATGATGTACTTCTTATTAATTTTTACCTTTTCTAAATAATTTGAAACTATTCAATTGCATAACAGATATAGTATGCCACGGCATGCCACAGCATACCATGTAATGTCTACCACAGTTCTGTATATGCCCAGTTGCTCATAACTTTTGCATTGTGCAGAGATGCAGCGAGCACCGTGCGAGCTGAGCGCGGAGTGCGCTGAGTACAACAAGGGCGCCGAGCTCGCGCACCCAGAGCTATGCGTTATCGTCGTCGATATCCTCACACAACTCATACACAAGTATGTACAAATTGCTGTAGCACTCTACTCTCTCACTCTAGACGGATTAAGAATACGGAATGTCACCACCCCTATTTATCCAGTGGGTGTCGTAAGAGCCGACTGAGGGAGCAAACTACGCAGTACTGCAAAGAGAAGGAAAACTTGACACAAACCCTATACCAACTCGTCTGACCAGCGTGGTACAGTAGGCCAAAACCTCCTTTCTAAGGTACTGTAACTTGACTGTGACTTTCAGGTACTGGATTATGAAATATCAAAAACCAAAAACCAAATCAAAGGCCAAAACCTCCTTTCTAAGGAGAGGCCTATGTCCGGCAATGGACTATTATAGGCTGTTGATGATGATGACTGTAGCACCACGAGATCACAGTACACACTTATTTCAAACTTTGTATCTACAAAGAATTTGTCATCTTCCTTATTACTCTCGTTTCATTTCCATCGTCGTGATGTTTTACCCAATGACAACCTTCCACTTTGACCAGGTGTTGGGTGTGAAGTTACTTTTTATTACACAAAACAGCAATGTATTAAAAACTTCGTATAAAACGCAGTGCAGTAAACATAGTACAATATTTCACTTAGTCGAGTGGGTGTCACTTGGCGCGCTCGAACGACTCCAATTGGTTGAAGTCTGCTCTAACTTGTTATAGAAAACAAGTTTTAAAATTTAGCCAATAGGGTCGAAAATACAACAGAAAAACCATGTCATAAGGTCCTTAAACAGTGTGTATTGTTCTAAGTGTATAATATAATATTTTTTCTCATCGTTTGTTTAAACCTCGCGCGCTTATTAATCAAATGAAATAGTACTGAAGTAATACTGCAGGGATTGCGTGGTTGTGGTTTAAGCAGATTGGACATCCAATCCAAAGGGGACAACACTTTGTGTGATCCACAAATTGTTGTTCTCAGTCTGGGTGTTCTTTGTGTCCGTTTATGTATGTGTGTAAAGTTAAAGTTAAAGACAGGATATAAAAAAGATAGCGCGTGATTCCTCCTATATACAAGCCTCTTTGAACGAATCCCAGGAAATCAAGGTGACGAGAAGTTAATACACATCGAATAATAAATATTTCGTTGACATGTTGATAATATTTTATATTTATTAAAATATTGAATGAATTCTTAGTGTTTTCCCATTAACGTCAATTATAGTCGGTCACTGACCGCAGATCGTGACAATTATAGCGGTAACCTGTAGATGTCAACGAACTGCACACCTATTTGAACTATTGCATTATAGATAATGTATTTATATGTCTGCGCACTAAGCGATGGTCGGCCTAGGTAAAGATCTTCTATGATTGACATACTTACATCCCGGCTAAGAACCATTTTCTGTATTTACTTAACTACTATTTATTACTACTGCTATTTAAATAGTAAACTAGAGGAGGGAGATATATATATATATATATATTGGTCAAACACCCTCTGCCCCTCCTTCTTTGGTGCACCACTCCCTAAAAATTAAAACTTGTAAAACGTATACAGAACAGAAGGAGACAGAAGGTGAACAATCTAACTCCTGGTTCATCGTCTCCATTACAGATTAATAATGCTTCTTTAAAAAAAAAAATCGCAACAAAAATATACAAGTTTTTTTAACGTTTATTGCGCAATCATTATTACGCAATGTGTAAAACTGCCAACTGTTTTGACCAGTGTCTATTATGACCGGTCACCTACCCGGCGCCAAGTTTATTCGGAACTTCAATTGAATTCAGACAGTACAAAGGAAAAATGTAAATTTAACGAGCGAACTAGGGATTGGAGATCCTTGTACTGAGACTGCAGTAAATCGAAAGGTCCCATGTGTCTGTCTCGTGATTGTTCCACCAGGACAGGGGCATTGAAATTCCCAATCACACTAATGTGTTTGTCATCACACTTAAAGTGCTGGACCAATTTTGATAAAATTTGGTATGGAGGCAATGGATTAACATATAGGCTAATGTGTTAAAAAAATAGTGTTCCCGTGGGATGAGCAAGGAATTGAAATATATTCTAATTTATGTATACCTATCAAAAGTTCAAAATGAATTCATCCAAAGGTTGCCTGGAAGAAATTGCACTAAGCGATAAGGCCGCCCTTTGAACATTACATCTGTTGTTAATTACTTTATAATGTTAGCTAAACCCTGGTGTACAAATAAAGTATTTATCTATCTATCCATCTAATACTATGAAAATAGTTTTGTACGGAAATGTGGCGTCATCGCCCTGACGCCATTGGCTGCCTCGAGAACTCCTCCTACGCGGAAGCGCTCTCAGCCAGCAACAGATTATGCGATGTTCTCACTTAGGTTACGATTTAAAGTTCAGAGAAAGTTCGCTTTAAGCTACTGACCTTATTAGAGCCAAGAAGCTTTTTTGTACTTAATTATGTTTGTGTTTATGTTGATTTCTTCATGATTAATATACAACATGTGCCAGAAATATTTATTTATGCATTTACAATAAAACAATTTATAAACATTTGGAATTAACAACAGTTTTCCGCACTAAGCTCGTGGCTTGTATCGCGGAAACCAAGTGATTTCGTATGACTCATTGTCATTTTGTAACAGACAGCGATTCTAGCTAACGTGGTAGTTATATGTATTACTATAGTTTAGTTGGTTATTTTCATTTTTTTTTTTTTAAAAGACCTCTCGTACTAGGAATGTATCCTGTGTCGCGGGTGACTTTACAAACATACATGAAACGGACACAAAGAACACCCAGACTCACAACAATAATTTGTAGATCACACAAAGTGTTGTCCCATGTGGGGATCGGACCCACAACACTCAGCGCAGTAGTAAGCGGCTTGGTGACCGCTTAAACCACTACGCCATCCGTGCAGTCAAAATGAACTCACAACAGGTTTCATATGAAGAACTAATTAAGTAAATTTGTAATTCAAACCTAAAGTACGCTTGTTTGGTTTTTGTTTAGTGATTATATGATTGGCAAAGGAAACTAGTAATATGAAAATTGTAAAAAAATAGATCTATTCAAAAAAAATATTTCTTTATGAAGAACTATTAAAACTGTTTTCTAGGCTATCTGAATTTTTATTAGCTAGGTATTCTAATTTGACTTCACTATAACAGGCTGTATGTATGAATAAGTGAAAAGAAGTAGGTGTCACAACCAAAACATTAGTTAAAAAGTTTGAAACGAAAATATTTTTATATATAAATTGATTCATAACTTATGTTATATTTTCTGCGTAGTATTCGAAGGTCACGCATATATTTAAATAAAACACTATTGTGGCTGTATAACGCATGAAAGACAAGTTAGAACAGAACTTCTTTGCTATTTCATAATCATCAACAGCCTATAATAGTACACTGCCGGACATAGGCCTCTCCTTAGAAAGGAGGTTTTGGCCTTTGATTTGGGTTTGGGTTTTTGATATTACATAATACAGTACCTGAAAGTCATTCAGTACTTCCTTGACTATTTCTGTTGAATCCTAGTGAGTACAAATCAATAAATTGATCGATAAAAGTATATTTTTAGGTCTTACTTTATGATTTAGTATCTAAATAAGTCTTGTGCATAGGAATTGTGTCAAAAATTGACTGCATGGAAAGCGTAGTGGTTTAAGCGGTCATCTCCAGCCACCCAGTGTTGTAGGTTCGCTCCCTAATGTTGTAAATGACCTGCTTTTACAGGTTGGTGAAATCTAAAGAAGAAGGCACGTGGAGCGGGTCGTCGTGGCGCGTGGGCGTGGGCGTAGCGCGAGCGTGGTGCGGGCGCGTGGGTGCGGCGCTGTGTCGTGCACGCGCTGCGCCACCGCCGCTGCTCCGTCGTCTGCTGGCGCCGCAACCCTCGCACCTGTTAGCCGCCTCAGACCCTACGCTCGAAGGTGATATGGCCCTAAATAAACACCTTACAGCACACCTGCTCATTATAAATGGCATTAATTATTCACGTTACTTTTACAAAATGAACGCTTTTTATAGTTTTTTCGTGTTTTAATAACTACATTAACACTTGAAATACTATTTATTACATATTTTACCCTCCGTGTGGTGACGGATTAAGAATACAGAGTGTCACCACCCCTATTCCTCCTGTGGGTGTTGTAAGAAGCGACTAAAGGAGCAAACTACGCAGGACAACAGCACTGCAGAGAGAAGGAAAACTTAACACAAACCCTAAACCAACCCACCTGGCCAGCGTGATATAGTAGGCCAAAACCTCCTTTCTGCAGAGAGGCCTCCGTCCAGCAGTGGACTAGTAAAGGCTTTTGATGATGATATATTTTACATCCAGTGCTTAGTGTAAATGTTGTCAAACGCTTGTTCAAAAGTTTATTAAGAATCAGGTATTTCTAACTTTGATGCTTAGATAAAAGAAAAAAAAACGATAATTAAACTAGATTGCACACCGAGTTATAACAACTAAATATTTATTCTTAAACAAAAATGATTATTTTCACAGACCTGCAACGCAGTATCTTGGAACTAATCCACGTACTGGCCTCTCAGAGCATCGAGCCCGCCGAGCTCGCAGCTTTCTTGAAACTGTTCACGGCCGAGCGCCCTCCGCTGGGCATGCTCCTGAATTCACTCCACCGATTGGTGGCAGCGGCCAATTACAACACACCTGATTGTATTCTTACTTTCCCTGTGGACTGTGATAATCCTGGTAAGTTATAATCTTTGACAAATTAAGATATAGTATTCCTCCCAAAGACCCATCATCATCATCAGCCTATCGCAGTCCACTGCTGGACATAGGCCTCTCCCATTGCACGCCACCTAGGTCGATTTTGGACTTCTCGCATCCAGCTCCTGCCAGCCATCTTGCGCAAATCGTCACTCCACCTGGTCTGTGGGCGTTCTGCACTACGTTTGCTGAGACCCAAAAAAGACCCATATTTAACTACAATTATTATTATTATTTCTAAAAAAGAAATATTTTTTGTAACGAAACATAAGTAGTCTATAATTATGTAAGAAATCAACTGTTAGATCGTATCCTAACTACGCTAATATAACGTCGTAATAAAATAATCTACACGTAATTTAATGTGTCGAACAATGGACAAAATTGATGCGCAGTCGCATCTGGTTAGAAGACGAGTGGCGGCGGCGATCCTCACCCGCGCTGTTCGTGGCCTGCTCTTCGCACCCTCTCACAGACGGGTCTGCCGTATGGTGCCCGTAGACATCCACACTATTTGTCAAGCAATAATTAAATAAATCATTAAAACAAAGAAAAACCGATTGACAAACATAAAATAAAAAGGAACTGAGCTGTTTTTGTGAAGTCTATTTTATATAGCAGACATGACCTAGTTATTGAATTCCGACTAGAAATTAATTGTATTTTAAATGTTTTGTTCTATTTAATTAATTCCATTTGGTATTGATTCAAATAAAGCTATTAATTTCCAGTATTAGTTGATGTGTCATTAAATAAATAGACTGTCATTATGAACACAGGTCAGGTTTTCAAATATTGCCCAAGTTTTAAATTCTTTCGTGTCCGTATTTTGAACGAAGACTTTTGTCACATAGCTATGTATTTGTTTTTATGAAAATATGTTTGTTAAATTCATAGTTATTGACTGGCCGGTTGGTCTAGCGATCCTGATTGTTACGCCAGAGGTCGTTGGTTCGATTCCTATCCAGGACAATAGTTGTGTGATGAGCACGATCATTTGTTCTGTGTCTGGGTGTAATTTATCTATAATATGCATGTATTTAGTGCTCCGAGGAATTGTTCGGACTAATACCAGCCGTAAATTTCCGCCATCGTTCCACACGTCAAAATTTTCATCCTCATTACCTAGATAGTTGGCTACTGTGCGCTTTTCGACTCTCTTTTTGCCCCGCACAACCAATCTGTGGAACGGGTTATCGTCTGCGGTATTTCCGGCCCGATACGACCTTCAAACCTTCAAGAAAAGAGCGTACTTCTTCCTAAAAGGCCTCCAACGCGTTTGCGACTCCTGAGTTGCAGACGTTCATGGGCGGCGATGGTCACTTTCCGTCAGGTGACCCATCTGCTCGTCTGCCCCCTCTAACATACAAAAAAAAGTATTTAAGTTTGTTTATCAGCAGTCTGGTTACCATAGTACAGTGTGAGGTTATTATTATGATTTAAATATTTATTTTACAGACACCATACTGTCGGTATCTGAGGACCTTAAATATTTGGTAGTAAACAATGTGACGTCACAGAGCCACCTCGCTGAGAACTGCGCTAAAAGGTTCCACGAGGCGCACACAAGAGCTGGTGAGTGAATTGTCAACCAAACTAAACTAGGAGTAATTCTTAAACTATAATCGACTTCAATGCCTACATCACGATACCAACCGAAGTGTCGTATTTTTTTTTAAGATACTTACTTAGGTGCTAAATCTCTTGTTCAGTCGTCTTTGAGATGGCTCGGCTAAATTGCACTTAAAAGCTCTGGATTTTATTGACAAAATAGCCTGTAGGCTTAGAAATACCAACTTATTCATACAACATTCTCAACTAAACTCTAGAAAAGAATGCCAGCATAGTGAAATACTTCTTTTTTTTTCATAGACAAGTAAACAAATTAATTTGTAAGTTTGTATTAAAGTTATAAACAATTGCATTAACAAAAAATGATCAATTTTAAAACAAAAATAGAATACCACCATATTTATACCAAATGGAATGTTCTCCTGTTCCTCTGTGACAGTATTTCTGTTTAGAGCTCTCGTATCGTGATCGGGGGAGAGCTTCTTTTTGATTAATAATCGTATTTTATATTATTTTTATAGAAATTATAACCTACTACTTTAATTAACTTATTTTTCGGTTCATAGTTACGCATTTTTATGGTAAAATACCCTATTGTTTTCAAGTAAATATTGATCGATCGTCCTTTCAACGCAGCAATGTATAATCAAGTTAGCGATATTAACTGATGATCGTTGTCAGGCATCAAGTCGCCGTGGTCGTGCCACGCGGTGCGGTGCGGCGTGGAGGGCGCGGGCTGGGCGCCGTGGCTCGGCGGCTTCGCCATCACCGCCTGGCTGCACACGCAGCACTCCACCACCGAGGAGCAGCAGGACCATTGGGGTAACTCAGAGAAAACATTTTGCTATTTGCTGGGTGCCGAGGTACGGCCGATTGTAATTGACGACAAAAGAAAACGGCGCCATAATAGTTAATTGGCGTGGAGTGCCACTGCCACACTAACTTTTTGCCTCGCACCACTCTGTGATATAATTTGTCACCGTTATTACCGGACCAATTCGACCACCAAACCTTCAAGAAAAGAGGGCACTTCCACCTCAAAGGCCGGCCACGCGTTTGTTACTCATGAGTTGCATGCGTTCATGGGTGGCAGTAGTCACTTTCCGTCAGGTGACCCGTCTGCTGGTTTAAGCCCTATATATAAGAAAAGCACTGTCTGCCTATACTCTCAAAGATTCTCATGATGATTCCTGAATATCGTTTAGCATTTGTATTTTTTTAATATTTTGTGTACCAATGTATATTTTCGCTAGTACCGATAAAATATTACAAAAAAACGACAATACTTACAGTTGGCATGGACGAGTTCAGCGATGACCTATCCGACCCGGAGTTGAACAAGAAGAAATCGCCGAAGACGGAGGCGTCGTGCAAACCCACAGAGTTGTCGCACGTCATATCCGTGGGACACGACTCGCTCATGTTCGAGGTGTGGCTCGACACGAACACCGGTCAGTTGTTTGTAAAATCACTTTGATTGTGATTACTTTTATGATAATCTGGTATTATGCCAAGAATGATAGCAGACCTTAGGATGACGTGGACTGAAGACCCATAGGTCGGCTCGAAGGACCAACTCTAGGGAATGATACCCAATAGTGAATGTTTTTTTGTTAGATAGAAATGTTTAGGTTTATGTTAAATCAGTAACAAGTGTTTCCGTGGAGCTTTTTCATTGCTACTAATTAATTATTGTCATAATGTACATTGCACAAGGTAAACAATTTGACCTGAATTACAATTATTACAATGTAATGTAAACATATGTAGGTATAGTCTAGCCCTATAGATATGGGAAGAAATTAACTTGGAGTAAGGAAAGTGAAGAGAGCGAGGGAGCTAGGCTAAGAGATAGAGTAACAGTTTTAAAACAAGTGAAGTCATGGGCAAAAATTAGTAGCGAATATTTCGGTTCAGGCACGTTCACGTTCCGGCTGTCGCGGCCCGAGCCGGGGCTGAACCGCGTGGTGAGCGAGGCGCGCGTGCCCAGCGGCCTGGCGCCGCGCACCTGGACCTGCCTCGCGCTCAACGTCAAGGAGCTCGTCTACAAGAGGCACATCTACATACAGGTCGGTCACCCCACTATTATATTTGGACTTCCGACATAGCCCTTTATTTTTAAAAGTGAATATATTATTTACGTCATCATTATTATTACGACCGGATGGTGTAGTGGTTTGTGTAACGGACTGCTATTCCAAAGGTCGCGGGTTCGATTCCCGCTCAAGTCAAACATTTGTGTGCATGAACATTTGATGTTTGATGTAGTCTGGGTGTTTCTATGTATAATATGTATGTATTTACAAAAAAAAAAGTATATATGTATTTATATCAGTTGTCTAGTACCCATAGTACAAGCTCTGCTTAGTTTGGGACTAGATGGCGTTGTGTGTATGTGGTAGAATATTATATTATTATTATTATCTCAGTCGAAAGATGTCCACTGCTGGCCATAGGTCTCCCCAAGATTCGTCACAATAACCCGTCCTGTGTATTTAATTAGAGAGGGAATATATATAATAAATAGAATAGGCAAGTGTGGTTATATAGGGACACATAGTAGATCCCAGAATATGGCGCAAACCCCACATGGGATAACACTTTGTGTGATCCACAAATTGTTGTTCTGAGTCTGGGTGTACTTTGTGTCCGTTTCATGTATGTTTGTAAAGTCCCCCGCAACACAGGATTTATTCCTAGTGCGGGAGTTGTCTTTTTAAGAAATAAATAAATAAAAATAAAATATAAGTACACCAGTTTTTTTTCCAGATACAAAAAATGATTTTTTAATATTTTCAGGCCGATTCAATTTTGTATTACATATAGGTACATGTTTAAAAGTGCACTCATTTAATAATAAACTGTAATAAATAGTAAATAATGTTAAAGTTCCTTTTGCAGGTAACACTGTACGTCAACGGTCATGAATGCGAGACCGTATCTCTACCAGTTCAAGGTAAATAAATCTCGAATACGCTTTTATTCGATTTGAATTCGATTATGTATCTAGATGATTTTTAATTATTCGGTTGTTTTATATCGTTCGGTTCAACGATTTCGGTCATCGAATTAAGAAATAAATGTATAAAGTGATCAAGCGGTCTCTTGACCTGAAGTGATATTTATAGGATTTGAAAACGGTAACCTTACAAACCTAAAAATACATTACGCCTTTTCTTTATTTTTTACCTTTCAAACTAAATAACTACTGCGTATCGTACATCATACGAGTTCTGTAACAGTCGAAATGTGTGTGACCGTACAGGTATCCTGGTCCGCAAGGTGACCCCCACCAACGTGCTGATAGGGTCGCTGCGGCGCGGCGGGCCCGGGGCCGGGGGCGGCGCGTACCACATGTCGGGCGTGCACGTGTACCGCGCGCCCTGCCTCAGCGTGTACACGGCGCTGCACCTCACGGCCCACGGCGCCGACCACGCCTGCCAGGTACGCTTGCGCCCTACTTTACCTGTTTCTGTTCTTCTCTGATAGAATATAGAAATCACATACATCACACATCAACAGCCTGTAACAGTCCACTGCTGGACATAGGCCTCTCCTTAGAAAGGAGGTTTTGACCTACTATACCACGCTGGCCAGACGGATTGGTATAGGATTTGTTAAAAGTTTTCTTTCTCTTTGCAGTGCTGTTGTCCTGCGTAGTTTGCTTCCATAGTCGTCTCTTACGACACCCACGGGATGAATTGGGGTGGTGACAATTTGTATTCTTAATCCGTCTCTACACGGACAATTTATACCATGACTATAAACATTAGGTATATAACAAAATGTCTGTCTGTTAATGTAAAGTCTCCTTGAATACACTTACAACCGTTTATCAGAAATATATCAAAAATGTTAAGATTGGAATAACAAAGAATATAGTAAAATAATATTTAGTTATCACATCATTATCATCACACATCAACATATTAGTCCACTGCTGGACATAGGCCTCTCCTTAGAAAGGAGGTTTTGGCCTACTATACCACGCTGGCCAGACGGGTTGGTATAGGATTTGTTTCAAGTTTTCTTTCTCTTTGCAGTGCTGTTGTCCTGCGTAGTTTGCTTCCATAGTCGTCTCTTACGACACCCACGGGACGAATAGGGGTAGTGACACGCGTATTCTAATCCGTCACCACACTGACATATATTTAGTTATATCAAATTTGAATTATTTTCAATTTCAGGTTCGATGTGAGTTTCCGAACATCCCGCTGGTACTGACGCCCAACATCCTAGACTCGAATATTGACTGGGACCAGGTACACCCCACCTTACACTATTATTTATATTCTAAATTACACAGAACCCAGTTGTGTATATGTGCATATGTGTATATTGTGGTAGGTTTTCGAAATATCGTCAGCGACCCTACGGGAGCTGCACGACAACTTGTTGCTGACGTTCTCTGCGCACGCGCCTACCATCATGAATCTGTACCACCAGACCGTGGCGCTACCAACAGGTCAGTTCTGCTTCTATCTACACACATGCATTGTAAACTTTACTGTTTCGTGAAGGCAAACACACATGATTTTAAATTTGTAACTGTAATTGATTATTTTTTGTGTCACCCGTAAATATAATTTATAATTTAAGTGCAAGAAATGGGTATATAATACATATAGTACGTACATATTGCTTCGGTAAAAATTACCACAACTCCTACACTTTTAAAGTTGTTCCCAAATATTTTATATATATTTTTTTAGACATCTTACACATAACGCCATCTAGTTTCAAACTATGCAGAGCTTGTACTTTACAAGCTAGATTCACTGATAGAATAATTATATACTTTTTTTTGTAAATTTAAACATGTTATGATTTTTGTAAGGATCTATCAAAAACTTTCGATTGTGTTGACCATCATAGACCAGCTAAAACTCTTAGATATTGTAAAATTTCAAACAATTTTTACTTTTTGTTTACCTTAGAAATACACATCTTCTATACATACATACAAATAAATAAAATTGAAGTGTCTGTTTCTAATGTCAAAAATATAGATTCATTTCATGCTCATACGCACACACAGTTTTTTGTCTGTCGTCTGTCTGTTTGTTTCGGCTAATCTTTTAAACGGCTGGACCGATTTGGATAATATTTTACTACCAGGTAGCTGTCTACATAAGGAATAACTAAGGCTATTTTACCTCTCAGAAAAACCCTTTAAAATTTGGCCCGGTCCGGGCTTCGAACCCAGTAAGGCAGCGCTTTTCAAATTCCACGCGAACGAAGTCTCGGGTACCAGATAGTTTTGAAATAAACAAAATAAAAAAATCTTAAGAATGGAGGAAAAGAAGTGGGTGCCACAAGTGTCTACACTCGGTCCTTTTCTTTTTTAAATGTTAAACTACTCGATATAATAGTATATATTTATTATATCATGTCTTATCATGCATGTTTATGTGCAGTGTTCGCTGGTCGCGTTACTTCAAGCAGCCTCATAGCGTCGACGGCCTCCAGCTTGCCGTCGTCATCGTCAGGCGGGGTGTCATCCATCCCGGAGACGCTGTTCACGACGTGGGTGGGCAACGCACTGCCCAGCCGACACAGAGGTGTGGCGCCCGCCATATACATGCTGGGCGGGCCTGATGTGCTACTATACCTTTACGCTAGGGTGAGTCACCTCGTTCCTGGGGATGCTTTGGACCTCTTTAACCTACTGAGCTCTCTTCTAATAATTAAATAGTAGTGGCTTTACTTTTTAATTAATTGCTACGCCATATTTTTGCATTGTTAACTAATCTCATACAATAGAATATATTGATAGTGGTATTAGTAAGCATAGAATGTAACATCGCAGGTGGTGGAGCTGGAGGGCAGCGCGGAGGAGCAGGCGCTGGCGCTGGGCATCGTGCTGCGCGCGTGCCGCGTGGACAACCGCCTGTACGCCATGTTCCACGCCGACGACGCGCCCAGCCTGCTGCTCAGCGTCATGGCCGCGCCCGCCTGCCGCGTCTCGCACCATCTGCTCAAGGTCACTCACACGTACTAACGGTTGGAGAGCCAGGCTTTGTCACAAGTCGGTGTTCAGAAATTCCGAATACCGAGTAAGGTTACAGGACAGTACTGGAGGGAGGGCCCTGACTCTGCTGGTTTGCTCTTTATACCGTAAAAAGACTGATAGTCGCACTAACTTGTTAAATTGGTAAATTTTACGCTAGGCATACATGTTTATCATTTTGAAGACTAAGTCTGCCAGTGGCCACAACAAATTAATAACAATACAGAAAATTCTATTTCGTTCATTAGTTCAAATTCTCTTGTTTAGACTATTTAGGTGTCTGCACTAAAGGGAGATTGAGTACCTCTGAATAATTTTCACACTAATTTTTATTCTCCCTTGATTCAGAAAATTCTAAGACTACACAATATCAATAGCTATGGCATTTAATAGACAAACGAAAGCTTATAACCGTTGTTAAATTGAAATTTCTTTAAATTATAACGAAGTAACGTTTTAAAATTCATTAACACAAAATATATTAACATACAGTTGAATATATTTAGGTAATCTTAGACGAAGCGTGCAGTGCTCCAATTCTGAGCACGTGCGCGGGCAGCGTGCAGCTGGCGGCCAGGACCGACGCTGTGCTGCTGCAGCCCGCCCTGCTCGTGCTGATCACTAAGGCATGGAGGTACCTGGATACTGAAGAGGTAATTGTTTTATGGAATCTTGAAAACATAGTGTCACAGAAAGGTTTGGTCAAGTTTTAGGAGCGTTATGCATAACCGAGCATATCCTGATAAAAAAATGTTTTGTTTATGGTAGAGGATGCATGTTTCGTATTGTTTTTAACAAATAATGTCGAGGAATAAAACATGAAGATTTTAATATGAAATATGGCGGATTTTAACTATTCTTTTTATTCTCTAACATATACCACATTGTATTGTTTAATGTATTACATTAAATTCCCAAAAACTCTGCAATGCGACAGATAACATAGATCCCAAATTAAGTTGGTAAAAGCGCTGAAAGATGATGCATGGTAATTAAAATAACTAGCATCTCAAGACAGTGCCTCTGCTATCGCAATCAGAATTCAATCGATTTCACCTAAGCAGAACACACAATCGTACTCTGGTTTAGCGTTTAGGATCAATCACGAGCAGATATGTAAGTGCAGAATGTCCCCCCCCTCTCCCAGCAAGTGTCGTGGGAAGTGGTGAGCTCGAGCGGGTGTCGGTCCGCGCAGCGCGGCTCGGCGTGGGCGCTGGCGCTGTGCTGCGTGCGCGCGCTGCTGCGGGACTCGCACCCGCGCCGCGCCTTCAACCACCACCAGATGGAGCGCCTCGACCTGCTGCGGCACCTGCTGCTGGCTTGCAAGGTGGGTCTGCCATGTGACTGACTAACACTCGACTAATTATATATAGGACTCTGTTAACATATCCAAATATATCAAACCTTTATATTATATAATATTCTAACCACATACACACAACGCCATCTAGTCCCAAACTAGGCAGAGCTTGTACTATGGGTACTAGACAACTGATATAAATACATATATACTTTTTTTTACTTTTTTTACTTTTTTTTTACTTTTTCTTTCTCAAGTAGTTTATATTATTAATCTATTAGAACTTTTAAATATTAACGCCCTGTATCTCACATTATAGTCAAGCGACTACCTGAAACACAGGTCACACACTCAGCTCAAACCATTTGCAAAAGAATTTCGTAATATTTTGATTTTACTTATTTTTCTATTCACTTTTGCACATTAAGAATAGTCATATACTAATTTGTGTTAGCTTTAGTAATAAGCTTTATATAAGAATCTAATGACAATAACATGTAAATCATCGACTGCACGGATGGCGTAGTGGTTTAAGTGGTCACCTCGCTTCTTCCTACTGCGCTGAGTGTTGTGGGTCCGATCCCCACATTGTTCTGAGTCTGGATGTTCTTTGTGTCCGTTTGACGTATGTTTGTAAAGTCTCCCGCGACGACAGGACATTTATTTATTTATTTAACTTAATGCACTAGTTGTACAAAGGCGGACTTAATGCCCAAGGCATTCTCTGCCAGTCGACCTTCGGGTGATGTAGATATATTCCTGGTGCGAAGTTGTCTTTAAAAATCAAGAATGAAAATCAATCAATTCACATCTCAAGTGACGTTATTATACATACAATGAAAATATTTGTGTAGGAACGCTTTCTAAACTCGAAGTGCGGCCCCCTGGACCCAGTGGCAAGTAGCAGTCTAGTAGAGGTGGTGCGGGGGCTGGTGGGCGCGCCCCCCCTGTTGCAGCGCCTTGCCATGCTGTGCGACTTCCTCCTACTGATGCATCAGGTACTATTTACATTTCATTTACTAATTAAGCTTGTAATTCTAGCTGTACGCTAAAACGCTTCCCTGGCATACGTGGCGCATTGTAGTTGCATTGATGAGAAATAAGAAACCAAACAAACGCGAAAAAAAAGCCGTGTGATGTCGTGGGACACCCGATAGGAACGAAGTTGTGACGATCGAGTAAAACTGATTCGACACGATTTTAATTACAACGCCATCTATGAAAGCGGCTATTACCTACATATTTTTCAGTTGGTTTCTAATTAAAACAATTTATACATTGGTAAAATCTTCGTTCCAAAATAGATAAAAACAATCTCTGTAGCGGATCGTACATTGTGACAAAATTTCAGCTCAATTGGCACGGATTTTTTTGAGCATATTCAAATCAACTAAAAAAAAAATTATGTAGAAATATCAGTTTTACCGCATTGAAATCCTGCAATTGTTGCTCGCATCTAAACTGTTTAGTTTAACGGTTCGTAAATTTCCTCTAGGCGAGCGACACTTTCGTGACCCACTCCCGAGCCAACTTCTATTTTCTCTTGACGGCTGAAACCCAAGAAATGAGTGAGTTCACATCCAACATCACGAAAAGACGTCCTTCGAAGAGAATCAAGAAGAGAGTCGAAGATCGGCCCAGCGTTTCCAGCACGTCGGCGGACGAAACCACTAATGATGGCCTTCACGCCCTGAAGGAGATGACTGAATGTCGCGACGATGAGAGAATGGAGAGTAGCGGCAGCACGGAATCTGCGAAGTTGATGAAGTCGATGATTAACATGCAGCTTCAGGAAGGCAGGTAATGTCAATTAATATTCAATAAATGTATTTAGTTTTTTTTTTTATAATTGACTATTTTAATTACTTTTTAAGGTGGAATTTTACCGAGTAAAAATAAATGGTTAATAAATAATATTAATAATATTCTACCAGTTTTACGCATCTTGTCCCAAACTAAGCTGAGCTTGTACTATGGATACTAGTCAACTGATATAAATACATATATACGTTTTTTTACAAATACATACATATTATACATAGAAACACCCAGACCAAATCAAACATTAAATATTCATGCACACAAATGTCTGGCTTGAGCGGGAATCGAAACCTCGACCTTCGGAATAGGTGTACGTTACACAAACCACTACGCCATTTGGTCGTCAAAGGTGTACCTATGAGGGAGCGTTTTTATGTTCGCGGAATGGGGGATAAGGGTTGGACATAAAAAAACAAATTATCTTTCCTTTTCAGTATATTCACCTGCAAGACGGATACATTTTTCAGATCTTCCAATTAATATGTTTATACCCTCATAAAAAAATGTTTTCTCTTTGTCTTCAAAATACGCCGAAACTGCCTCCTTGACTTCATCATACTTGGTAAAATTTTAACCCCGCAGCTCTTTTTTCATTTTTGAAAACAGGTAATAATCGCTGGGGGCCAGGTCTGGGCTGTAGGGTGGGTGATTCAAAATATTAAAGCCCACCTTATGCAGGGCAGCCAACGCAACGCGGCTCTTGTGGACGGGCGCGTTGTCGTGCAAAAGCAACACACCTTTTGTCAATTTTCCCCGTCTTTTCTCTATAATGGCTTCTTTGAGTCGCTCTAATATTGAAGCGTAGTATTCTCCGGTTATAGAAACACTTTTATCTTTATAATCGATCAATAATATTCCTTCTGAGTCCCAAAAGACCGTTGCCATGAGTTTCCCAGCTGACTGTGACACCTTAAAGTTTTTGGGAGGTGCTGTGCCCTTTTTATGCCACTGCATGGAGTCTTGTTTCGATTCAGGTTCATAATGATGAACCCAAGTTTCGTCTCCAGTAACAATTCTACTCAATACAGCATCCTTGTCTTCATTACAAAGGTCTAAAAATGCACGTGAACACTCTACGCGCTGTTGTTTTTGCGTCGCCGTGAGCATTCTCGGCACCCATCTTGCACTGACCTTTGTCATGCCAAAATGATCGTGCAGAATTCTAAAAATGGTTGTATCAGATACTCCAACCATTTCTGCGAGTTGTTTCTTCTTTAGTCAAGCATCGTCGAGTACAATTTTTTCGACTTTTTGGATAAGTTCTGGCGTGATCACCTCGATGCTCCTGCCCGGCCTCGGGTCGTCTTCAAGGGATTCCCTTCCTTGTTTAAATAAACTGTGCTATGTGTACACCATGGTTTTTCCTGGACAAGAAACGCCGTAAACCAATGACATCTCATTCATTATGGTCGCAACTGATTTCCCTTGCTTGGTAAGGAACTTTATAACGGCACGATATTCGATTTTTTCCATGTTTCACTTTTCACTCCCGATTATGTTGCTTAGTTGACGATAACTCAAAGACTAATTGACTAATAACAATGAAACCTGGTATTAATACTAATTATGAGTCACTGAACACGTGACGATTCTAATGAGCCTAATCACCCCCCTCCAACCCTCTCATTCCGCGAACTTAAAAACGCACCCTCGTATCATCACTTAAAGTGAGTAGACCACCGAATTAGTGATGATACGTCAGCCAAGGATGTCTTCTTGTAGGCTTTATTTCTGAAATAATAGCAAGTTTCATACTTTTCCAGAAAACACACAGTGTCTTCTACCTCCGATAATTCAGACACGGCTATTGGTAAGTCTGTTTTTATATCTATTTGAGTCATCTGATGTGTTAATACGTCCAATGAGGAACATTAAATTTATTATTCTTATTCTTTCTTTCTTTTAAAAAAGACAACTCCCGCATTAGGATATATTCCTGTGTCGCGGGAGACTTTACAAACATGCATAAAACGGACACGAAGAACACCCAGACTCAGAACAACAATTTGTGGATCACACAAAGTGTCGTCCCATGTGGGGTTTGAACCCACAACACTCGGCGTAGTAGAATGCGGCGAGGCGACCGCTTAAACCACTACGCCATCCGTGCAGTCGGTATTATACATGCACGTGTCGTAGATTACTAATTGAAAGGGACCGGACAAAAGTTGTGCCTGTGTTTTCAAAAAAAAAAAACCGGTCAGGTACGAGGCGAACTCGTGCGCCGAGGGTTCCGTGCCTACCCAGATTTTACGTAGATTTTCGAGAACATTTGTAAGTACCAAAATTGATATTAATATTCAACTTTTTTTTGTTTTTTGGAATCATTCCTTTATTTGTGCTGTAAGACGTTTCTTTTTGTCAAATTTCGTGATTCTAGGTCAACGGGAACTACCAAATAGATTTTCGACCCAAAACCTATAGGGTACTTCCGGTTGACCTAGAATTGTCAATTTTGGTTAAAAGCAAGGTCTTATAGCACAAGTAAAGAGAAAATTCAGAAAAATAAAAAAGTTGAAAATAAGTTAAATTTTGGTACTTACAAGTTTTCGCGAAAATCGAAATTTACCAATATCTTTTATCGTGTTGACTCAGGGCCTTGATTTTTCCACACCTAATAGGGACCATAGACCTCAGCATCTGGTATAAATTTCAATTTGCTAGGTCTACCGGTTCCTGAGACTGGAGACTGGTTCGGTTATGACACACGGACAGACGGACAAGAAAGTGATCTTATAAGGGTTCCTATTTTACCTTTTGAGGTGCGGAGCCCTAAAAACAAAAATAATATTATTTCTGATTACCGTTACCACGCCACACATTGCAATTAACTTTTTTGGTATCAACCATTCATTTATTAATGTTTCAAAATATTTTTCCTTTTATTTTTTTCGACTGACGGTACCGTAAACAATGTACCTATCTATATTTGATATTATTTATAGAAGAGAAGAAAACGAAAGAAGACGTGGTTGATAGCAATGGAACAGGAGAGCAGAGCAAAGACAGCACAAACAGTGGTCAGGTCAAAGATGGCAAAGTGGAGGAGTTAAATGAGTATATCGTTGTGGACGTAGACGATGTCAACCACACCACCGTGGAGATGTACACCAGTGGGATATATCATCAGGTCAGTTCATTGCTATGGTTATAGATTAGGATATATTGCAAGCCTTTTCATCTTTAAGAATGATTTAACAAATGAATGAGATAACCAGAGACCTCCTTACCCCTAATTCTTAGCGGGGGGGAAGGGAACACACACACAAAGGGTGGCATTGCATTATACACTTACCATCCACTATTTCATAAAAAACGTCATTCTTGGATTCATTGTATTATCGAAGTTGTGTTTTTCTTTTAAAAGAGACAACTCCCGCATTAGGAATATATCTTGTGTCGCGGGGGACTTTATAAACATACTTGAAACGAACACAAAGAACACCCAGACTCAGAACAACAATTTGAGGATCACACAAAGTGTCTTCCCATGAGGGGTTTAAACCCAAAACACTCGGTGTAGCGGCGTGGTGACCGCTTAAACCATTTTGCTATCCGTGCAGTTAAAAAGTTGCATCCAATGTATTTGTATTAATTGTAGTAAAATAATATTTAATACTACGTGAGTGTCGTAAGAGTCGACTACGCAAAACAACAGCATTGCAAAGAGAAGGAAAACTTGGCCCAAACTCTATACCAACCCGTCTGGCCAGCGTGGTATAGTAGGCCAAAACCTCATTTCTAAGGAGAGGCTTATGTCCAGCAGTGGACTATTAAAAGCTGTTGATGTGATGTGAATATCTATCGATAGACGTAAAGCGGTAAGTAAATAGCTTATTAATCTGTTGGCTCACGTTAGTGTGATCATTTTTACGGAGCAGGCCAGCTCATTTAGTCAGTCCGTCCACGGATGCCGTGGCATACTGTGGCTTTATTCCTACAGTGCTGATGTGTTCGATCCAGTAATGGAATGAACGTGTTAAAGACGACATAACAGTGTGGATAAACGTGTCGTGCAGAGGCGGGTCCGCGCGGGCGCGGTGTCGGGCTGGTCGGCCTGCGAGGGACTGCTGCTACTCCTGCGCCACGCGCTGTCGCTGCTGCCCGAGCACGCCCACCAGCAGGTAGGTACCAGGCAGGCAGGTAGTGTCGATAGCCGCACACGCTGACCCCCCCCCCCGGTGCGCAGGCGGTGTGCAGCGCGGTGTGCGCGGAGAGCCTGGTGGTGCTGAGCAACCAGCGCGTGGCGCCGTGCCGCGCGGCTGCCGTGCGCGCTCTTGGCGCCCTCACGCGCCGCGCCGCGCCAGACCTGGCGCGCAAGCTGCACGCGCACCACTACTACGTGCACCTCGCCAACCAGGTACTCGCCTAACAAGTATAATAACTGAATAGTATTAAAATCGGTAAAACCGTTTTGAAGATTACCCAACAACAAACAAACAGACAGACAGACAAAAAAAAAGACGGGTTGCACTCCGGGAGTGCCGGCAGAAGTGAAAACGTGAATATTAACGTTGTGCATTTTTGATATTTTGGAATGGTTGGGGAATAATTTTGCACGAATTGCTTTAATTATCAGTATAAAAGTACTATCATTTATGTGGTAACAATACAATATTTATTTATTGCGCTATCGTACAGAAACATGACAATTTATATTACACTAGCTGACCCGCGCAACTTCGTCTGCGTCTCTCAATAGTAATAAATTTTCTCCGTTTTTGAAACATTGTTCATTGGTGCTCCGCTCCTATTGGTCTTAGCGTGATGATATATAGCCTATAGCCTTCCTCGATAAATGGGCTATCTAACACTGAAAGAATTTTTCAAATCGGACCAGTAGTTCCTGAGATTAGCGCGTTCAAACAAACAAACAAACAAACAAACTCTTCAGCTTTATAATATTAGTATAGATTAAAAAGATTATCGCCGCCTAAACGAAACAGCAGGCGCAGGTTCACTTTTTGCCCCGCCGTAGAAAGAAAGGGGGATGCTTCTTCCGCGCCGGCTGTCTACTCTTCACCGTCTTACAAATTTTCGATCAGGGTCACGTGTCCTGACGCGAGTTTAACATTCTTTACCCATTAAAAAAAAAGTGTACAACGCCGCTAAATAATTTTTCACTTCAAAAACATACCCCTTTTTTGTCTATATTCGATAATATAGGTATCGTGCAAATATCCGTGTGAACTTGAAAAAAAACCTATTATTTTGAGATTCCAAACAAACAATTTTATTTATTAAGCTATTGCATAGCTTCTATCGCGGGCCTCGAGCGTGGAGACCGAATTCAGAAATTCCGTAACGAAAATAACCTAACACACCCCACGTGATACTTTTTAGTTTTGCCATCTATCGATGAATATCACTTTTAATGACTTTTTTGAAATATCACGCTTGTCTCTTTAGTTCAGCAACTCGCCTCTAGGTGGCATTGGTTGTATCGGCGTTACTGCGCATGCGTAATCCCCCTCTTCGCCCCGCAATCTAATTAATATCAAAGAAAAAAAAACAAAGAAAAAAAAATACTGCCTAAATAAAATAAATAAATAATTATAATTGCATAAGTTGATAAAAAATGCCATGAAAAAGCTTTACCGCGGCAGTCCCCGAGTGCCACACGTCTTTTTTTGTATAGAAAACAATTCTAATTGGTGTCGGATATCGGATGGATCTTGGCTATGGTGGACAAATGTTTATCTAGTAATATTAACTAAATGTACATGTGTCAGATATCTCTGTACGAGGGCTCGTGGGACCTGGCCTCGGCCTGCGCCGCCCTACTCACTAAGTGTGACGTCCCGCTTGAAGATCAACTCGATGTAAGTAAGCGTTTTGTACAGAGTATTTATTATTACGAACTTAAGAAACTACTTTTTATTATTATTCTATTTTCTTTTTATTATGTTTCACTTCATTTTCTCTTTTATTCGTTTTTTCTTAATCTTGTTTTCTCTTCATTGTCTTTTTACCTTTTAATACTTAATAACGGATATACTAGCACACATCAAAACAATGTTGTGGTATATTTAATAGTGCCATTGTATCTATCTGTGAATTGCAAAAGAGTGGCCATGAGTTTGTTTGCCCTTTCTTCTCATAAGGCTCAACCCCTTGGAAACGGGCGGTTGTAGATCGGCACAGGCATATCATAGATTTTGTATGGGTTTGATTTTTGTTAAATTTATTTGCTTACTATTTGACAAAACAGAGATTGTTGCTTTTATGTGTGTTGATCTTGACTTGACTTAAGAGTCCACATAAAAGACGATTTCAAACAATTGCTATTTTTTTATGAAATAAAGAGAGTTTGAGTTTGAGTACCAATTTATTCACAAAACAGACATCTTAAGAATATTCGTAATAACACGCCGTATTCAAAATAATTATCACAGACATACACATTTTTTCCACGTGTGTATTGACTATATCGCAGAACTAACATGATTCTACACCGAATCGATGAAGGTATATATTGGATAGGCTTATTTCATAGAAAGAACCGTGAGGTTCGTAAATTCTTTCAAAAATCTCGTTATATCTCGACTAAAACGATATCTCTATTTCTATGTATAATATGTATGTATTTACAAAAAAAAAGTATATATGTATTTATATCAGTTGTCTAGTAGCCATACCACAAGCTCTGCTTAGTTTGGGACTAGATGGCGTTGTGTGAATGTGGTAGAATATTATTATTATTACTTCTAGAACGTACTGAAATATTCTAGAATAAAAATCTTTTTCAGAAACATAAAATTACCTCTCCATATTCCAACTTAGGTCGACTGCAACAATATAATAACTCTTCTGTTTCCTTATTGTCTTCATTTTACCAGATGAGGTTGTAATGTCCTGAGAATGTGTTTAAATTGTTTGATAGATTCACTGGCAGTTGTTGACATTTTTTTATGTATCTAATTGAGCGGGTCTGTAAGTGGTTCATTCATTCGTTCGTTCATATTCAAAACTAACAAAACACAACAATCTTTCGTCAAACTACTAAAACTTAAAAAGTCTCTAAAACTAGATGACTTTTGTATGGTTTTGTATGGTCTATACTAGTCCTTGTAACGTTGGTGGTGTACCGGTTGCAGGACGACATCTGGGTGGACGTGGGCGAGGAAGCGCTACACCGCAGCCCGCCGCTGCTGGCGCTGCTGCCCACCTGCCTCGGGGACGTGCCGCTCGCGCACAACATCTGCGCCCTGCTCAGGAGGCTCGTGGACAAGGTAACCTACTGGTACTGCAGCTGGCGATCTAGGTGGACTTGGGCGGCCAGTTTCGTCTTCACCACTTGTGGTTACAACGTATTAGTATTAATTTAAAGTGTAAAAATAAATAATTATAAACTACATTGTTTAATTTTAAACAATACCAACTGGGATATAATTTTTTGACGTGACAACGTCTTGTAATTCGATGGAGCCGGCTGCACGCACGAAAAAACATGACTCATGCGGCGTTACCTCGCTCTGAGGCGTTCCATTTAAGGCGTGAAGTGCAAGCGAGAGCGCGGAACGAGTGACAAAGAGGCACAATCGGCCTCCGCGTTCGGCAGCATTCGACATCTGTCTCTCTCCTACTTGAGTGAGCGATGCGTCCGCGTGGACAGCTGCTACTCGTATACAATAATACATTTTTGAAAAATGCAACCATTCCATCAGTATTTTCTTATGACGTTGTCACGTTCAACTATCGTCAGTAAACCGACTTTACAGACAACCGATTTTTTTTTAAACTCGATCATTAGTGCGGGCCGTTGGTTCTTACAGATTGTCTTTTTTCAGGCATCTTTAAAAATATTATCGGAGATCGCTCTAGTGGAAGTGGTCGTTCGGTCCATACGCGCCGTGGGTGAAATGCCTGACGCCACCTTCGAGGGTCGGGAGCTGCTGCTCGAAGATCTGTACGAGCTGCTAAACAAGGTCGCTATTAAAGCGTTGTCGTCACAGCACAGTATGCAGGTGAGTTAACATTTCAGTACATTACTAGCCTGTTGATACATAGTCATATTAATATTTAATCTTTTTTACCCAGTAACGCTAAAAGGTGTGGTGACGGATCAAGAATACGGAATGTCACCACCCCTATTCATCCCGTGAGTGTCGTAAGAGCCGACTAAGGGAGCAAACTTCGCAGGATAACAGCACTGCATAGAGAAGGAAAACTTAAAACAAACCCTGTACCAACCCGTCTGGCCAGCAGTGGACTGTTATAGGTTGATGATGATGATTGATGAACGCTAAAAGAAGGGTTATGTTTTTCAAGTGTATATATGTATGTATTTTACTTTATCACGTTTAGCAGACGGCTAAACGCCTTGATGAATTTATGCGTTTGAGGTTTTGTTAAATCCTTCTTAAATGTGACAGTGAAACATTAAAAAAGCCGGATTGAAACTTTTAAGTTTACGTTTTCACATAGCAAAATTTTCATCCTCATTACCTGGATAATTGGCGCTCCACCACTGTGCGCTTTTCGACTCTCTTTTTGCCCCGCACAACCAATCTGTGGAACGGGTTATCGTCTGCGGTATTTCCGGCACGATACGACCTTCAAACCTTCAAGAAAAGAGGCCGGCAACGCGCTTGTGACTCCTGAGTTGCACACGTTCATGGGCGGAAATGGTCACATTCCACTTTCCAGACGAGCAGACGGGTCACCTGACCCGTCTGCTCGTCTGCCCCCTCTAACATAAAAAAACAGTCAATTTTTTGTTTATTTTTTAATAACTAGCTTGTTTAATAATGGAAAAGACGTTTTATACAGAAATGTACCCCAGTGTATTGTATTACATCAAAATTATATGAGCTAACATGTGCCATTACCCTCATCAGTCATAGCAGGGATGTCATCACAGCAGTAGGAAGCTAATAATGAAACAAAATTTTGCTTGTCAACAAACTAACAATTTTTTATGTATTTTGAGTAGTAAAAACAAATTAAACCTTTTATTTGTTTGTGTCTTTTAGGAAGTTGTTTTGTATCAAGGGCTGCGTGTCTGTTGTGATACCAGTCGCTGTATTAAGAATTGTTTTTTTCATAAATATTATAAATAAGAAACTTTATGAGAGTGGATAAATAGAGGTACGTTAGAACTGTTGAGCAAATCTTAAAGAAATTCGGCACAGAGATAGAAGAATAAAGAGGGAAGAAAGAAGAATATAATTATTTCATTCCGCAGTAAAAATAATACGTAAATGTTTCGTTGAACAGACCATATCAGAGCTGCATCACCTCCTAACGTACATAGAGATTTGCGGAGACGAGCAGGTGCGGCGCGTGGCCAGGGACGGACAAATAGCGCTGTTCAACGCGCAGCTCGACTACCTGGAGGACAAGCTGCACTCATCGTACAACGCACACACCAAACAGGCGAACTACTTCACTACCGGTGAGATCTTTTTTAATGGGTTTTATTACGAACGGTTTTGTTCGAGCTTTCTATCGTGACTGAAGTTTTCGTGAATTTTGACATCACATTTACTTATTGGTTAGAAGTTGGTCGTTGAATCAGCATTTGTAATTTATTGTTTTTGGTGGGATTAGATATTTTATATTGTTTGCGCGGGTTAGCTAAGTTCGAGGAGTTTGTAAAACTTGGTTGTCGTCAAGGTAGGAAATTAGAACTGTTAGGAAAAATGAAATTAAGTATCAGTTCCAACGGGATGGATTGCACGATACCTTATTTCCTGTGCGGAGCAGCATAAAGTCCAGGTGCTATTTTCACCAAATTCACAAACCACAATGCGAAAGTTATTAATTGCGATTTTTCAAGTGGCACACGCGCGCATTTCGAATACGACGGTAACACGGACGAAACGAGACTACTTTTTTCACTTATGTACAACGAATGTGCAGCGTGCAGTGGTGAGTCCATCTCGCTCACACATATTGTATAGGCGTTGTGCAGGAAAGGGATAGTGGAGATGATATGATACCAACCAAAATATTTAAAATAATAGTTTTCACGAAATTTGTTTAGTGGCGCGAACATATATCTCTAATGGGGAATCAAATTAGTCTGCGTTTATGGTCCAGTCAAATTTTTAATGTAAGTTCAATAACTTGGAAGAGAATGTCTTGGGCATTTAGTTTACAAAAGTGCATAAAGTTTGAAGAGAATATCCTGGGCATTTAGTCCACTGAAATACAGAATTGCATAAAGTTTGAAATGAATAGCCTTAGCTTTGCTTTGGCGCTTAAAGGCCGACTCGACCGGAGTGGTACCGCGGCCTTGTCGAGAGTAGTTTTTTTTATAGTTTTCACCGATTAAGAGAGGTTATCGGAGGAGGGGTACACACAGCGCTCGCTCACTCACCCTCTATTACAAAAAAATATATATACTTATATATGAGCAGGAGTCGTTTTCCTGCAAAGAAACGTGTAGTAGTAAGGTATACGTGTGGTGCGCGTGCAGTGCTGACGTCGGCGGTGTCGCTGGGCGACGGCGCGCGGCACGAGCGCGGCGAGCTGGCGGCGCGGCACGTGGCCAGCGTGACGCGCGCCGTGCACTTCCTGCTCACGCACCCGCCGCGCCGCCCGCTGCACGCCGACGCGCTGCTCTTCGACCGCCTGCTGGCCACGCTGCTGCTCGGTGAGACCATCCTTTCCTTACTTTTAAATTATGATAAATTTCAAATATTATTGTGTAAAGTTTACAAATGAAAATATTTTGTCCATTTTAGAGTCACCTGCATATTGCCTATTTGTGACTCAGACACCAATGAATAAATAATCTTTCTACAGATAACTAGCTTTTACCCGTGACTTCAACCTCCTGAGCCTCTTATTATTTATTTGTTTGCGAAATCATAATGCGTTCAGCTGTTTTTGCATGAAAGGGGTACAAATATCCACCCGACCGTCGTCACAATGATTGTACTGTTGTGTAGCGGTGAGCGGATCGGGTGGGTCTCGCGCCAAGTGGTGGGTGTCGAGCGGCGCGGAGTGGGGCAGCGCGCTGCAGGAGCTGTTCTGGTGGGGCAGCTCGCCCGCGCCCGGCACGCGCGCGCTGCACGCTCGCCTGCTGCGCGCGCTCTACCACGCGCCGCCGCACGTGCTGCAGGTGCTCACGCCCAGTGAACCCGCGCTCATTCGCAAGGTGATCTCTTTTTTACGTGTTCAATATTACACGCTTTACTACTACGTACACCAAAAAATATTTAAAATTCACAAATCATTGTTTATATCCTACTATTCTTTAAAACCAATAGCAAGCATAAATTAGAATTTTCTGCTAAATATCCTTATCTACGTTTCGCTGCTTTTCATTTTTCTGATAGAATCTTAAGTACTTATTATTTTTGTTAATTGGTATCCGTGTACTGGTGACCAATTACAGAACGGATAGTGACTCCGGCCTCTGTGAGCTACCCCATCCGCCTTTACCATCTGCTATATGCCAGTTTTCTTTATTTCTTTGTCCCATCTAGAAACAGTTATACTCAAAACCGGGAATAATTTGTCATACAAACCACAGAAATCCTTTGCATTGTTACCTATCCTTTGCCACCCCAAAATAAAAATTGCCCTTCCCCCATTTTATAAATACAATTTAAAAGGCTTAATAAAAATGACACGACACAGTGCTATCTTGTGTCTCGTCAACCTGCGGCAGAGGTAGACGACGATATCAATAATGTAGGTGTGTTTGTTAGCTGGCGATCTACCTGGTGTCGATGCTGAAGCACGTGCACCTGTCGGGCACGTTGGAGCTGGCCATCACGGACTGGGCGCGCTCGTGGGCCGTGGGCTCGCAAGACACGTTGGCCGAGCGCGTGCAGTCCGATGAGCTCGCGCCTGAGGCCGCCGCACTCTTGCAGCACGATGAACGCGCCTGGGCACGACGCGCGCTACGTGCACGAGCACAAATCGCTAAGTTAGTGCCAATAACTCGTTATAATGTATTATTTACAACTTTTTAGCTTTGAGGCTAACACTTAGGCCTGTTGGTCTAGTGGTTAGTAACTTTGACTGCTACGCCAGAGGTCGTGGGTTCGATTCCCAACCAGGACGAATATTGTGTAATGAGCACGGTCATGTTTTCTATGTCGGGGTGAACTGTATCTATGACTGCACGGATGGCGTAGTGGTTTAAGCGGTCGCCACGCCGCTTCCTACTATGCCGAGTGCTGTGGGTTCAAACCCCACATGGGACGACACTTTGTGTGATCCACAAATTGTTGTTCTGAGTCTGGGTGTTCTTTGTGTCCTTTTCATGTATGTTTGTAAAGTCCCCCGCGACACAGGATTTATTCCTAATGCGGGAGTTCTTTTAAAAATAAGAAATAATAATAAGTATGTGTTGAGAAGTATTTAAGTTTGTTTATCAGCAGTCTGCTTACCATAGCACAGGCTCCGTCTAGTTTGGAATCAGACGGTCGTGTGTGAGATGTGTTAAAATATTATTGTTATTGTGTGCGATAGTTTAGCATTATAGATAATAATTATAATTGAGGGGTCGTGTCGCGACACAGGGTGGTGTGGCGGAACGACGCGCTGGCCAGCAAGGTGACGGACAGCGCCATGGGCGTGACGCGCGGCGTGGTGGACGCGCAGAACGGCCAGCGCAAGGCCTTCATGGAGCACCTGCGCCGCGCGCACGCCACGCACGCCAGCGCCGCGCAGGCCTGGCAGCGCCTCATCGACACCTACACGCACGACCAAGGTACCTACCCTCCTACCTACCTCATTTCACTTGACATGTTCTTCTTTCTAGAAATTTCTTTCAATTAACCTTAAAATATATGTTTTACCTATATTTTTATATAATTTATTCGAATATGATGAATAAACTTGCAGCGGTATGGCACGACCCTCGCTCGTATCCCCGCTCGTGGCAGCTAGACCCCACCGAGGGCCCGGGCCGAGTCCGCGTGAGGTTACGCCGCGCTCACCTACACATACCTCCGAAATTCCTCAAACCGAACCAAAGACATAAAGCCGGTAAGCTCCTACACACATAATTATTATGAATCGTTCGCCGCTTCGTTTATCCATTTACCCAAGAAGAGTGCACGGTAATTAACGAGCCTGTTATCCAGAGACGGCGTCGCTGTCGCCCCCCCTTCGCAGCGTGGTGGGGGGATGGTGGGCGGTGCGAGGAGGGCTGGTGGCGCGGCTGCAGCTCAACGAGACCGTGAGCTACACCGCGCGCGTCACCTGCGTCACCGTGGCCGCCGAGCTGGACGGCGAGCTGCTGCTCAGCGACCGCTGCATACACTTCGTGCCCGAGGACACCAGCGGCGACCGGCCTCTCAGGAAGGATCGCTTGTACATACCGGAGGTCAGTCGGCCAGTAAACTTAGTCAGTTCAATAGAACGGCTAGACAGATTCGGTACATATCGGTTGGTGGTTGATTGTTTATAAATAGATGATTATATGTCTAGGTTCAGGCCGCCGCGGAGGCAGCGAGCTGGCCGCTAGAGTCGGTTGTACAGGTGGGGACCCGGCGCTGGTGCCTGCAGGAGCGAGCCGTAGAGCTGTTCCTCAGTTCGGGGCACGCGCAACTCTTGGCCTTCGCCGACCAAACCGAGCGTGCTGCCTTCCTCAAGGCCCTGGCTGCCTGCCAACACCCGCCCGCCAGGTACGTAAGCTAATTAAGAAATATAAACGTTAAGTTCAGTAAACAATCACCTATACTTACATAATAAAGCTTAAGACACTTATTTCGAAAACTGTCCATCGAATATGAAAAAATAATAATTTCATTACACCAGTCTCAAAGTATAGGCTATTGATCGTTACGCTACGGACCTTGGGAGTATAGCAGTGATCATAAACGTATATACAAAGGAACCTAGGACGCGATTTGAACGGCTGAATATTAGGTATACGTTACTGACAGAGAATTGTTTGCAGAGTCGAACCTGACACCCTAAACGAAGCCATGTCAGCGTGGCGGAGCCGCAGCATCACGAACTGGGAGTACCTGATGCGTCTCAATGGTCTTGGAGGCAGGACCTACAACGATCTGATGCAGTACCCCGTGTTGCCATTCGTGATTGCAGACTACACCTCCAGGATACTGGACCTGAATGACCCGGCGTCATTTAGGGACCTAAGTAAACCAATGGCCATTCAGAACAAGAATAGAGAACAGCACTATATTAACATTTATAATGTAAGTAGTAAACATGGTACTTGTAAATGCATTCAAAAGTACATTTTCATTGTTTGATCCTTAATAAAAAATCTTTCATCATCATCAACAGCCTTTAATAGTCCACTGCTGGACATAAGCCTCTCCTTAGAAAGGAGGTTTCGGCCTACTATACCACGCTGGCCAGACGAGTTGGTATAGGGTTTGTGTCAAGTTTTCCTTCTTTTTGCAGTGCTGGTGTCCTGCGTTGTTTTGCGCCCTTAGTGGGCTCTTACGACGAAATCTTTAAAAATCGATATTTAACAATTGAAAAGCTTAAGTATATCGTGTCCGGACAGGATCTGAAGGCAGCCCGTCGCGAGGGTTGCAGCCCCCTGCTGCTGCGCCAGCCGCACCACTACGCCTCGCTATACTCCAACTCGGGTGGAGTCCTCCACTACCTGGTGCGGCTGCCTCCCTTCACAGAACTCTTCCTCAACTATCAAGGTTCGTATATACTTGATAAGATTGTATAGTGTTTGAGTTGATATATAAATAATAATGGCTGCACCTCGCGGTGTTTACTCGTGGTTATTGTTGTACCTTGCTCATCCCACGAAAACATTACATTTTTCGGGATAAAATGTAGCCTATGTACTCGTCCAGACTATAATCTATATCTATGCCAAATATCATCCAGATCTGTACAGCTGTTTGACAGTTACTGTTAAAATTCATTTGTGTATTTATTTTTTCGCAAAGAGCATTCATGGACGACGGTAGTCACTTACCATTAGGTGACTCTATAGCTCGTTTGCCCCCCTTAAAAAACAGATTAAAGAAATATAAATTATATTTCATACAGGTTTATTTTTCCTTGTATGCTAATATTATCCCATGTAATACCTATTCCTTATTCTAGCTTCCTCCCTACCTACCCTCTTTTTTAACATCCTTATTTACCTTCTGCCTTTTTCCCGTCTGAAACCTGTTACACTCCCAAGGAAGATTGGCATCTAGCACAAGGCGGGCAACGCGTATGTGACTACTGAGTTGCAGACGTTCATGGGCGGCGATGCTGACTTTCCATCAGGTGACCCGTCTGCTCGTCTACCCCCTCTAACATAAAAAAAAACAGTCAATTTTTTGTTTATTTTTTACACATTACCGACACTAAAAAAAAATAGCACAAGGGCAGAAAATTTAGTTTACTCAAATTGCAGATAACAACTTCGACATGCCGGACCGCACGTTCCACTCGCTGGCGACCACGTGGCGGCTGATCACCAACGATTCGCCCACCGACGTCAAGGAGCTCATCCCTGAACTGTTCTATCTGCCGGAGCTCTTCCACAACAACGAAGGTCAGTATCATGACAACAACTTGATCTCACGTGTCTACTCCTAAACTAATTAGAGGCAGCCAAACTGCTGAGAAATTTACTTACATACTCCTAAAATAAAACATACCTATATGCTTTCTTATAAGTGAAAAAAAATATTTCTATGTTTTTTTTCTTTACTTTCATCATCATCATCATCAACAGCCTTCACCAGTCCACTGCTGGATATAGGCCTCTCCTTAGAAAGGAGGTTTTGGCCTACTGGCTTCTGGCTTGGTTCTTTAATTTATTACAACGTTTTTCTTTTTTAACATCTAATGCAGTGGACTGTTATAGGCTGTTGATGATGATTGATGAATGAGCTTAACAACTAAGTTACTCCTTTCAACATGTGCTACTTGTTTGAGTTCCTTTGTAAAGCGTCAAGGTGTACCGTGTGGCAGGTCTGAGCCTGGGCGTGCGGCAGTGCGGGCTGGGCGTGGACTCAGTGGAGCTGCCGCCGTGGGCGCTGGACGCGCGGCTGTTCACGCTGCTGCACCGCCAGGCGCTGGAGGCGGCTCACGTCACTGAACACCTGCCGCACTGGATCGACCTCGTCTTCGGCTACAAGCAGACCGGTCAGCCCGCTATAGATGCCATCAACGTCTTCCCCGCTTGTGTGAGTCATTTATCACGCGAATTATTTGAAATGCATCCAAATATATTAAACAGTTAAATTGTGTTCATTGTGACATTAAAATGAGCTTTAAAATATTAATGTGTCAAGTCCACCATCAAAAAACAAAAGTCATCGTCAGTTGACAGATTCGTCTGATTTTCCCATTAAAGTTATCATTTTTCATAAACGGAAAAATCTCGTAATAGTCACGCTTTAAGAAATCTGAACAGCGTTTTTGAATCTTCGATTTTTTTATTAGATTAGGTTCTTTTTTTGATAAATCAAGAGGACTTAAATAATATGTAGATAGATTTCTGATTATCCTAATTTACACAACACAATTAAAAACCAGAATGTTAACATGAACGGTAAACAAAGAAAAAATATAGTTAAACAAGGAAACATTAAAATTAAATTAAGAAAAAGTAAAATGATGTGTTTTTTTTTCCGCCTGCCAAGGAAGGGTTGTGTTTTTCGCGCGTATCTTTTATGCATGTAATATTCTTTATTACTTTATATCTTCCAAACCGCTACACGGATTAATTTAATTGACATATCGATTTTGGTAGTCGAATAGGTTGACGTGGGTGACGCGAAAAAAAAAACAACATGACGACTGTGAGATGCTATAGTTTAAAATATTTTTTTTTTTTTTGGATATAGCAATATGGGTATGAAATTAAAAGGCTTTTAAATTGTCTTTTCGCTGTCAGGTTATTAATTTTTTCTTTCCTCCTTTTGATCGATCGTCACCGTGTAGACGTACTACGGGTTCGACCCCATGGCGCTGGAGGACACGCTGGACCGCACGGCGGCCGCGGCCATGGTGCGCACGTACGGGCAGGCGCCGCGCCAGCTGCTCCGCGCGCCGCACCCGCACGCGCACCACGACCTGCTGCAGCAGCCGCCGGCGCAGGTGAGTGGCGGCGCGGGGCCGGGGGTGGGGGGGTGTGGGGGCCAGTGCTCGGAGGCTAAGTGCGCTCGCTCGTCAGCAGGCGGCGGTGTGGGCGGGCGTGGCGGGCGCGCGCTGGGGCTCGTGGTGCGGGTCGCCCGACGCGGCGCCGCCCGCGGCCGTGGCGCGCCGCGCGTGCTCGGGCGCCGCGCTGCTGCACGCGCTGCCGCACGCGCGCTCCGTGGCCGTGCTCGCGCCGCACTCCGCGCTCCTGCACCTGCAAGGTGACTGCCGCCCCGTCCACCTCTAACTTGATAAAAGTTTTCCTAACAGTCCTCGCCTCTAACACCGTTTTAAACGATCCTTTTTCTCGACTATTCATTTTACAACGAATCTTCCATTTTTATAAAAAATAATAAAATATATTTCGAGACGTATAATTTTTCTATGATAAAAACTAACATTTAAATTAAATTAACATCATCGAAACACACTACTACTACTACTACGGTTAATACTAATTCTAATATATAACGTGCTACAAATAGGTCTTCATATTTTAAAATATGTAATATAAAACATGATATAAATCTAATAAATTATTTTGAAAAGAACTTAAAATTAAAATTAGTATTTAACTATTTATTAAATGTACTACCTATTTTTATTTTTAATTAAATCTTTTCTACGATAATTTCTATAACTATTTGACGACCGGATGGCGTAGTGGTTTGTGTAACGGACTGCTAATCCAAAAGTCGCGGGTTCAATTCCCAAACAACTAATATTTGAACTGAACCTAACTGAATATTTAATACTTAATTTAGTCTGGATGTTTCTATGTAAAATATGTATGTATTTACAAAAAAAGTATATATGTATTAATATCAGTTGTCTAGTACCCATAGTACAAGCTCTGCTTAGTTCGGAACTAAATGGCGTTGTGTGAATGTGGTACAATATTATTATTATTATCTTAAAAAAATAAAACTTGTTCTAACACGTTTTCCTGCGTCAGGCGAAGCGTTATCAAGTGTTACTCAAAACACCGGCCAACAACCGCTCGGTCTGTTGTCGTGGGGCCACGCGGACAACATCGTCAGGTTAAAACGCAGGCGAGATGCACGACCAGACTTATTGCTGCACGTGCCTGCTCTGGATCAGGTAACACACACTGTTCAATATAGTCTAAAGTTTAAATAAATAATGATTGTTTACTACTTAGACATATGGTATAAAAAATGATTGGTAAGTAAAAAATGGCATGTGTACTATTTAACTGGCAGCTCCAATATCGCTTACCGGTTTAATCCATAGACATAATAGCATAGTGAACAAGAACCGCAATACTACAAAATAGACGATGAGAGAGATAGATAATAGATAGTTCCCTCTATCTCTTTCTAGTCGAGTTTTTTGGTTGACTTAATAAATTTCTAATCTCTCGCCTGTTCTACGACAAAACCATGCCTACTTCACGATAGCCAATCGCTTAGTAAAACAGAGATAAAGGGAACTATAGGCCATCGATCTGTCTCGTTGCCTGTATCGCTTACACTTTCAGATAGTTATGGTTAAATCAATCTCCTTTTCACGAAACCACTCTTATAGTCACTTCAAACACAAAATATATTTACATCAAAGCTAAAGAGACGTTTTTGTTTGCTTGAACGCACTAATCGTGTAACTATCAGGTTCGAATAATAAGCAACTGTCGGGAACTGTTGGTAACGAAATAAGAGCAAAGCCGATAGGTATGTGATGAATGGCCCTCGTGCAGATAACGCGCGTGTCGTCCACGTACGGCAGCTCCGTGTGTCCGTACCCGCTGCTGCTGGGCTACGCGTCGGGCCTTGTGGCGGCGCTGCGCGTGCGCGCGCTGGGCGGCGTGCTGCGCGTGCGCACGGTGCGGCTGCACGCGCACGCCGCGCCCATCAGCGCCATCGCCGTCAGCGCCCGCGCCGCGCTGCTCGTCACCGCCTCCTGCGACGGGCTCGTCGCCGTCTGGGACCTCAACAAGTCAGTGCACCGGTGTTTCTATATCGACGTACACATGTTGTTTAGCGATACTACTGCCAGTGTTTTCAAAAATATTTGAAAAAGTTATGCATGAGAAACGTACATCTTTCTTCGAGATGAACGGTGTTATTGTGGGGAACCAATTTGGTTTTGCAAAGATGAAGATCTACCAGAGATGCAGCTTTCTCTTTGGTTAACGACATCCTTCAGAGTGTCAATGAAAAAATGTACACAACAGTGATGTTTCTCGATATGTCTAAGGCATTTGATTTTGTTTCACATGTGCAGCTTCTGATGAAACTTGAGCATTATGGTGTTAGGGGACCTGCTTTGAATTGGCTAAAGACATACCTAGATGATAGATATCAATGTGTTGATGTGACACAATTAACCGCTTAAGACCATCTATCTATCTTCATGGCTAAATGAGCCTGTTCGCACTATATTAAACCTTTAATACCACAACATGTACCACCCCATTTAATAGCAAATAATTTGAATTTGAATATGATAAGGCCGCCACTTTCACAGTCATTTGGTGTACTCATTTATAAAAAAATAATGGTTTACAATAAAGTTTATTCTATTCTATGTTCTAAAATCTTCTTAATTTAGTTCTTTCTTATAATGCGGAATTAACGCAGTCGACAAATATAAACACGACCGGTGCGACCAGGACCCCAATTCTGCTCTATTAATATTGTATCGGTGGAATGTTGTAGGAATAGTTTTGCACTTTTCCTATTCTACTAACTATGTAAGACCAATGGCCTCCCGATGACTTGTCTTAAATACAAATGTCGCCGATGTCTTTGTAATAGTTTGGTAAACGGTACATTTTAAATTTGTAAGAAATGATATATTTAATTTTCCAGGTATTTCAATGTTGTTGATATCACCATTGCTGACCTATATTACTATGTCAATAGTCTATTGACACTACGAATTTATGTTAGTAGGATACCGATTTTGACCGATGTCAATGGTGCCTCAATAGCGTGTCAATGGAATGACAGTGGCTTGGCGTTGAATTGGCAGAATTGAGGTCCTGCTCTAAACCCCTTGCAATTAAAATCTTTATTACATCTATTTATTGCATTAATTGTCGAATTAAAAGGTATAAATCAGGGAAAGCTAAAAGTCTAAAGGTAGGTACAAAATACTCATCGATTTCAATAAAAAAAGAAATAAAAATATTGAAAGAAAACATTTTCATTAATCAAAGTTTACAAAACACCATTTAAACCATACTCATCTCTAATAATAAAAAAACAATTAATTATTCAAATTCTAATTTTACTGTTAAGATCTTTACATGTACTAGTTAAATATTAACACTACTAATACTCTAGTAAGCTTGTTTTTGAATTACTGTTAATATGAAATAATCTGTCATCTAAAAAAAAATGTTTTATATTCCAGATTAACATACATCCGAACACTCCCCAACCGGAACATGTTAACGGTAACGTACGTAGCCATCAGCGAGACGCTATGTGACGTGGCCACCGTCCACGACATGGCGTCCAGCAACGTCAACTCGGCCCCCACGGCCGATGACGTCACCAATGACGTCACAAGTGACGTCGACACCGAAGCCTACGAGGAAGACGCGGCTTATAAGTACAAGTCGTTGCTAAGGGTGCATACTGTTAACGCGAAGTTTGTTGGTGAGAATTGACTATTAATTATTTATTTAATTTTGTGTAATCGTCATTTTAGAATGTAATTTACTTAAGTGCATTGCTGTCAATAATAATAGAATCCTATCAGTTTAGATAACTTTTTTTTAACTCTAATTTTTAATGATTACAATTTGCTAATGGGTTTATAGTCATGATATAAATGTAACGGAGAATTTTCATTGATTTAATTTATTAATTTATTCATATATATTTATAGTTTTTCCTCGAGAACCAAAGTATCACTTTACCATATTTCATGTAAATCGGTTCATCGGTTATTGATTCCAAATACAAATTCCCACCCCCTTTCGTCCTTTCCCGGGACTCGGACTATACCAAATTTTATCTAAATCGGTTTAGTGGTTTAAGCGTTCGTATCATTTACAAATTGATCAAATTTGTTAATAATACGAATTGTATTTCATAAGTAAAATAGATAATACAATATTTCATAATCACTTCCTCTCAAACATTTTTCTACATCTAAAAGGAATTATTACAATCTTTAAGTTTGCAAGGATATTTGCGTTTGCACCATATACATTCTACATAGGAAGAATGAAAGTAATAATGAAACAAAAAGTACATAAATGTTACTTATACATTTAAACATTCTATAAACATTACGATCATTTTAATTCTTAAAAAAAGACAACCCCCGCATTAGGAATATATCCTGTGTCGCGGGGAATCTTACAAATATACATGAAATGGACACAGAAATACCTAGACTCAGAACAACAATTTGTGCATCACACAAACTGTCGTCCAATGTAGGGATCAAACCCACATTACTCAGCGTAGTAGGAAGCGGCGTAGCAACCGCTTAAACCGCTACGCCATTCGTGCAGTCAAATATATCAAAATTACCTTAAAAAAAATGATAAAATAGTGATTTATAGATTCACTGTATCGTTGCTCTATTAAAACTGTCTCTAGAAGCAATTTTAAAAAGTACCGTTTACGAGCCGTAGTTGGTATGTAAACGGTTGTTAACGGTATGTGTTTCACGTGTCAGGGAGCGTGAAGGTGGTGGAGCGCGTGACGTGCGCGTGCTACTCGAACGCGCCGGAGGGAGTGAGCGTGAACTGCGTGGCGGCCGGCCTGGACTCGGGCGGCGTGCGCCTCTACTCCTCCTGGGACCTTCGCCCCGTGCTCTACATCCCCCCGCCTGATGCCAAGCTGCCGCTGCTCAGGTACATATACACATCATCATACTATAACCGCTTATTTGAGTTTTCGCTCGTCTGTGGGTTACAGGCGGATTCTCTTCACACTACAAGCGACCGCGGCCCCCGTTCTAGTCCCTGTACCCTGCGGGCGAGGAATTATTTAAACGGTATTTCTATAACTGTGTGTGTGTGTGTGTGTCTATTCATTTTGACGGGGCTGGAGTAGTGTATTCGAGTGCCACGCCCTCTATTGCGTGAGTTTGACCTAATTATAACTGGTAAAGTGTCTATTTCCCTTCTCAGGTAGAGAGGAATGCGTTTATATGATTATTTGTATCGATGATTTATAACCCAGTTTGCAGTGAGTCAATATTGTCGGTCTAGTCTTTTATAATTTTTTTTAAAAGACAACTCCTGCATTAGGAATATATCCTGTGTCGCGGGGGACTTTACAAACACACATCAAACGGACACAAATAACACCCAGATTCAGAACAACAATTTGTGGATTACTCAAAGCGTCGTCCCATGAGGGGATCGGACCCACAACACTCAGCGTAGTAGGAAGCGGTTTAAACCTCTACGCCATCCGTGCAGTCAAACCGAAAATAGACTTTAACTTATTGACAAGTGTATCACTTATATGTTTGTTTGTTGTTTCTCGTCAGCTTGACGTACAGCAGCGACTCCCAGCTGCTGTTCGGGTGCTACGAGTCGGGCGTGGTGGTGGCGTGGGAGAGCGCGCCCGCCACGCGCCCCGCGCCCGTGCGCATCCTGCCCGCGCACGCTCTCTTCTGACCCAGCGTCTGACGTGCCGAACAGCTCCATCAGGCGATAGGAACGCAGGCTTTACACTAAGCTTTTGTTTATACAGTAAAAAAATTGTATCCTTTAAAAAAAGAATCTTACCTTACAAAGGAAAATCGAAAAAAAAAGTTATTCTTGCAACCGATTTAATATGTTAAATACTCGTTATCGCATTTAATCATTAATCGATTACCTGACTACTTTATAAAGTAATAAAATTAAATATAAAGTTATCAGTTTGTTCATCATTGTTGTCTGTTCATGAATATGCCTAAATGATATTTTATACATTTAATAAATTACCTCCTTACATAATGTGACTTACTGTTTAACTTAACGTAACTTAAACTAATAATTAGCGTCAACATCACTGAAAGTTATAAACTTACAAAAACTTATGTAGATTTAGAAAAGGACCTAAAATATTTGTGTCCTTATATTTTATATAACATATATTAAATTATGACAGTCTAAACATATCAGAAAACACATACAGGGCTAGTAAACCGTTTTCATCTAGTTTTCTGTACTTTCTCAACAAAAAATTAGACAGTAATATTGTCAATTTCAATTGATAATGATTCGTATTAAATGAAAAAGGTCAGGTAGATACTAGTAGCAGAGTAAATATTGTTAGCATAAAATGCGAAACAAGCTGAATAAACAACTCTTAACATTATTTAATGAGAACTTGTACTAGCACGTATAAACATACTAGAAAATAAAACGTAATACCAGACCTGTCTTGTCTCAGAACAAAAAAAAATAGAAAAAAAGAATAGTATTTTAAACTAAAACTTTTCAATTCCACAACACGGACGTATGAACGACAAATATACTACCTTCCAGTTGTAAAGTATCAAAATACATATGTTATTAAACTATGACAACACCAATATTGACAAAAATGTCTTCCAACATAAAATGCCTGTAGCAAATGCTGAGAGCCAAAATTTTCAATAAGATTTTTTTTTAATTAAGCGTCCAGTTCCTAATAATATTATGTATACCGTCTTATAGCAACTGTAGAAAATTAAAATCATCTATTTCTAATATAAATATATTAAATCTAAATAGTTATTTGTTGGTTTGTTCAAAGGCGCTTATCACTGAAACTATTATTTATATTCGAGTGAATCTTATTGTATTGGATAGAGTATTTTTAAGGAGTATAAAATATATATGTAAGTAGAAAATAGCACGCTACTGCTGTTAGGAGCAGAGCAGTGACTATAAACTGCAGCAGTGGCAAGTAATCTATTTAAGGCTAATTTCTATTGCCAAATGTTTGTTTATTGTTTATATTTTATTCTTCAATAACATCTTTATGTTATAAATATATGACAAATAAAGCAAACAAATTGTAAAAAAAAAAACTTATTTTTGTACCATAATTCTTTCAATATTGCAAGTCTTCGATTGTCAAGTTTTCGATATAAATTTTAATTAATACATATGAGAATTAAAATGTAAAAATGATGCTTTTATTTACACAAACTTAAATATTTGAAAGTAAATTATAGATAAATTAAAACAAAACTTCCATTACTAAGACTGTTACAGGATTGGAAACCAAAAGCAATAATGCATATCTTGTATTTTGTAAATATAATTAAGTACGTATTTTTTTATATGTGTACATTCCTGTAATTACTAATAAGATGTCTATAAATAATTGCTTATTTTTAATTTCTCATATTTAGATGATATAATATATTTAAATTATCATACAATGAACACTGAATGTATCTATCGTGGTGAAATCGACCCTTGCCCCCACTTTCATGTCTAGCCGATGTTTTAATATATTTATTAATGTATCTTTATGCCTATTTATAGTAGGCCAAAACCTCTTTTCTAAAAAGAGGTCTATGTCCAGCAGTGGACTATTAAAGGCTGTTGATGTGATGCCTGTGAACATTGATTATAAACTAGACAACGTTTAGATGGCAGTAGACTTTCCCTTAATACTCTTTGTATAGTAATATCGGCAATCCTAGCCATAAATCGTCAATAATAAAATGATTTCAAGGTAGCGATTTACAATAAATTTCATTTATATACATTTTTTTGTTTGAATGTTTTTGAATCTATTACATCACGTCTATGGTCGACTAAGTACCCACTGATACAAGATATAGAACAGTCAATGGTTACGACTGTGGGCAATTCCGCTATTCAGAGACAATGTCATTGACATATATATCATTCAAAGATGGCGATTTTTATCTTGACCAACAAAAGCAATTTTCTTCTAATAATTTTCATCGAAATTTTCTTCTCTATTTTCTTCTTTCTAAAAGAATTACGTTTGTGTTTGTGAATTGTAGACTGTTTGCAACTGTAATTATGTTAAATTTTGTTTTTATTTCCACTAAAAAAGTGGTAGGATATTACTATTCGTTTTACATAATAGGATTTGATTTGTATATCTAGGGTTTCTATGAAATATATTGAGTCCACTCACAAGCAGGCTCTGAAATTATTATTCACAATCAACACAGAGGCTATAATTAGAAACCTCTTAAAGTACTACATAAAAGCTACCTGTTTTTATCGCTAGTGTTGAACTCTGGTCCACAGCAACTAATAGGCAGTCTTTTTTTACTCTTATCAAATGTTTTAACTCTTATCAAAGGCAGTGTTATTCTTACCCTTGTTCTATATATAGGATTGTTACCTAGATATTTATCAGAAGCTTTGACTATCAATATTGTGGCAACACCACCATCCCAAATATTTTAATACAAAAATGGCAATAATTTATTACTTTAAGGATTTATAATATTCTTGCATAGTGTTATATACTATCAAATGCATTGTTAGTTATCCTAATATATGTTTTATGTTGAGTTTTGTAAATGAAATAAATTGTTTTATAATATTATTGTTTTTTTTTTATTTTAAAGTAAGATTGCTCTTTATTTTTTGTACCTTGGTCCTTTTATTCACAATGTCTTTAAAAACATTATTTTATCCGATAAATTAAGAAATAAAAACCTATAGAAGTGATATATATCAAGTACATTTCATATCTTTTAAAAAGCAATTTCAAATCATTATAAATAAAAATGATATGTTTGCTTTTAAATTTGTTGTTGTGATCCAACGTCATTTTGTCTGTTCTGTTCTGTCTGTTTTATTTATTTTAACGAAGAATATATAATTATTGTTTTAATTAGTATAAAATTGTATATTTGAATGAGTAAATAAAACGCAATTGAATCTTCATTTTCGAAGGATCTTTCAGAGACTTCATTTCGTCTACCAAGATACAAACTATTGACAGTTTCAGTTCCAACTGTTTATTACGTAGTAATGATACATTCGATACCAATTATTAGGTCCTTACATATGAAATTGGCGTTTTTTACGGGTGGAACATACAGTCATTTTTTTTGTAAAATATATTTAATTAATAAAAGAATGCACCGTTGTTATCTATGCACTTTTGTCATCTCATAGATAGTTTATTGATTCCTTTACTAAACAAACCATGGGGGCGAGAATTAATAAACTCTTTGAAGGTGGTTTGGACTGCCGCATCGGAGTTGAATTTTTTCCTTGTAGGAAGTTGTCCATATTCCGGGAAAAATGGTAATCTGTTAGACCGAGGTCCGGGGAGTACGGTGGATGTCGCAGACATTCCAATTGTAGCTCATCTAACTTAGTGGTTGTTTTTTGTGCAGTATGTGGTCTCGCGTTGTCGTGAAGCTGCAGTGGCCTGGAGCGATTGACCAATCTCGGTTGTTTAGCAGCTAGTTCTTCCTTCATGGTTTGCAGTTGCTGGCAATAGATATCTGCCGTAATCGTTTGGCCAGATTTTAGAAAGCTGTAGTGAACGACACCGGTGCTAGTCCACTAGCTAGTAACTTTTTCTCAGTCAATTTTCGTTTGGGGCAGGATTTGGGTGGGTCTCTAGGGTCCAGCCATTGCGACGAGCGCTTCCGATCATCGTACAGTATCCACTTTTCATCACAAGTAATGATTCGATTTAAAATCCCTTCATTATTGTGTCGGTTGAGCAAAGTAACAGAGCAGTCGACGCGTTTTTGCAAGTTCGATTTACTCAATTTCCACTTTGGTCTCCGGCCGTCCACGGAGTTGGTTCTGAAGGTCGAAATTTCCATAACGAAAACGTTGAAATCAAAAAAGTATCGTGCTTTCTTTTGCGACACCAGTCCGTATACATCATTAATCCTTCGAGCTGTTTCTGCAGCAGTGGTGCCAAGGTAGAACTCGTACTCGTAAATATACCGATATTTCATGTTTTCCATTGTGCGGTAATAAGCAACGCCAAAGAAAAAACTAATGAGGAAAAACAAATGAATGACTGTTTTCAAAACTCAAATGTACCAGCTAAATGAATTTATAAATTTGAATTTGGAATTCTTAAACAAAGACGAGATATTTCAGATCAAACTTCATGTATAAAGACCTAATAATTATCATACTGGGTTCAGAAGACTAAGTATCGATTACGTACTTGATTTACTATTTGTACTTGAGAAGAATCGAACCTTTTTGACATCCCTACGAACCCATTATCTAAATTCTAATGACACTTAATGACAGGTCATTTCAAAATGGCGTTTCATTGAAACATTGATCACAATTCACACTTACGCTTGGTTATTTATGTTCGACACTCTGTAGAGTACGTGTTCTGTGTTGGTGTATTTGTTTGTAAATTCAGTAATTATCTTTATTTTGTTCGATATAATAAACAATGGGTTCCAAGAAACATAAGAAGGACTCTAAAAAGAAGAAGCACAGGAGTAGGTCCCGATCACCATTGGACAACGAGGAGAGAGAACGTAAAAGACATCGTAAACACAAAGATCGCAAACGCGACCGCTCCCCAGACGGTTAGTTCCATATCTTTATTTAGAGATATTTACGCCAAATACAGATTATGGTTTCCAACACTGATGTTTTTTCACATTAAAAAAAATGAAAAAAGTTGTGGTGTTTGCCTGATATGATGTCATAATCTATACAGAATGTTTTATTCATATTCTAATTTCATATACGTTTATTATCATTACTACTCGGTGCGTGTTATTAAATAATGACCTACTTTAAAGAGCGAGTGGAAACCATAAACGGTGTTGGCGGAACTCTCATTTGACCAAATAATGGCATTTTTTGCTCGTTATTTCAGACTCGGTGGGATTCGACTTGTTCCACCGCGTCCTGCCAGTAGCTGCCACAAGGTAGGTGTTGTAAAGTGGCCTGGAGACCAGGAATGTTCAATATTTCGTGGACTATGGATGAGTTCATTACATATTATCTACTTAAATGATCTAAATTCTGTACCATGAAGGTTATAAACAAGAAAAATTATGGCCACAATGTAAAAGATATGTAGCCTATAAAGCCAATATGCTAGCCTAATCTGTGTGTGTGTAGGTGGATGCTTGTTAATGAATATTTGAAGTTTTATCATGCCTCCAAAACCTTTTCATATTTATCTTGTCTAATTCTCCATAAATGTATAAATACAGTGTTTTATCAAATTCAACATGGTGCTTCTTTCTTTAAAGCTAGTGTGAATAGGAAAAACATGTTATCACTATGATTTCTTGCAGTACAGTACTAAACACTAAACTAATTTTTAATATTGTGATGTAGAAATAGCTTCATCACTTCAGCACCATACTGTATTTTAAAATAGTAAACTCAGAATATAGTGCCTGTATTGCCTTGTTAAAAGTCAGACTGTGTTATCTGGTGGCTCATGAGGGTGTGTTGACACCGACTCTCGACCGAATATGAAATTATAAAAAATGCTCTCACTAAGAAGCATTCATAATATAGGATTGACTGAGTGAAGAATGATGTGGTAAGAAAACAGTGTGTGTCGAAGAAGATGTAGTGACAAGAAGTGAGAAAAGGATGCAAAAAGGATTAGCTAATGACTAAAAGTTTTTTTTTAATGTGACCCCTGTGCCTGCGAGCACGCCCCCAAAAGACACACACAGTTTAGCAGTATACTGAAGAAGGGCCTGGTTAAAAGCACCTATAACTGGTGAACTTATATGAAAGGCCTGATGAATGGTGAACAGTTTCAAGCTGTGGCTGTGGCAATTAGTGTTCTATCCCTAAACCAGATGAGAATCAGGTGTGAGTGTTTGTATGTATGTCACACACTTTATAACAACATAAAGAGCAGTATGTCCGTGTGGTGACGGATTAAGAATACAAATTGTCACCACCCCAATTCATCCCGTGGGTGTCGTAAGAGCCGCCTAAGGGAGCAAACTAAGCAGGACAGCAGCACTGCAAAGAGAAGGAAAACTTGAAACAAACCCTATACCAACCCGTCTGGCCAGCGTGGTATGACCCCAAAACCTCCTTTCTAAGGAGAGGCCTATGTCCAGCAGTGGACTAGTATAGGCTGTTGCTGATGATGATGAAAGAGCAGTATTACATTTATTAAAATCCATGTCATTTATTTCAATTAAACCGGACACAGGCATTTTTGAATTTTCAGTAAAGTAGTCAGTCGTGAAATTGGTTGCCTGTTCCAATATGTAGATTATATAGAGTAGAGGACGGAAACGGTTTTTTGCCCTGTTGTTCTTTTTACCTGACTGCCGCAGAAAGTGGATATATTATGTATTTCTTTGGCACACTATAGCCTAAATGGTTTGATGGATTTTGACTTGGAAGGTGTCAAAAGATTCTTCTTAATTGTGAGTGGCACTAGATTATATGAAATTTATAATAAAACTAGCTGACCCGGCAAACGTTGTATTGCAAAACAAAAAAAATAGGGATGGGTCACCCTTACCATTTAGGGGTATAAAAAATAGATGTTGGCCGATTCTCAGACCTACCCGATCTGCACACAAAATTTCGTGAGAATCGGTCAAGCCGTTTCGGAGGAGTACAGGAACGAACATTGTGACACGAGAATTTTATATATAAGATAGATTATTACCTTATGAACCTGTTTGGAAATTTTAAGTTACTGTACATTTTGACCAAGTTAGATTATTGTTTTTTTTTTTTTCAATAATTATGTAGCTTGTTCATGATTATTTCATCTGGAATAACAACTATATTCATAAAAGATTTACAGTTTTAATGATATGTTTATTTTGGGCAGCAATGTATTGTACAATAATGTCTTAAGAACTAATATGCATAATGTTTTGATCTAATACATGCAAAAATAATGTGTCCACAGCTTAGTTATTTATATAAAGTATAAAAGCATTTACTTACGCCTTTTTTTCGTTTTATCTATACATACAAAATTACAGCTAAACAGCTGGTGCTTTTTATGCTCTAAGAAAGGATTTTTGGCAATTTTAATCCTAAGGGGTAAAATTAATTATGAATGTATGGGAGATCGTGATTTAGAAACATAAAATAAAAAATAACGTAGCTGTTTTGTACTTAACAAAGTAGACTTAAGTAAGACTATGTTGAATTTTTAAGCTCAAGCTTCCTTCTCACCATTAAGAGGCTCATAACTCATGCCCTTAGTATTATTAATGCTTATTAGTTTAGTTTTATCATATCATCATGGATCATACTCTTTTTATGCTTCTTAAATTGTATGTATAAATTCAGATAAAGATATTTACACTTCTGTTACACAATTTACATGTTAAAGATATGTTTTGTTGAATAAAGAAGAGAGACTTAACATTTATTTGCATAAATATAAATTTCAGCATAAATTTTGCGATGGAATGGCATCTCATTGATAATTTCTTTCGGTGCCTCCATAAATTATAATTCAATCATTCTGATAAATTTATAAAAAGATCTGAAATTGCACTAACGGTTTATAGTTTATCATTGTAAAGGTTTTACAGTTCATAATTGTATTGGTATAATTATCTTTGCTACTAATTTAAATACTTTTCTATTCATTTATCTCATCAATCTGACAAAAGTCATTTTATTTATTCATTTATTTTATTCTTTATTGTACATCAATCGTCAACAGCCTTTACTAGTCCACTGCTGGACATAGGCCTCTCCTTAGAAAGAAGGTTCTAGGTGGCCTACTATGCAACACAGCTTTATTGTAAACACATTAATATTAAACAAAACTACATGTACAAAGGCTGGCTTAACCCAAACCTGAGTTTTCTTCTAGCGAACCTTTAGAGTAAAGAGGGTTATAGAGAATGTAAGGGCAAAGTCATGATGTGTACTTAGGAATAAGTAGAAGAAAAATTATATAATTCAAACAAATACCAACATTCACTTGTGTAATTTGCTATTAATTTCAAAATAAGTTAACCAAATAAGAAGTTCAAAATGTCTAAAATAAAGGCATGGCATTAAAAGGTCTTCCTGTAGTTAATGGGCACTACATTATTTTAGTATAGTTTTAGTCACAAGTAAGATACTGATAAAGCAATTTCTATGTATATGGTACAAATTTAGTTTTAGCCTTTCTTTTTTTATATAACTTGTACTTTGACATACAAATCTTCCAAAGTTCCAATTAACATCCTCTCTAGTCTAGTTGCAATATTCTAGATTTCAGAGAGAATACATTCGTTTAGGTAGTGAATAGTGTGACTGATAAGTGATGATTGAGGTTGATGAGAGATGATGGTTGAAGAGATGTTGAACATAGTACTGTACAAGAACCTATAAACAGCATTACTGTGATAGGTTTGTTGTTAATGGACTGACTGACTGATTGAATAGAGAATAAAACTTTGTAGAAGGCTAAATAGAACAAAGAGTGTGCAAAAAATGATTTAGGTAAATATTACCCTTGTTCAACATAAAATATAATGTAATGTTTAAAAAGACAACAATATTTTAGAAACAGACTTCTTATAAACTGTTAGGTGGAGAGTAAATGTCCTCTTTCATTGTTCCAGTTGAGGAAGTACCCGTGGACTCGCATCTGCAAAAGGAGAAACCAGCAGCAGTGCCAGTAAGCAATGCCAGGAGTAGCAGTGAGGAAAGAGACAGACGTGCCAGAGAACATCACAGATCTCACAAAGATTGTGGACAAGACAGGTATAGGTAATTATAAGCTAAGTTTTTGTGTGGTGTCTTTTTTAAGCGTTTTATGAGTGCACGGATGGTGTAGTGGTTGAAGCGTTCACTTTGCCGCTCTTCCTACTGTCCAGTACTGGACCTGTTATTATTGTACCTTTACAGGCTTGAAACACCGTCTCCTCTCTGTCATGTTCATTATGTAAGCAGAACAAAAATTTAGAATGCAGTTTCAGATCGTCCTTTGTCGTGTTTTATACCTGTTTTTAAACACACAAATAATTTTTACATGAGTTGATATTTGTTTTATTGACAAGGGTTACCCGCTTGGTGATGTATCAAATTCTTGATGAACAATTTTTAATATGTTTATATTTCTATATCCTAAAATTTTTTTTACCCCCAACCCAAAAAGAGGGGTGTTATAAGTTTGATGTGTATGTGTGTCTGTGGCATCGTAGCTCCTAAATGAATGGACCAATTATGATGCGATTTATTTTTGTTTGAAATCTGACGTGAGCGAGAACTGTTGTAATATAATATTGTTGTGAGGGTAGGTATAAGTTCCTACACAATAAACCAGTTGTTGTCCCGCACTCGGTCGTTTCATTATAAACATAACAAAGACCATCAGCTCATTTCTTAATTGATGAAGAGATCTCACTAACTTACACAACTCTGATTGATTTGGAATTTGGTGTACTGTTAGTTTAGTGGTATTTCCATGACCTTGACCTGATGTACCAAACCTTGGCTTGATATTCGTGTTGGCGTGTTCCTAATTTTTTATATGTGTTATTGGATGACGTAACTTTTAACAAATGATAATAATTTGCTTTATTTAATCATTCTTTAATTGACTTTATATTTTAATTTTAGATTTATGTTTATTCATCGAAAATGTAGTAAGATATGTTTTATAACTTTATAATAATTGTAAGAATAATGGATAAACATTAGACTGACACTGATCTGTGTTCAAGTCTCTCACTTCTAAACCTATTTGTTAATATTGTAGTAAGGAGAGAGAGAAGAGTTCCGAAAGCGACGCTCGCACAGCGGAGCGCGACAACTCTGTCGGGCCGACGACCGGTGGCGCTGCTAAGGAGAGCCTGTCCATCGAGGAAACCAACAAGCTCAGAGCCAAACTTGGACTCAAACCGCTTGAGGCCGCTGAGAAACCTGCTGGTTCGTATATACTTTATTTTATGCAGTGCTTCTTAAACCTATCAAATTATTTTGACCAGTTGAGAGCTCGTGGGTTCGATTGCCATCATAGGATAAATAATTGTGTAAAGAGTATGATGATTTGTTCTGGATCGTAGTTTAATTTATCAAATAACATATGTATGTATAGAAATATATAAAAATATTTATCAGCAATCTAGTAACCATTATACAGGATCTGTCCAATTCCGTATCAGATCGCCGCGTGTGATGTCACACATCAACAGCCTATACTAGTCCACTGCTGGACATAGGCCTCTCCTTAGAAAGGAGGTTTTGGCCTACTATACCACGCTGGCCAGACGGGTTGGTATAGGGTTTGTTTCAAGTTTTCCTTGTCTTTGCAGTGCTGTTGTCCTGTTTAGTTTGCTCCCTTAGTCGGCTCTTACGACACCCACGGGATGAATTGGGGTGGTGACACTCCATATTCTTAATCCGTCACCACACGGACTCGTCACCACACGGACTGCGTGCGTGTGATGTGTCAAGTTATTATTATTTTTTCGGTTTCTGATAGTTTTCAAACAGTTTTTCCTATGCCTGAGATGCTCAACATGTTGGACACGGTTGAAATCATTTTATTTTGTACAGATGATGGCAAGATCAAAGACGACTTGGGCGAATTTTACCACAAACCAGCCTCCAACATCGCAGCTCAGAAGAAATCTGAGAAGATCCGCGAGAGACTCGAAGAACGTAAGGAGAAGAGGAAGATTGAACAGAAGTAAGTGTGTTGTTATTTGTAAGAAATCAATATATCTGTTATTTTGAATCTTCCATTTACTTCTTTACTGACATTGATGTAATTTAAAATATCGTCATGATCGTAGAAAATTTTCGGTTTTGAAAAAAATATGAAATTCGTTTTTGACCATATTTGGATACTACATACGTCGAGTGATCCACAGCAAACTCTTACTGCGAGGAGGCGGTCACGACCCTCAGCATTGAGGCAACCAAAGCGAGGAGGAGGATACTACATTGTCTAAATATTAATACTACATTTAAGAAAAAAATATATGTATTTTAGATTTCAAATTATTCAGTGTTTGTTTGATAGGCGCTCAAATTAAATGAAGCATGTTATTTTTCTAGATAATTGTATGATTATTAGTTGTTATTATTATTGCATTTTTAAAAAAACCCTCTTTTTCACTTGTATGCCAATTTTCATAATTACAGATTAATGGATAATTATGTTATTTTCATGAGAATTTTTTAAAATTCTAATTTATTTAAAATCTCATAAAAATAACATCATTATTTGCAATGGCTGCCCTGTAAAGTTCAATAAATGTCAGATCCGACACTATTCTACCACTATGACGATATTCTGTGTAAGAAGTATCAAAAACACCCAGGATTTTATGCTATTAGTGTCAGCCAAGGATGTGGTCTAAATTGGTTGACAACTTGTGAGTACCAGCAAGGATACATCATGAAATTTCTGTAACTCTCTGATGATACCAATAGTAGAAAATGAACAACATCTCCCATCTTTCTAAATAGGTATTGAGGTCATATTGTAAGTTAATATTTTAGCGTATGCGACTGCTATTCTGAGGTCTCGGGTTCGATTCCTGGATCGGACCAAATATTTGTATACTCTGCAAATATTTTATTGTATATAATGTATGTATTTACAAACAAAAAAAGTCTATAAGTATTCAATCAGTCAATCTAGCTTTCATAATACAAGCTCTGCTTAGGTTGAAACTAGATGGCGTTGTGTTTTAGGTATCTGAAATATTACAATTATTTATATATTTTGTGCAGATTACAAACTAGGCTGTTGGCAGACGAATCGGACGAAGAGGACGCGTCAGCCTGGGTGAACAAGTCACGGGATATCGAAGCACAGAAACGACAGGCTGCACAAAGAGTAAGCACTATTTATTATAGTTTTATGTCTTTGAGACACCCGATCCAATCTAATTCACTTACAGTACATACACAACTTCAATGGCTTCTCGACGTTGGTAGTGCATAGGATGTTATTATAATATGGATAATATAATAATAATATTTTCAGATTATAAATCATAGTACATAGTAAAAATTTGTGACGTCGGAAGAGTCAGCATTAGTAAAAACAAAAACATTTTACCATATACATATATATTTATGTTCACACACACACACACATATATATATATATATATATATATATATATATATATATATATATATATATATATATATATATATACATACATACATACATAAATATACATATATATACACAAATACATATCAGAATACATGATTTTAACAACAAAATAACTAAAGTTAACAAAATAAAATCAATTCATTAAAATAAATTAGTAAAATTAATTAATGAGGCAATAAAAATTTAGTTAGTTATAACACGACATAAAATTAAAAGACTGTGGAAAGCTTATTCTGTATTTGATAATGTAACAGGACCTGTATGCTTTCTCCACAATGTATAAAACTTTGTTAGCTTTAGTGTGCTCAATTACCTCTTTTTTTTCCGTGCGGAAATCCCCTCGGATACCACCTATCGGTGGCATGTCGGACTCGAACCGACTGAAACCGCACGCCGTCTCGGGTACTAATAGCCGGGGAACCAGGTATACCCTAGAAAGGCTCAATTACCTCTGTGCTTGGTGTACACGTTGATAACAAACAAGTATAACATACTAATGTAAGGGTGCGTTTTTAGGCGGCGATGCTTGACGAGATGGACGAGGTGTTCGGTGTGTCGGCCCTGGTCGCTGAAGAAGAAGAAGCTGATAAACGAGCCAGGTATACTGCCAACCATCTGAAGGGGTTACGAGTGGCGCACGATCTGGATACTGTATGTATTAGCATCATGTTATTTATATATGAATGTATGTTTATCTCATGGTTTGTGTATAATAATGGTTGTTTTTGTTGCAGATTGTCGATGAACGTGAAGTAGTGCTGACGTTAGCTGACAAAGATGTACTGGCTGACGATAAAGAAGATGTCTTGGTCAATGTTAACATTGTTGATGAGGAAAGAACTAAGAAGGTAATATATGATATACTGTTTTATTCAATGCATTTTTTGTACCTTTTTTTTTTCTTTTTTTACGTCAATTTACGAGGCCAAAACCGCCTTTCTAAGGAGAGGCCTATCTCCGTCAGTGGACTATCGAAATCTGTTGATAATGATGAGACATTGCTTTGCAAAGATACATAAAGGATATTTTCTAATAACTAGTTTAGATTATAAAAGTTTGCATAATGTTTTAGTTTAGGGATTTGTTTGTGTTCGAGATAATTAGGTTGAACTATTCATCAAAAGTTTTAGTCAAATGTTTGTCTTATTTAAATTTCACATGACGTAAAACTGCTGTCATAGGAAATACTGATAAAAATATAGCAGATTAGCACATCATCTTAAATTATTTTTCATTTCATCTTGAATTTTTAGAGATTGGGTTTGTTTGAAGTTAATTTTTGTAAAATCATGTTCTATACTAGACTATGTAAGCTGCTGGTTGGCCTGTTAAATTTACTAAATGTGCGTATTCCAGAACTTGCTAGAAGCAAAGAAGGCGAAGGCGGGCTACCGCGCGTACGACGACGAGGCGGACCTGGAGGCGGCGTCGCTGGGCTTTGCCCGCCCCGTGCTGGCCAAGTACGACGAGCACATCGACAACGGCAAGGCAGCTGACAAACAGAAAGGCTTCTTTATTGGAGACGAGGACGCCTTCGAAGCTAAGAAGTTTAAAGAGATGATGGTAACCATCCGTTTGCTAATTACATACTGTGATAATACAATGCTTATCTCAGTCTCTTACAAGTCAGCTAAATGCTAACAGCTTAATTTATTTTAATTATTGTTTATGATTTTAATTGATTCTCAGAAGACTGTCTAGGTTGTATCTTAGTGAGACAAGTTCTCATCTCGTGTGATGCATTTTTTACATGCTTTATATTAGCTTCACTTGTATGTATGTTTGTAACCGACTCCTTTGGGCGTGATTTTGACTGACTTTAAACGATCAGAATTCGTTAAAAACTTTGTAGATATATCGAGGACTGATGACAATACACTAATTAAATATATATACATATATATAGTTTTAAAAATTAGGTTTTTACTATTGAGAACAGACACCCAACGCTTTTTTTTTCAAATTATTAAAATTTATTTTCTATTTTTTAGTTTGGTTTTCTATAAAAAGCGTGTATTTTAGTTTTTTTTAACTATTACTTTTTTTATTCTATTGTTGTTATTGGATAGTTGATATTTATAGTATGTTAATTATTGCTTGAATTTACTTTTAATGCTAAAAAATACAAAGCAGTTGTAACTTATCCCGAACTAATATCATCGCTTATAGTACTGTGGAAGAGTGGGTAAGCGCTGAGATTTTAAGTATATTTTGTTGTTATGTACAGCGGCAAGAGCGTCTGCAGGGCGGCGTGGCCAAGCGCCTGGAGAGCTTGCAGATGCCGCAGATGCGTATCGCGGCCGATTACATGGACGAGCACGAGATACAGGCCAAGTTCAAGAAACCTAAAAGAAAGGTAAACATAATTTTTTTTTCCGACCCTATTTGTTATTCTTTATGCTTTTAAATCTATATATAATGTGTCATCCACTGATATCTTTAAACCTTCCATCATAAGATATTGATAATCTAACGCAAACACCCACTCTATGAATAAACAGGCCTGTTGGTCTAGTGGTTGGTGACCCTTACTGCTAAACCAGAGGTCCTGGGTTCGATTCCCACCCAGGACAAATATGGTGTGATGAGCATGGTCATTTGTTCTGTGTCTGGGTGTAATTTATCTATAATATGTATGCATAACAACATCACTGCAGAGAGAAGGAAAACTTGACACAAACCCTATACCAACCCGTCTGGCCAGCGTGTTATAGTAGGCCAAAACCTCCTTTCTAAGGAGAGGCCTATGTCCAGCAGTGGACTGGTAAAGGCTGTTGATGTGATGTATGTATTTAAAAATATATAAGTATGTTTATCAGCGGTCTGGTTACCATAGTACAGGCTCTGCCTAGTTTGGGAGCAGACGGCCGTGTGTGAGATATATTATAAAAAATCGGTTGTCTGTAAAGTGGGTTTACTGACTATAGTTGAACGTGACAACGTCATAAGGAAATACTGATGGAATGGTTGCATTTTTCAAAAATGTATTATTGTATACGAGTAGCAGCTGTCCACGCGGACGCATCGCTCACTCAAGTAGGAGAGAGACAGATGTCGAACGCTGCCGAACGCGGAGGCCGATTGTGCCTCTTTGTCACTCGTTCCGCGCTCTCGCTTGCACTTCACGCCTTAAATGGAACGCCTCAGAGCGAGGTAACGCCGCATGAGTCATGTTTTTTCGTGCGTGCAGCCGGCTCCATCGAATTATAAGACGTTGTCACGTCAAAAAAATAATAAAAAACCAATAATAATTTATATATTTTAATAACTTTGTTTCCTTCAGGGTAAAATGCGCAAGAAAGCGAAAGAGGAGCCCATAGACGTAGACGATTATGACGCCGGAAATGCACCGCTCGACACAGATGACACAGGTTATTAACTTCACTTGATCTCCTAGTTTATATTCTGTTCATAATGTTTTAAAGTGACCATCGCCGCCCATGAACGTCTGCAACTTAGGAGTCACAAGCGCGTTGCCGGCCTCTATTCTTGAAGGTTTGAAGGTCGTATCGGTCCGGAAATACCGCAGACGATAACACCTTATACAGATTGGTTGTGCGGGGCAAAAAGTGTCTCGAACAGCGCACAGTGGTTGAGCGCCAATTATCAAAGTGTTGGATAAAAATTTTGCCGTGTGGAACGAAGGCGGAAGGTTGCGACCGGTATTAGTCCAAACAATTCCTCGGAGCACTCTCCATATTGTGTGTGATAGAGAATGCAGAGTGAAGCTACATCTCTACGTAACGTCAACGAACGTCTGGAAGTCGACTAGTTCATTCTATCTTTTGAACTTTCACGTTTCATGATTTATAATTATGTGGACGTACGGTAATTACCAATACGTAGAGTTATAATTAAATAGTATCAAGCCTCGCACAACTACTCTGTTTAAGGAGTTATCGTCTCCGATACGATCTTCAAACCTTCAAGAAAAGAGCGTACTCCCTCCTAAAAGGGCGGCTTGTGACTCCTAAGTGGCAGGGCTCATGGGCGGCGGTGGTCACTTTCCATCAGGTAACCCGTCTGCTCGTCTGCCATAACAAAAAAAAAGAAAATATACCTTAACATTGCCAGAAGTTTTGACCAGGTTGCTCTGGCATCGGTCAATGGTTGACTCTTAGTTTAATTCATTCCTTCTTACTGAATTTTATACACATTCTATATCTTTCTCCAAAGTATAGGTTTGGATTAAGTTTAGATAATAACCGTTGACATTATTTGTGATACAGATGTGAAACCGGAGCAGTTGTCGGTGTCGATAGCGGTAGACGAGGAGGAGACGGAGCCGGACACGGAGCTGCAGGCCGCGCTGGCGCGGGCGCGGCGCCTGCGCCAGGCCGAGCTGGTCGAGCAGACACAATTCAAAGTGCCCAAGGTCAGATACTGCCACTATTCTACTATACTAACTGATATTCACCTCGTTTTTCTTGTTACAAGATGGCCAGTTTATATTTAACTCTCAAGTTTTTTAATACTGCACGGATGGCGTAGTGGTTTAAGCCGTCGCCACGCCGCTTCCTATTACGCCGAGTGTTGTGGGTTCAAACTCCACATGGAATAACACTTTGTGTGATCCACAAATTGTTGTTCTGAGTCTGGGTGTACTTTGTGTCCGTTTCATGTATGTTTGTAAAGTCCCCCGCTACACAGGATTTATTCCTAATGCGGGAGTTGTCTTTAAAACAAAAAAAAATATGATAATGTTACTCACACTAGACCGAGATGTCTCTAGAATGTTCGTGCGAAGTTGTTTTGGTAAACAATAGGATGTCACTTTAAACGTAAACAACTTAGCAACAGTGTATTTTCGTCCTGCGTTGATTATAGACAAGAAAAATCGTGACAATAATAGGCTAGTTGACTTAATTTGAAAACTTGGTTAATTATATACTTTAATATCTATTTTATCCCAAAAAACCTATATTTTAAAGAAAAAGCAATATTGTATTTATATTTATAAGAAAAAGCAGTGTTGTATTACGTATTTTGTATTTACAAGAAAAACAATTTAAATTTCCCTTGAAAACGCTGAATAGTGTCATGGCGTCTTGAATGACGTCACAGTCTGCGAAACAAAACTGTTTACATCTGCGTCCAGTGTCAACTGTTTCCTAAAAATGAATAAGGAATAAGAAGTAACCTGCTCTGTTGTATGAAAACGTCAACAACAACAATGATGTTTTGCGTGGCGTGACGTAACACGTTCTGATTGGTGTTCGCTGTCACGTGACTTAATGCCTATTATGTACGAATTTAAAAAAAAAAAAAAAACTTTAACTTTTATTAGAAATAGACTGGTTTTTTCTTATCTATGTCTCTTCATTTATAATTTGAAACCATAAACCAAGCAATTTGTTATTAGTGGACACAAGCCTATTGTACAATGTGCCAAGTATTAATTACCTAATGAATGTCAACTTTATCTTATATTTATTTATTTTCTTTAAAAACAACTATTTTTACACATTTTAACTATTTTTATATATTTCTATCACTATGATACAGGCTAGGTAAATGAAAGGAGCGTAATAATACTGCGTCGGTGGCTCAGTGGTAGCGTATGCGACTGATGTGCGGAGGTCTCGGGTTCGATTCCCGGGTCGGACCAATTGTTTGTATAATCTACAAATATTTGTTTCGAAGTATGGGTGTTTTCTATGTATAATATGTATTTATTTACAAAAAAAAAACAGTATATAAGAATTCGATCAGTCAATCTAGCTTTCATATGTAGTATAGAACTTGTAAGTTCAGCTTAGTTTGAAACTAGATGTCCGAATATTAAAAAAAAAATGCTTAGGAAAACTCAATCGGATATCCACCTCAATAAATATCACCTCTTATGTAATTTATTGTCCCGTATAGGTTGAAGACATCCTAGAGAGCGTGAAAGAGGAGCCACAGCCCGAGCAAGTGTCCCAGGGGGGCTCGATGGTGTTGGACGCCACGGCAGAGTTCTGCCGCACGCTCGGCGACATCCCCACCTACGGGCTCGCTGGCAACAGGGATCATCACGCTGAGATTATTGTACTTATAAACATTTTTATTATTATTACTACGTACGTACGTTTCCAAAATATATTTAATACAATTAAATATATTTCGGAAACGTACCAATATTTAAATGAAAAAAATTAAGTATTTTAAAATTTATATTTAGAATTTTTATTTAAAATTCAACGATTGTTTGTCTTTGGAGTATTATTAATAAATATTTATTGTTATATAGGATTTCGAGCGTGAGGATATGGAAGTGGAGCAGGAGGCTGACGTGACCGATACGGCTGGAGCTTGGAGCCGCGTTGATGTAAATAGCGACAAACCGGCCGATCTCGCTGCAGGTACATTATTGTTTGTTTACTTTAGTTTTGTTATTTTGTGGGCGAATAGTTGTTTTAGATAAATGGTTGTATGTCATGTCTTTTGGGTATTTTTTATAATGTGGATATAAAACGTTACGATGATTGCTGAGTGGGTAAATAATGAAGTCTTAATTAGCGGATGAGTAAATTTTTTTATAATATTTTTATGATATATGTGAATACGTAATGTCACCGCACCTATCTATCCCGTGGGTGTCGTAAAAGTCGACTAAGGGAGAAAACTACGCAAGACAACAGCACTGCAAAGAGAAGAAAAACCTAATACAAACCCTATACTAATCCGTCTGCCCAGCGTGGTATAGTAGGCCAAAACCTCCTTTTAAAGAAGAGACCTATGTTCAGCAGTGGACTATCATAGGCTGTTGATGATATGTGATATTATTAGTATTTACAATGTCATGTTGTGTGTTTCAAATTACAATGTTTTTTGACGTTAATAATTTATATCAGTTGTATCAAATTGTTGAGATTTAATAATAATCCTTATTTATTATTATAACAATACAGATAGTGCATGAAGTTTCCGACTTTTGTGCTAGTTAAACCTGTGTTACAGAAGCCAGTGCCCTCTCTCATTATAGTAACATATATTTTGTTTTATGAAATAAAGTCACAGTATAATATTTATCATTAGTCTATCGCAGTCCACTGCTGTACATAGGCCTCTCCCATTGCAAACCACTTAGATCGATTTTGGGCTTCTCGCATCCAGCTCCTGCAAGTTATCTTTCGCAAATCGTTACTCCAGCTGGCCTGTGGGTGTTCTACATTACGTCCAGTACTATATTCATTTGGGTTATTAAAAAGAGTGGGTAGGTAAAAAAAGAGATAGGCAACCTATGTGTGTGTGTGTATGTAAGTGAAAGTACAAGTATGTGCGGCAGGGTCGTGCGTGGGTCTGGAGGCGGAGCCGGCGCTGGGCTGCGGCGTGTGGGGCGCGCTGCAGCTGGCGCTGTCCAAGGGCTACCTGGAGCGCGCCGGGGCCGCGCCCGCGCCGCCCTCCGCGCGCAGCGCCCTGCTCACCGCGCGACACTACTCCATCGAGGACAAGACCTACGGAGGGTGAGCGAACCGAGACCCCCCCTGGAACCGCTACGTTCCACCCTAACTCTCCTACTGCTAACCTTTTTCCATAACTAAATCTTAAATAAATTTCCTCTCGCGACTGTTACCGTGCATTGGAAATTCTAGTAATAAATGTAACAGCATCATCGTCTGGCACCCACTGTGAAAAAAAAATATACGAATAAAAAATTCTGTCTTCTGAAAATGTATAAAAAAAATTGACAAAGTCCCTACCACATATCTCTACCAGACTCATGGCTTCTCACCTTTTCAAACATCTCTGACATGTTATTATACAGCAGTGCCTGGTTGTCAATTTTATTAAATATAACCAAATCTATATTATAAGCTATCACAGCTTTATCAATTGTATCAGAGTCTAAAAGACACTTGTAAGTGCCATCTATTATGTCTATTGCCCTAAGTATCATTTTCAATCCCGTTCCTATTTTCACCTTCCAGTTTTCCGAGTTGCTCTTCCCTTCTGACAGAACAATCTGAGGAATCACGATTGATTTCGACTCCATGTTTAAAAAACGTAGCACTGACGTCTTACAAATCTTCATTTATTTACTTCTTTTTACCGTAATCTGTTTCAAAACATAAAAACCAGAGACTATATCAAAGTTACATAGTACACAATAAATAAAAATAAAAAATAAAAATATGTTTATTGCCACCACAAACGATATAATGTACAGTGAATTACAAAGATTAGTGCAAAAATAAAAGTTGTAGTTTGAGGTGGACTGGAGCCTAAACTAGGTCAATACCTGTATATCAGGACTCCAGGGTCCACACCCGCTCCGCAAGGAGCCAACGCCTGAGTGCCACCACTGCGATGGCCAGACCGTGGACACGGCTCTCCACACGCTGGCAGAGTGCCCGGCGTGGGTTGAGCAGAGGCGAGACCTCGTGGCGGCCATCGGAGTGGGAGTTCTCTCGCTCGATAGCCTGATTGCGGCTATCGTGCGGAGCGAGAGTGCGTGGAACTCTGCCGTCTCCTTCTGCGAGCAAGTTATGCTCGCGAAGGAGACGGCGGAGCGGGACCGGGAGAGGTTTAGAACTCTCCCGGCCCGCCAGGCCCGGGCACGGGCCAGGCAGCGCAGGTCACTCAGGCGCCGGAGGTCGCAGAACGACCTCCGTCCTCCATAAGCGCAGGCCTGGGGGTGACAGGTGAGGCCATCTGTCACCCTAGCAGAAGCAGGCCGGGGTGGCGGCGAGCGCGTTGCGAAGCGCGCTCGCTTCCAGGGAGCACAGGGAACATGGGGTTCCCACACGGGGCGGGGGTCGTCTACTCGTCTGTAGATGACCCGAGGTATGTCGGGGCACCAGGGCCTTCCTTTCTAGGGTATACCTGGTTCCCCGGCTATTAGTACCCGGCGAAGGCGTGCGGTTTTAGTCGGTTCGTGTCCGACATGCCACCGACAGGTGGTATCCGAGGGGATTTCCGCACGGAAAAAAAAAAAAAAAAAAAAAAAAAAAAAAAAAAGGGTCCACACCCGCGCGACCCACACAGGATACACATGTTGAAATGTAAATGATGTTTACATTTCAACATGTGTATCATCAATATTTTATACACCGTCGTCGTTAATATTTTATAATTCAATCAAACATAATAACTTACACAGGTATTTTAATACACGAATACCTTTATCTACACAATACTAACTTTCCGTACCTTATTCCAGTGAGGACGACAAATATGGGCGTCGCGAGCGAGGCGGTCACTCCGGCCCGTTGCAAGATTTCCGCGAGAAATCCAGCTTCCGTCCAAACATCAAGCTGGAGTATGTAGACGACGACGGCCGCCCCCTCTGTCCCAAAGAAGCTTTCAGATACTTGTCACACAAATTTCATGGCAAAGGGCCCGGGAAGAATAAACAGGAGAAACGAATCAAAAAAGCTGTGCAGGAAGGGGTAAGCTACTGTTTTTAATTTAATGAACTCTGATAACAAATTTATTGACACTGTATTCTTAATCTGTGTGTTGACGGATTAAGAATACGCAGTGTCATCACACCTATTCATCCCGTGGGAGTCGTAAGAGATGACTAAGGGAGCAAACTACGCAGGACAACAGCACTGCAAATAGAAGAAAAACTTGAAACAAACCCTATACCAGCCAGCGTGGTATAGTAGGCCAAAGCATCCTTACTAAGCTGTTGATGTGAAGTGATGTGATGTGATAACAAATCGTGTTATAAATATTCTTTTAACTATAAATGATAGGTTCTTTTGTGATTACTTTCCTAAAATGATTTATAAATCTTATAATCTTAATAAAAGTAGTTTGACATACCACACAAGGTTGTCTAGTCCTAAACTAGACGAAGCAGTACTACAGTCACCAGACTTAATTTCGGTTAGTGACCCTAACTGCTAAGCTGGACGTAGTGGGTTCGATTTGCACCCAGAATTTATCTACAATATAATAATAATAACTTGTCACACATGACCATCTGATCCCAAACTAGGCAGAGCCTGTGCTGTGGTCACCAAACTGCTGATAAACATACTTATATATTTAAAATACATACATATTATTAAAAAAAACTCAGACAGGAAAAATAATCGTGCTCGTCGATTATTTTGCTCGAGTGGAAATCGAACTTACGAGCTCTGAATTAGCTGCCAGGATCACTAACTACTCCAGTCCTAGTAAACATGTGTAGTATTATTATAAAAAAGATTAATATATCTAATATATAAAATTCTTGTGTCACGGTGTGCGTGGTTGAACTCTTCTGAAACGGCTCGACCGATTTTCGTGTAATTTTGTGTTTATATCGGGTAGGTCTGAGAATCGGCCAACATTTATCTTTCATACACCAATTTTTTTTTGTTTTGAAATAATGTATATGGCAAAACAACGTTTGCTGGGTCAGCTAGTTATTCTATAAATATCTCTGATCGGCTTACGTACACAACAGTAATAAAAGTTCATACACACAATTTATTAATATTTGTTTTGACAGTTGATGAAGAAGATGAGCTCCACAGACACCCCCCTGGGCACGCTGCAGATGCTGCAGGACAAACAGCGGGAGACTCAGTCGCCCTACATCGTCCTCAGCGGCGTGAAGCGAGAGGCCAACAACTGAGTAGCAAACACACGTTTTGTTGTATATTTGTATAATCTTTGGCATAATAAATGAGTTTAGGTCAAAGTTATTTTGCGTTTTTTTTACAAAGAGGATTGCCTTTTTTCATGTCCAGTCAACATTTAGACGATAGGTAGAAACTGCTATCTGACCTTAATACCGTAATTGTATTTATACGATGTGGTGGACCTTTCCGTGTGGTGACGGATTAAGAATACGAAGTGTCATCACCCCTGTTCATCCCGTGGGTGTCGTAAGAGACGACTAAGGGAGCAAACTACGCAGGACAACAGCACTTCAGAGAGAAGGAAAACTTGAAACAAACCCTATACCAACCTGTCTGGCCAGCGTGGTATAGTAGGCCAAAACCTCTTTTCTAAGGAGAGGCCTATGTCCAGCGATTAATCACATCAACACGCTGTTGATGTAATGTGATTTTTTATCTATTTATAAATTTGCTAGCTAATTATATTTTTAATATTGTATGTATAAAGTATACATATAACACATGGGATGAAAAGTCCCGGGCCTAACAAAGAAAACACAGTTTTTTTAGTTCAAAATTAGCTTTAATAATCAACGTAATCTCCATCAAGAGCAACGCAATCATTCCAGCGCCGCTCTACCATTTCAATACCACTTTTGTGGAACGATTTATCTTTTGCATCAAAATAGGCCTCAGTTTCACCGATAACCTCTTCATTCGTGCGAAATTTCTTACCGGCGAGCATTTTTTTAGGTCTGCGAACAGCCAATAGTCGCTGGGAGCCAAATCTGTCGAATACGGTGGATGTGGGAGCAATTCGAAGTTCAATTCATGTAGGTTTGCCATTGTTTTGATTGACTTGTGACACGGTGCGTTGTCTTGATGAACCAAATTTTTTTTTTGCCATATGCGGTCGTTTCTTTGTAATTTCGGCCTTCAAACGCTCCAATAACGCTATATAATATGCATTGTTAATGGTATTTCCTTTCTCAAGATAGTCGATGAATATTACACCACGCACATCCCAAAATACCGAGGCCATGACCTTTCCAGCCGCTTGTTGTGCTTTCGGGCGCTTTGGACGAGGTTCACCAGTTGCTGTCCACTCAGATGACGATCGTTTTGATTCCGGAGTAAAGTGATAGATCCATGTTTCATCCATTGTCACATATCGACGCAAAAATTCCGGTTTGTTAAGATTAAAGATGGCCAAACACTGCTCAGAATCGTCAATTTCAGTGTTCATATCATCTCTGCGCTGATGATTTTCAGTTATACTACCAAACAGAGTTGTGCAATATATCGTCCGCGGTCGTAAACAGTGACCTAGCGGCCATTAAACATTCGTCCGATATGTTTAGCGTATTGGCGAATAAGAACACATGTTAGTTCGGCCATCATGGGGAGGAACCGTGGTATGAGCCAGCTCGACCTTGCTACACTGCCACCTCTTTTCTACGATGGTAATGTTATCCATACTGTGAAGCGTGAAAGACCTCGGTCAATATACTGACACGACTCTTCATCATCAACAGCCTTTAATAGTCCACTGCTGGACATAGGCCTCTCCTTAGAAAGGAGGTTGACACGACTCTTAGTTGGCGGAAACAGTCACAGACTCGTTGCGGGACCTCTATATACCTAAGAACTTTCTGCCAGTGAAAACCAACGTAATGCTTGTTCAGACTAATATTCCCTATGATCGACCATTTTGATGTATGCTACTTTGACCTGAGTGCAGATCTACTCAATAAGCTTGACCGTCTTCTCAATAATTGCTTTCGATTCGTTTTCAATTTACGCAAATATGATCACGTGTCTCAGCATCGCTCCCTTTTGAAGGGGCTTCCAATTCACCAACGCAGAGAGACACGGGCATTATCTACCCTATATTGTTTTCTCCAAGTTCTCCTTACTCTTTTCTCAAAGTGCTCCTTCTTACTTAATTAGTCAATTTCAATATTTAGGTGCAAAACCACGTTATAACCCTTAGATCTTCAAACAACCTACTTCTTCTCTGTCCTCCGTCTCACCGCTCTGACTTCGTACATTCTTCTTTCCTGGTATAATCTCTTCTGTTATGGGACGCGCTCCCTCTCGAGATTAGAATTGCAAAAACTTTTAAATAGCTGTGGCGGAAACATTTATTGAACTCCTTATCAGATGCACCTTATTTTTTTACTCTCTCTCTCTCTCTCTTCTAGACTCTATTATGTGGATATACAGAGAGTTTCATTTCCTATCCCAAATACTTAAGCCACATATTCTGCCCTTCATTTCTAGGCGATTTGCAAAATATGAACAAAATATATCCAGTAGTTTAGCCACAGGACTCATTTTTGTGTTTCGTAAATTGCAACATCATGTGTACATGCATTCATAATACATTGACCTCAGGCGGCGATCAGCTGTAGGTATACGCGGTAATCACACGTTGCCGCTTTTACTACACCCGAATCGAACGAAATATGTTGATTATTACGTCATCACGATGCAACACGCGTTTTTAATTCGTTTATCCAGTAAGGACAGTCAGTCGGCCCTTGGCCACCGGCGAGCTTATGCTATTCCGTATCCTTGTAGATGCGCTCACGACAAATAACCGTAATAATAATATTGTTGTTGTTTATGAGATACATATTTGTTTAGAGAAGTTTTCTTGTGGTAATAATTGTTTAGTCTTATTGCTTTCGTCATAATACACGGCAATGGTGTGAACAATTAATGTTATCGTGTGCGCAAGACTTCGTAATGTAAGGAGTCCTGCTAATTTTATTTTGAAAAGTCACTATTAGGTTCTGTGTGTAGTGTAGTGTGAAACTGAGTGCATTATCAGTCTTTTAATTTTATTGGGTTATCGATATCAACATCCATAATGCCGTGAGTGACCTTCACAGCCGCGGAATATGCCTGCCTGCTATGATGTTAATTTATGGAAAACTCTATCAAAACGCATCTTTTGCTTTACGGACACGTATGGAGTCAATCGTGTATGTCCTACTTTTTCAAGGAGTGACGCGTACTGCTGGGTCGGAAGCTAGTCGAGCATTCACGAAATAAACACGTGAATAAAATCGCATTCTTTATAAATAGATTTTTAAAAGCAAGTGAAGTGATTGGTAGGTAGGTAATAGGAATGTAAAGTTCGCCGGCTCGCGGCGGCGGCGGCGTCGTTTTGATGTCGCCGACATTGCGACGCTGCCGTGTAGGTACAGTTCACCGACTCATGTTATCAATGGTGTTCTAATTCGGAAATTATTTTATTGTATTTAGTTTGTTCTAAATTTGCATTTCTGTATTTTCGTACTAATTTTTTATTTTAACCGACGTATATTGAACCGTGTTATCTGTTATTTCATTTTTTGTGATATCTATACCGCCACAGTGTATAAAATATATGTATGTATAGGTGTATATGTATATATAAATACTTATGTATTGTGTGTGTTAGTATTATTATTACTTATTGTACATGTTTTAAAAATTATTCTAATGTAATTAATGTAAGTACTCTGGGTATGTGATATCCTATATATGCTATATTTTTCATAAAGTCACATCTTTAATTTCTGTGCATCTACCATGTTTTAGCTCTGCATCGCCCTAAAGTTGACTGGGAGAAAATGCCTACGGCATTAAGTCCGCCCTTGTCACATTTGTGCATAAAGTGTAAATAAATAATAAAACACTGGCTATGTAATGTTACTACTTGCTATTTTATGAGGCAAAATTGCACATATGGGCGACGGTATTGACTTTTCATCAGGTGAGCCATGTGTTCGTTAGCCCCCTACTTACCTACATCATAAAAAAGACAGAATTTATTAACATTACGTTTTCAAATGTTTTATATTTATATATACTAGGTATATTTTAAATACACGACAAATGTTTTAGGAATATTTATTTTAATTCAATGAAAGCATATCTTTTGGCTAGTTCTGTAAGTTATATGCTATTTGGTATTAATTCCAACTTTTAACACAAAGCTGATTTATTTAAAAACAATAACGATGATTAAATACAACATGATTGCATTTTAAATTAACATTAAAGATAAGTCTAAAAAAAAACAGAGAGTAAACATAAAATATAGAGTTGTTGGTATCAGAAGGGTTATCAGGTCTTGGCGGGTGGGTCAGGGTTCGGAGCCTCGGTGTTGTCGAAGTGCGTGTGCTTGAGTTGGTGCAGCTGGCGCTTGAGGCGCGTCTCGCGCACCAGCTCGGGCGTGGGCGGCCGCCGCACCGGCTGCGTCGATGCCATGCGCAGGTGCGCGTACAGCGGGATCTGCGACACATCACCACGTTATTGCTGCCCCTCCCCAATCATACTACTCACTATGTCAGTATGAATTTATGTATTTATTTAATAAAAATGTTTAGCGTATCGGTGAATCCGCACAAATGTCTGGCCATTGTCAACGGGAGTAACCGTGGTAAGAGCCAGCTCTTCCTTGATACACTTCCACCTCTTTTCTACGAAGGTATGGTTATTCCATACTGTAGAAGCGTGTTTTTTTTTATAATAGTGATGATCGATTATTCTGGATGGCAGTGAACCCACGATCACGGTTTAAGAAACTTTATTCTCATAAAGTCTATATAAAGAGAAACTAAGGCTATTTTTACTATTAGAAAAACCCTATAAAATTTTGCTCGGTCCAGGAATAGAACCCGAGGCCTCATGGACTGCAGTCGCATACCGTACTACACCACTAAGTCAGGGATTTTCAAATTCCACGCGATCGAAGTCGCGGGTACCAGCTGGTACCGAACTAAAGTTCATAGATGCATAAGCATAACTACTTACCCCTTCAGCAATATGAGTGTCCAAATTACAAATAGAAGCTCCAGATAAATATAATCAATAACCGTTTGTAAGGAATCGTTGAGTATGATCGTGTCTTGTCTGTCCGGTCGCTTCGGCAGTTTGTAGTAGTGGCCGAGCAGCGGCTCCTCGGGCGGCGCGCCGAACGTCTTGGTCTTGAGCTCCAGCTCCGTGATGTCGCGCAACTTGTCCACCTCCACCTGCCCGGGCACGTAGCGCGACACCCACCCGCCGCGCCATACCTGTAAATCGTCCAACTATGAATAAACAAAACACATAATCATTTTATTACATTTATAGTATGTATTATTCACAAAAGTGCAATATTTGAAATGTATTTTTGCGTCTCGTATGTAGAGTGTATGTAAGTTATTCACCGTAATATTTTATGGTATGAATACTATATGTATGGTACCATGATCGAAACCTCAGCGTCGGGGAAATAAAGAAGAGAATAATCAGAAAGATAAAGGATAAATATAGGTATAATAAAGTTAAATATACTTCATATTTAACATGGATATATATATCTTTTTAAATAGATTCACGATTTTAAAACACTTTTCTTTTTTTTAAGACAACGCCCGTACTAGGAATAAATCCTGTGTCTTTACAAACATACATGAAACGGACACAAAGAACACCCAGACTTAGAACAACAATTTGTGGATCACACAAAGTGTAGTCCCATGTGGGGATCGGACCCACAACACTCAGCGTAGTAGGAAGCGGCGTGGCGACCGGTTAAACCACTACGCCATCCGTGCAGTCAACCTAAATCATTAAAAAAATTGTAATACGCTCTATTACACGCTTTATATTAGCTTCACTTGTATGTTTGTTTGTAACCGACTCCTTTGGACGTGATTTTGACTGACTTTAAAGGGTCAGAATTCGTTCAAACTTTGTAGATATATCGAGGACCGATGACAATATACACTAATTTAAAAAAAATAATAAAAAAAATAGTTTTAAAAAACTAAAAAACACGCTTTCTATTTATTTTCTATTTTTTAGTTTGGTTTTCTATTTTTTTCTCTGCCATGTGTGGTGAAATATTTACTTTAGATTTTCTCGTTAAATCTTTAGTACAACTTTTCGAGAAAAGAAAATATTGAAAACCGTTCATCAATGGAGCAGATATCACTTAACTAAGTCACAAATAATATTCAATAGAATTCAATAACCCTTTCTTGATGAAGTCGGTTAAAAAGCTATTATACCAATGTAATTATGGCTTAGCTACATCGATAACAAAATTATCCAATTAAACGCAATGACCTTGAATGTGGTGAAGCTGGCGACTTTTTTAACGTCAGGTGGGAACCTTGTGAGCTCGAGGGTCCAGGGCAAGAAGCTGCCCAACGTCTGCAAGTACTCCCCGGATAATCGCCAAACGCGGACGCTGTAGTCTGAACTGCCACTGGATATTCAAACAATACCACTTTGGTTTGGTTTTTTAAAAAGACAACTCCCGCAAATGTATCCTGAGTCGCGGGGGACTTTACAAACATACATGAAAGGGACACAAATAACACCCAGACTCAGAACAACAATTTGTGTATCACACAAAGTGTCGTCCCATGTGGGTATCGAACCCACAACACTGAGCATAGTAGGAAGCGGCGTGGCGACCGCTTAAACCACTACGCCATCCATACAGTCAACATTATTACATGATAGTTGTTTATAAGTATTACAGTTTCTTTATGTCATGTGGTTTTTTTTTTTTGCTTTGGGGGCAAACAGACGGGTCACCGCTGCCTATGGAAACCTGTAACAGACACAATTTCGTTGTGTGTGTTTTTCGTTGTTAGAGGGGGAACGTTGGTCCTCCGGTAACTAACCGCTCGGTAAAGCGCAACGTAAGTAAATTCTTCAGCGTAGATGAGCAGAATACGAAACAAAAGAAAAGATGGCTGGTCTATGTGAAAGAAGAGTAAGCAGTGGAATAACTAATTATAGAGTAGGTATCATCATTATCATCAACAGCCTTTAATAGTCCACTGCTGGACATAGGCCTCTCCTTAGAGTTTTGGCCATACCACGCTGGCCAGACGGGTTGGTATAGGATTTGTGTCAAGTTTTAATTCTCTTTGCAGTGTTGTTGTCCTACGTAGTTTGCACCCTTAGTTGCCTCTTACGACACCCATGGCATCTATAGGAGTGGTAACACTCCGTATTCTTAATCCGTAACCATACGGATACAGAAGGTATAATGGAATAAAAAAAAATCTTAAGCAGACCCTGATATAAAATTGGGACAAGGTTAGGTATATGAAAATTTATTAATGCATTTCAAATTGTTTTTAGGTTAGAGAGGGTAGACGAGCAGACGGGTCACCTGATGGCAAGTGACCATCGCTGACCATGAACGTCTGAAACTCAGGAGTCACAAACGCGTTGCCGCCTTTCAGGTAGGAGTATGCATGCTCATTTAAATGCTCACCAACACATACAACATTAAAGGGAAGAAAGAGAAAATTATAACTAACGTGAAGAGTAGCTCCAGTTCATCAATGTACGCCATGGTGGTGATGCAGCGCAGGTGCGCTCGGTAGCTGTTGAGCAGCACCGGCAGCGGCTGATCACGGACGCAGCGCTTAGCACGACCCTCGATGCGGTCGCGCCACAGGAACGGGAACTTCAGCCGAAGGCGACACATGTTCACGTGCACCTGGACCGACATGAACTGCTGGATTTACTGTTGTTGACTTTGCAAACATTGGGTATTGAAATAAACCTAGTTTTGAATTACAGACGCATAAAGACTTCAAATGTGTGTTGAAAATTGTTTTAACAAAGTTAGATATAACTAATAAGTTACAGGCGGTGTTTTGAAAGACCCAGAATCTTCGATCAAATACATATATCTGAGTGAAGCCTACAATACACTCGTTCGTACTCGTTCGTTCACACAAGGTTCGTACGCTAGGCCTATCCATATATTATAAAGAACGACCCTATTATTATACTGCAAAATACTGCTCATCTCTAAATGACTCCATACATGTTAATTTATTATCTGCTTACAGTATTCTGCAAACATATAATAAAGCTGGCTACTGAAAAAATGTTTATTACAAAGTTACCTTTTCATTCCTGAGGTAGTTACTCATAAGCCATACTTTGACGTATCCGAAAGTGGTTCCCGTAAATAGGAACTCGTTGTCGATATCCGTGGCGAAGGCTGCCACGTAGTCCCCGGCGGCGTGGTGGACTTGGAACGAGCCCTGGAACCCGCCCGCCGGGTGGTCAGACCAACATTGCACCTGGCCGTTCTCCAGCGCGACCATGAGGGAAGCTGAAGAATTTTGTGTCAGTTAGTGACTGCTATCCGTCGATATTTAAAATATATTTTTTATGTCTTCTATGTCAATGTCAAAACTTTCTGATATTTACGAATAAGTAACGAAATATATAACGAGCTGGATTTTTTAAAGCTCCGAGCGTCAGTAGATTATAATTATAATTAGATAACTTCAAGATATCTGGCCCCTTTAATGAAATAGTCAACGCGTGTGGCGAAGCAGATAGGTAACTATTGTGGAGCCTACTAGAACCGCAAATACCTCTATCGAAGAACGTATTTATAGTGTAATACAGACAGTGGGTATAGTAATATTCTGACCAACATGCATTGAGAACGGTCTCGTGAGCAGGAAGATCATGGCGTGCACGGAGAGATGGCGCATGTTCTGAACGCGCGAGGGTACCGTCACCGTGGACACGCGGCGCGCGTAAGCCTTCTGCACCGCTGTGGCAGTATCGATAGAATCGCGGACGCTGGGTTTCCGGAACGAAGTAAAACTCTTTCTTTGACCACCCTCTTTGGTTGTCCCAGCACCTGTCTTAGTGGATTCTCGCCTGTTGTAGTGCATCTTGATGCGCAACATTGGCTCCGTGCATGAGAAACGTCTGTAACAAAAGTAATATTATCATACCGATAACAACGATTTACACGGTGCCATATTTCTTGCAAGGTTCAGCGTGGATAGTACTTAATAAAATCATGTATCAAATTGTAATTTTATTTTATTTTATATTAATTCTTAATGCACAAGTATGAGTTGTACAATGGCTGATGTATGCCACAAGTATTTTCTCCCAGTCTACCTTAGGGTGGCGCTGAAATGTGTGACTAGGTGCAAAAGACAATGATATGTAAAGTAAAAGAAAATTATTATATATATAAAGTTAGACAGAAACAATGCGATAAATATACATACATACATACATACATACGTACCAAATACATACATAAATACTTACCTAGTTACATACATACAGAAACCTACATATTAATAATATATAAAACTTTAAGGTTGTAATGAATCTGCTAGGGTGTCCAGAATGCGAGCTCGAACTTTCATCTTGAACGAGAGGCGGCTGGGTGCTATCCTGATTTCCAGAGGGAGAGCGTTCCAGAGGAGTACGGATTGGATTACGAACGAGGAGTGGAGACAAGCGGAAGTATGAGTGGGGCATAGCAGAAGAGGATTGTTTAATGAACGGAGGGTTCTATCCTGGTTGCAACACATAAATTTGAAATATTTATATGTAAATACCTGTACGGTTGGCCCGTCTCCATCTTCCACAGCAGAAGCTCTGAGTTGTAAGATGCAGTCGCAAGAGAAATAGGGGGTCTGGATGCCGCAGCTAACACATCATCTGAATGGCGCGTCTCCCATGCCTTGCCCGTCATCGCCATGCCTGTGTCTTCAAACTCTGTCACGTGGCGGTTCCAACCCACGGCTAGAATCCTGGACAGAGTATTTAGGAACTATTTTAAGTTAGTGGCACGTTTATTACAAGTTTAAAATCAATAACAGGCATTGGTGCTGTACCCACCTGCCTTCGACCCAGAAACAGTTGGTAACTTCGCACATATGTTCTATGGTCATAATCCTCAAGCAAAGACCTGTGTTAAAATTCCACACCTGCAGGGTATAGAATGATATTCCATTAGATATTACTGGTTATTATCATAGGTTTATACTGAAAAAGTAAGTGCTTATATTAATTGTATACGTATTGTTGCGCCATAGGATTAAATGGTTCGATTGTTCCAGAAGTGTATGGAATGTGGAGGACATCGCCATCAAATATCGAGTAAAGTACATCTATTAAAATTGTGGTTAATAGTTCTGATCCTTACAGCGCTAGATGGCGCTGCAAGTAACGCGTGACTGATTCTGAAATATTCTTGTTTGTCTGGAACGGACTATCGAATACTAGGGATCATTCTAGTAAATTCGATAGCGCTATAAAAGCGGAGCGTGTTGGCCGTTCGACACAGGATCGTTTAACGACACAGCGAATTAACATCGGAGTGAATTTCTAGTACGATTACCGAGATATATATAGTGATTTCTAGTCGATTATAGTGAGTGTTAGTAAATACAGTGAAATAAAGTAATTAACCGACAACTTTTATTTATTATATATCCCTCTTGTAACAGTATTGTAAGAAACTACATTCAAAGCGAGTACATGTATAACAGTAGAAACATATTTTATGACGTTATTATTAATTAGTAATTTTGTTTGTTATATAATACTAGCTGGCACCCGTCACTTCGTTCGCGTGGAATTTGAAAAGCGGTGTGGGTTCGATTCCCGGACCACGCAAAAATTTTATAGGATTTTTCGGAGAGAAAACATAGCCTAAGTTACTCCTTATATCGATAGACAGCTACTTGGTAAGTAAAATATTATCAAAATTGGTCCAGCTGCTTTGAAGATTACCCGGAACAAACAGACAGACAGACTGACAAAAAAAATTAAACTGGGTTTTAGGCATAGGTATCGTGCAAATAACCGTGTAAGAAAAAAACCTATTGTTTTAACATTACAAACAGACACTTCAATTTTATTTATTTGTATAGATGTAAACCCGCCTTTTGAATCACTCTCTCCATTGGTGAAAACCACATTAAAATCATTGCTTAGTTTGAAAGATTTAAACGTACAAGAATGTTAAGATACAGTGATACTAGATATACGTATCAATTGCGGATATTCGAAGAAAAAAATATTCTGTTACGATATCCTTTTTCGTGGTGAATTTTAAAGCATTCTATATTTATTTCACTAAAATTAAATAAATAATAAAAATATTTAGGACATCTGACACACAACGCCATCTAGTTTCAAACTGAGCAGAGCTTGTACTATGAAAGATAGATTGGCTGATAGATAGAATACCTATATACTTTTAGTTTTAAATACTTTTTTTTTGTTAATACATACTCATAATACCCAAACTCCGAAACAAATATTTGCAGATCATACAAAAATTAGATCCAACCCAGGAATCGAACCCGAGACCACAGCACAGCAGTCGCTCATTATTTGATATTGTAAGTACTAGAATTAATTATGTGAACCTTGAGCTCCCCATTCCTAGCGCCAGTTAGAAGCAGCTGGTACCCAGGGTCGAAACACCCGGCCGTGATCTCCACGGGAATGAGCTCGCCGTGCAGCAAACGGGTGTGCGCGTCACGGACCATTACGTTGCGTTGACCTAATATTATTAATTACTTGCTTACATAAGGGATTTCGTTTATTTTGGAAAATTATAGTCAAGATTTTTGGTAACGAAATATCTGTATGAAGTAGAAAAAAAAAAACAGTTTTGTTGAAAGTAGTCTGGTATAATCTGGAAGAACGTTGGTTACCCCGCGGCTTTTGCAGTTCTTGAAACTTATGGGCCATTTTGCTGTTTTGAAATAAACTATGCTTCAGAAACTGTCGGAATGACTACACTACGAAATGCTAACAGTCAGAAAACCATATCATCAACAGCCTTTAACAATCCACTGCTGGACATAGGCCTCTCCTTAGAAAGGAGGTTCCTATGTCCAGCACCATGTACCACGCTGGCCAGACGGGTTGGTATAGGTTTTGTGTCAAGTTTTCCTTCTCTCTGAAGTGCTGTTGTCCTGCGTATTTCGCTCCCTTAGTCGCCTCTTACGACACCCACGGGATGAATAGGGGTGGTGACACTCTGTATTCTTAATCCGTCACCACACGGTGAAACCATATAATGAATAAAAATGTGTGTAAAACTCTATTTGGGGAAGGATTGTTCTATTTAGACTCACCAGTAACTGGATTCCAATTAATAATGATACTGTCCATGCCACAAGTGATGATGACCTTGAACAGTGGATTGTACAGCACCTTGGCAACTGCGCGGGAGTGCGTAAACCCATCTGTATGTTGAGGGTTCAGCTGCTCGTCCAGCACTACGATGGCGATCTTGATGGCTGCTAGAACAAACTCCCGAGTCCCTGGCTGGTACACAGCAGATATTGGTGTTCTCTCTCCTACCACTGAAGGAATGTCTATGTACGTCTGTTGGGAATACAGAATAGTTTAGAAAAATGATAAATTACACATACATACAACAATTTAATGTATGTTAAAATAAACTTGTCTTGCGAGATTTGTTTATATAGTTAGTGAGTAGAGTGAGTTATTATATCAGTAGTAAATACGCATAATTAGGGTTACATCTCATTCATTGGGTCTCCTTGGGCCTAAAATATGACAAAATCTTTGTGTAAATCTGTTTCTGTCTCTGGTATCACTCACCTGTATGCACACCTGACCCTGCACATCCCAAACTTTAATGACTCTGTCCCGAGAAAGGGAATAAATGGTTTGTCCCGAGTTCTGCAGTACCACACAGGTGATGCCAGCGTGGTGACCCAGAAAGATGACGTTGGCCTTGGTGGGTACGAATGGGCTCCATACTCGTACTATGCAGTCTGGTCCACCCGTTACCAGCACGTGAGCTTCCTCATCAAACGCAAAGCACTGGATACCCTACACGTAAAACAATATCTGCGTGTATCATAGTAGAGTATTAGACTGTTGATAAAACATACTTATTTCAGAACAAACGATGGTGCTCACCACACAATATTTGTACTGGGTGGGAATCAAACCCACGATCTCTGGCTTAGCAGTTAGGGTCACTAACCACTAAAAAAACAGGCCAGTCAGTAAGCGAATAGTAATATTTGCAGTTACTCTATATCCTATCTCTCTCTCTATCTCCATTCCCAGGAAGGGCTTACTGTAGTCTTCAGTCTCTTTTTTCATCCGTGTTCACATCCTAGACATTCAGTATCATCACCATCATCATCATCAACAGCCTTTAACAGTCCACTGCCGGACATAGGCCTCTCCTTAGAAAGAAGGTTTTGGCCTACTATACCACGCTGGTCAGATGGGTTGGTATAGGGTTTGTGTCAAGATTTCCTACTCTTTGCAGTTTATTTTGTCCTGCATAGTTTGCTCCCTTAGTCAGCTTTTACGACACCCACGGGATGAATGGGGGTGGTGACAATCCGTATTAATCCTTCACCACACGGACAGTACACCGTGCCGTAGCTCTCCATCCTATCCGTTCGCCTTACCCCAATACCCCTTCCTTCGACCGTCAACTTCTATCCGACCCATAAAAATGACGTAAACGTCGTAGATGCGCGCATCTTCATATATGTTTATAGACCGGACCAGACAAACAAAACAGTTACGGTGACAAAAGTCGCTCGTGCACGCCTAATCTGTTACATAACTTATTATAGTTAAACCGCTGTAAGCTTGGCCCTCCTGATGGTTTGCGGGACGCGGGGCGGGTGATGCGCTCGGCTATACATGACACGATGTACTAACTCGATATCTTCAGATTTATTTGTTTGAGATTTAATCTACACACGATGTAATAAAAATCGAATTTATTTCCATGTATTATAATGTCAGTGTATTGTAAATTTTTATGATTAATTGTAAAATTTAATACTGTAAAACAATTTTAATAAAATAACCTTATCTTCATCATGTAAATTATATTCCGATACAATTTAAAAATTAAGTAAAATAATAAATATTCTTTATTAGAACTTTAACAGTAGAATCTCTATAAGCCGAACTTCAAGTTTTTAAATCTTTTTGTGACGCAGAGTCGGCAGATTATTCATGTTGCAAAATAATACCGTGTGTAGCAGTCTTAAGAAAAATAACACGTACAACCATGCTCTCACGTCAGTCACTGCCGGCGGACAGCGACGCACAAGCTAATTGGTTGAATGCACCCCCGCCCCCGTCCCCCAAACCATCAGGAGAGCCAAGCTTACGGCGGTTTAACTATAAGAGATATTTATTGGGACTATCCCACCCACACGCCCACCACTGTAACTCCTGTACACCAGGTTCCACAGCAGTGACCCACGAACACACCGAGTTATGACACTCGGGAAGTCCCAGGAAGAAATTAAACTGTCTTGGAACCCGCAACGAAATTAATCAGAAGAAAATTGGAGGAGTTGGAAATACAGTAAATCCACTTCCCTCCTTAGCAAAGCGGGAGACAAAATGAAGTAAAATAGGCATACACCCTTTTAAACAGGGAAGCACCACGGCCACAAAATATTACGGGTCCTACATGAGCTATATTTGATTTCTATAATATGTATGGCAGAATCGCCTAAACGCACGGAAATTCACCCTAGTTGACACAAGATCCCCACAGTATACCGCCCCAGATGTCACCTGCAAGCTATTCAGCATTATATTACGTTCATTATACCAAAGACTACATTCCCAGAGGATATGATGAGCAGACTGTTCATAATGAGAGTTAGGTGTTGAGCATTGACACAATGGTGACTCGACTAATTTAAATGAATACAACTTGCTCTTAAAGTTACCATGACCCGTAAGAAATTGAGCGACATAGTGATCCACCTCAAGCCATGTCCTCGACAACCGTTCGCGAACAGATGGAAAAAATTGGTAAAGATGGCGTCCCTTGGATGATTCGTCCCAGCGTTGCTGCCATTCGTCTATGAGGTCATTATAGACATCGGACTGCTGTTGAAGCAATCTTGTAATTTTACCGCGATCCCGCGCGCCCAAGAAATCGCATTCCATGTTTTGTCTTGAATAGTACATGGCTGCACGTCTCTGCACCTCGAGATCGACCGGAAGCACACAACACCGGCAAAGCCTCAGTGCTAACCGTCCTATATGCCTTGCACAAAAATATCAGTGCAAGTCGTTGGCCTTGTAACAGTTTGCGACGGACAGCGCCTACGGTCGCCCTATCGGCCCATACAGGTGCACCATAGCACATAGAACCTAAATAAGTAGCTCCGTATATGATCTTTAATGTATTAAATGATAGACCCCATGTCGCAGTTGATATCCTTGTCAATGCACAGAAACTCTTTTTAGACTTTTCATTAACTATTTTAATATGTTCGATAAATGAAAAGTTTCTTTCTAAAACTAATCCTAGATAACACACTGTGGTTTTATTTTTTACAGTAACATTGTCAAATCTAATGCTCGGCGGTGATTTGAGGTTACCTTTTAAAAGTAACTGGAAGGTTTTGTTGGGTGCAAAAGTTAAGCGATTACGTTCACCCCATTGAGATATCAAGTTCAAACATCTATTGGCTAATCTCTCAAGCCCCGCCCTAGTATCAGATTCCACCAGTAATAAGCCGTCATCAGCATACGCGTTCAGAGTACATCCGGATGGTATTGGTATCGTAAGAAAATCGTCGAAGCCGATATTCCACAAGTATGGACCTAGCACCGATCCCTGAGGACATCCCATTGTAAGCGCCTTCGACACAGAATGATGACCAAGTCTTAGTTTAGTTGTACCTTGTGAAAAGTACGAAGAGATAAGGGAATAAATATTTTTAAAACACCCCCGTGATTTTAATTTCAGCAACAGCATGGGCCACCATGCGTTGTCGAAGGCGCCAGATATATCTAGGAAAATAGCCAGCACGTATTGAAATTTTGACCCTGTGACAAACTTTCTAACCGATATAACAGAGTCAGTTGTCGATTTACCCAACGTAAATCCAAATTGTCTATCATGAAATTTGACTCCACCTGGCAGAAGCCGGGGCACTACAAGACGTTCTAAAAGCTTTCTTAACGATGGTAACAATGTGATTGGTCGGTAGGATTTAGGATCATCCGGTGGCTTGTCGCCACTTTTTGGTATTATACGAATATTACCGCACCGCCATATACGAGGAAATATTTCTTCAGCAATGCAACGTTTAAAGACAGTGAAAATCGTGTCACCCGAAAGTTTACAAGCTTCTTTTATCATTTTGTTAGATATTTTATCATCACCCGAAGCCTTGTTTAGCGGCAAGGATCTAATGATACCGAGAAATTCGTCTGAAGATGGTAAATCAGACATTGGAGACAGTGGTGGTTCGATGGCCCACTGCCTGATCTGTCGGTGATGATCAGTGTCGTTTTCCGGTCGATCGTCAGGTACGAGTGAGTCTAAAAGATATTCTGCTGTTTGTTCTACTCCTGTGGTATATCTGTTATTAATTTTGATGTTCTGTATGTATGCGTGGTCGATTGATCTATTTGCCTTAAATTCGTGATACAAAGGTGACCACGGGCCCTCTCTATCGAGTTTATCAACAAGTTTCTGAATTAAGTTTCCCTTGGATTTTTCCACAGCAGCTCTGTAGTGGGACCTGGCAACTCTAAGAGCAATGAGAGCAATGTTGTACAAATCTTCTGTTACGTTATGTTTTTTAATAGTGTTTAATTTTCTACGAGCTTTCCGATAGCTTCTACGTAGTTCGGCTAATCTATCATTCCACCAATCACATCTACGAGTGTTAGTGATAGATACGCGACCAATAGTTACATCAGCGCAGTATGTAAAAGTTTCTGATAGTATTTCTGCGCTTTCCTCAGCTGATAAACTACTGCGACTGAAGTCTTTGGTATGAGTTGCAAAGAGTGAACCAAACAAAGCCCAGTTCGCACCTTTAGTTTTATATCTAAAATTATAGGGAGCCCTTTGTGGATCCTGTGCAACCCTTGGTGTGAATTCGTACACGATCAAGCGGTGATCACTACAGGATGCGTCCGGAAGGACACGCCATCCGGATATCGAGACGTCGCCGCGCGTAAGCGTCACGTCAATAGAAGACTCACCCATTGGGTTGCAAAAAGTTGGTGGTGCATCGGGGGTATTGTGAATAATAAGATTCATTTCCGCAATGAAATCTTCAACCGCACAACGTCGAACCGTGTCGGTTGAACGCAACTTGCCATACCATAATGAAGATGACGCATTGACATCTGGAACTGCAAGACGTAACGTAAGTGATGTAAGTGAGGATCAATAGGATGTGAATATTGAAAATAGCAGCTCACTACGTAAACCTTACAGGTAGAGGATGAGATCTCAGCAACGGCGCAGTGTGACGTCATAAGATTACGCAAAGATGTTACCGTAAAATTAGAACTTGCAACATATATCCCAGCCTGCGAACGGCAGTCAAGCTGTACTACATTACGACGCAAGTGAGCGCTCTGATATTGTTCTTGTAAAAGGACAATGTCTAACTTTTGTTCTAAAATTAAACGGTCTAATTCTGATGTAGCTATTTTATCGTTATGAAGATTTAACTGGCCTATCGAAATATTATTCATTACTTAGTAAGTTACTCTTTAAACTTTTTTTTTTTTTTTTTTTTTAAACTAAGTTAAACTATTCAGTAATTGGTATTTAATATTAGCTGTTCCAGTTTTAATTTGTATGTGGCACAGTCGTATGAGCCGCATCGATGGTCAGATGGTTTTTTGAACCGCTTACACTGTGCGCACGTGGGCTTAAAATCTGGTGTGTCTTTATGTGGACAAGCTCGCGTTTCGTGTGCGGCGGCGCAATTAGCACAAGTAGGGGTTTTAATAGTGCAAAACTTTTGTACATGACCGAATTGCTGACAATTTAAGCAACGAACTACTTCTATATCGTCTATGAATCTACATGTGGCCCAGTCTATATAAAGTTTATCTTTTGTGTTGGCTAGATGTTTCCGAACTGCTGCCTCTAATTCTAAGCCTATCCATTGACGCCCATTTTCTAGTTTACGATGCCTAACAATTTTGGTTGACTTAATAAAATCATTCTCACTTAATTTTAATTCGTCCTTGATATTCTGACGGTATAAAGCTGTTAGGAAGGCACGATCTTCCATAGAACCGGGTACGTCTTTTACAATTACTATAAGAGATAGTTGGCTTTGACGTCTCAAGAGCCATGTGACCATATCAGTTGCAGCATGGAGCTGTATTGTATAATACTTTCTGTAATGTGCCACCCAGTCTATACATGAGCAATTGAGCACCCCGTACCTTGTCGACTCTGAACATGTTGTGTGTCTTGGAGCCATACATGTCACACATGAGCAGAGAGTCAGGGCACGTGGCGCAGGAGACCACGCAGTGCAACGACGCATAGTACGACACCTGACGCACCCACTCCGCGTGGATACGGGTCAGCTCCACTAACTTCAATTCCGGCAGAAGGTGGGGCTACAATACACACAACGAATATTGTATACATTGTAAAGATTATGCTTACATAAAACCAAATGTTGTTTAAAATCTAGTTCTCGGCAAACAAGCACATATAGTTTATTTTTATTTTTTGAAAAAGACAACGCCCCCATTAGGTATATATATATCCTGTGTCGCGGGGGACTTTACAAACATACATGAAACGGACACAAAGAACATCCAGAGTCAGAACAACAATTTGTGGATTACACAAAGTGTGGGGATTGGACCCACAACACTCATCATAGTAGTGAGCGGCATGGCGACCGCTTAAACCACTATGCCATCCGTGCAGTCAATTGCTTGTATCGTATGTTGAGCGGCAATACTGGTACGAACTAAAAGACCTAAAACCACCCTAAAACTGCGTATTGCTCAATTTGTGGTTCAGTGGTAGTAAGATACGATTCTGATGATAGAAACGACGAACGCTTTTAAGTTTAATTAAAAAATAAATAAAAGATAGAATAATTATGTCAAAGGGACACCGCCAAAGCAGACTGCAAGAGACTCACTTTCCGCTGCAGATCAACGTGCCTGAGCTGTATGAGCGCGCGGCCCGCCTCGTTGCGGAAGGGCCCACGCTTGATAGGGGAGAAGAGAAGCACGCGCATGTTACCTCCCACGTCGCCGCATATCAAGATACATTTCTCCTTCTCATCCGCTTCGAAATGGTAGTGCATTGTGCAGATCTGGTATCACATGAACTTGTTAGTCGCTCGTTTTGGACGTTCACCATACCTACCGTGTCGAATATTAAGATTTCTATGTTGTAATTCCAATGACCAAAGATCCGTTCAAAAAATTCATTCAAATAGCACTCAAATAATGTCTATCAAAATTTACAATAAATTACCCGAAAAAATTACAAATGAAACCATATTAACATTATTGCTAGTTTGTATTATCTCTCCCTCTCTGATCTATTGCTATGCCCGACAGGGTGCATGATGATCTGATCTTATATTTAAGTTACCATCTAAGTAAATATTGTGGAATGCAATAAATATATTGAGTATTGAGTAAACCAGATAACTCAGTTCAAACATAAAACTCAATCAAAATAAATATACATATTAGTAAGTTGAGGTATAATATTAACTCTGTGTAATATATTCCAGTTTACCATTACATGCCTTCTCAATCATTACAAACAAAAAAAATGAAGAGACGTCGTAATACCATATCCTCCCAGCTGCTGATTACAATTTTGAGGGTAAAGGTTCCAGCGGTGCAGTCGTAGAAGCGAAGGTCTCGCTCCGTGGAACTCGTCACAATGATATTCACGTCTGGCATGCAAACCATGTCTGTCACCCACGTCGTGCGCACCTTCAAGTGAGCTGCGTAAGAGCTTTTTGTAAGCAGGTGATTTCAAAAAACGTCATAAATCTGCATTGAAATCTTCTTATCGGGTATATGTTAAGCACAATAAATGAGGGTTTGACATTAGTAAATTATTAATTGTAATAAGAGAAAGTAGAATAATCCAGGTGTGGTGAGTGGTATAGTCGGCAAAAGCCTTCTTTCTAAAAAGAGGCCTATGTCTAGCAGTGGATTGTTAAGGGCTGATGATAAAAATAATCTAGTTTTCTTGACTTTTAACACCTAAGCAATTTGCGCTTTTGCCATTTCATATCATTATTTAGAGTGTAACGCATTTTTCTCTCTATTAGCTAATATTAACAGCTTGTGAAAACTTTTAGAGAAGTGTTACTCATGCCCAAATGTCTCTTTCTGTTGCCTTTTGTCAATATACTGGCTAACTTGTATCACATATTATAGGTACTAACGGCTAGAGGAGTAGGCGGTCCTCAACAGGCTCATGTCGAGAGACCACCAGTTGATCATGCCGTCACGACTTGCCGTCATGTAGGTTCCTTGCATAGGGTCTGTCGTTCGATCCTGTCCAGAAACATTGAATAGTATTGCTCGATTTACACATAGAGTAAAGTTATATGGACTTACTACTTGTCAATTTGACCATATTTATCTACTTCTATTTCAGACTTACAGACAGACAGACAGGAAAAAACTTTCACATAAAAAACCTACAGAACTGCGAAGAAAGTACTGAGGGCCGAGTGTCGACGGCGAGCGAGTTTAGCGTTAGTGGATTGTTGGGCGGATTTCAGAGTGGATAATCGTAGCACCGAACGCGGTCACCGTGACTATCGAGTAGAACTGAAATAAATTCGCACTTGGCCCTCTAATCTCATACCATACTCACCAAGTATAGTGACCAAACCTGATGGGAGAATCTTTGCCTGATGTGGCAGTAAAGTTACAGCTATTTCTTTACACGTGGATGGTTTATTCGATATACAGAAGGTAAAGTTACGTACGTCATTGTCGTCTCTATTCGGGTAGGGTACTAATTAAATCCCACCGGATTACGGATTGTGGGGATTGGCAGTTGAATAATATATCGATCGAAGTAATTTTAAGTCCCTTAATAGTGGTGAAGTAAGGTTCGACGAGTCCAATCTACTTGTGATGGGATTTAATAACACTATTAATTTATTTCCAAATAAAACCTATGCTCCGTAATGGTTTAGGCGGCAGGATATTAAGCGATGGAAGTAGACAAGCCTTGTCTCCAATGAAGTATTTCGCATTTCTCTTAACAGAGTGGTAACTCTTTTTCGGATGGAAACTCAAAAGGGACAACTCAAATAGCATTAAAAAACATTATTATATTGAACACACGGTACTGCAGTTGCTCGTGTAGAAAGGTTCACAGTAACAGTAATGTTTAAAAAGGTTTATTTCGTCTTCCCACCCAAAAAGAACAAAAATACGCGACGACATGTTACCGTTGGTAATTATTGATCTTATTCCCTTGTTATATTCACCTGCCGTGTAATGGATGGAACACAAAACTACCTTTGACAAAATTACTATCATTTTATATTTTTGTTTATAAATATTTAATAAATGTAACCTTAGCGACATCAGGGCTAAAGCATACTCTGGATACAGGATGCCTGTGCTGCGAGCGCATAACCGTTGGTAAGCCCATAATGGGTGGTTGCAGACTTTCCCGCTGGTTTTCTGCGTCGTTACCAAAGTAGCCCAGGATCAGATGTGATACCAACTCATCCCAATTTATCTCACCCGAACGACTTGTGTTTATCTAACAGTGGAAAACAAAAACTTATATTCCAGCAGCAAAAAATCATTAAAATTACACCTACGTAGATAATAGACGTGAAACCTTGAGAAATAAAATCTTGTACTCTTCGTCATCATATTCCACATTAAGCAAAACTTTTAATAAAGTTCTAAACTCGTTGGCCATCATTATGTTCTTGTAAGCTGACTCGAAAGCATCCTTTAACTTAACCATATCGTTCATGGAACATCGTTCGTGCAATGGAGCATTCCGCCATCGACTCCGCATCTGCGCAGCTGTACTGCCTTCAGATCGTGACGACAACGACATTAGAGATCTAACTTCGCTTTCGTTAGCCATTATTAATTAAAAGAAATCTTAAAATAAAATGAAAGTTAGTACAATATTTATTTGAAAGATAATGTCAGGGAAGTAACGGAAGTCATAATTATGTCAGATAGTCAGTAGCTTCAAAAGAGACTTATTAAAGCACTTTTTCTTTGCTCTGAATGTCGGAATCTATGTGTGAATACATATAATAAAAATGTATTTCCTAAAAACATGAGTAATACAGTACAAATTTTTCACTGCATAAAGTTGTTTTCAATTTTTGTTTAAAATTAGTTCTAGTCCCATGTGTGACACGAAATATTTGCATATACGATTTAATTCAAGCGTTGAATCACACCCAAGGCCACTTTATCTCTCTGAGTATTACTGTCTTCTCTTTAAATTGAAGAGCAAGCTACTCTACATGCCTTACAAATTTTTTATAAATGCTCTTCAAAACGCTGTCTCTGAAAGCTTTGTGCTCCTTTTGTTTCAAGATCTTTTTATTTCTTTGACGCCAGAATCAGCGACTACACCTAACCAAGTGGATGATCATTTATTTGGCGTTTTCTTAACAATTTTTTTTTTAGCTGGCAGCACTTACCTGGCTCCTATGGTCATGAATAAAAATAATATAAAAAAAAACAGGGGTTTCGTTATGTCATTTTTGCCAAATTCAAACTGTCAAAACATACTAACCTCAAAAGCTAAGCTAATAAGTTAGGAACTCATTTTGTAAAAATGTTCTTAACATTGCGGCTGCTTTCAAACAGACACCCATCATTCATAGCGCGCACAGTGTTCGTTAAAAACAACAACGTGGATGACGCGTGCAGGCTGGTCAATAGAATTCTTGGTAAAGAAGGAATTTTGGAACAGTTCAGGCTGACCCGATACTACGAGAAACCTTTTCAGGTAATATACCCAGTAATATACCAGTCGCTGCTCAGCACTTATAACTTTTCGTATTTGACATATATTGTAAATATTTCAGACTAGAAGGCGTTTGAACCACGAGCGCTGTAAAGCTATCTACAATGAAGACATGGAAAGAAAAATTCAGTTTGTGCTGAGAAAGAACAGACATGAACCGTTTCCAGGATGTTATTAAATTATGTTGTGATCTTTGAAGCACTAGATGTCTAAAAAAACATTTTTTTTAAAACCAGATAGTATTTATTACTCTATTTGGTTAGCAGCAGTGGTGTTCACTCTTATTTTAAGTAGTTATAGAAACATGTAAATAAATAGCATTCAAAAAGTTTATTTCTTATTAACTAAACAATAGCCTTGTAACAATATTTACAAGAATGGTAGCACAATAGTCTCACAGTTTCTACAAGAGTCTTTATATAAATATAGGAAAAGGACTAGATAGAGGATTTGGCATGGGGGCCAGCTGTGTCGTTGTCACGTGTAGTGTTGGCAGGCATCACGTCTTCGAACGTAGAAGTGATAACGGTAGCATCTATGACATGTCTTGATGCCACACCTGTAGCTCAGTCCTCCTTGAGGTTTGCCCTTGCAGTATTTAAGACCACATGGGTACCAGTTGACACATACCTGTGCAAAAAATATATATATATTTACAGATGAGCCGTATAGAACGACATTTCTGTTAGTGTGTTATTATCGGTAATCCATAAAGAATAAGATTGTTGTGTCTTGATATTTCTTGCTCCAATTTTATTATAAAAAAAAAGTGAACATGCTGAAGTTAAAGTTGCAAGTTTGATAGAAAAAAAAGACAAACTGTTGCACACTAATTTAATCAGATAATTGACAATACAACAGTCTGAACAAGTTTACAATGAGTACTACTAGAATTTGAATTTGAATGAGTTTCTTGCTTTATTGACATCAATTATAATAAGCTATTTATAATTTTATTATTTTCACATGCATTGTCACTTTTACAATTAGGACCAATTTAAGGACAGCTCAAACGCCATTTCTTTTGGACATAGGTAATGCTTGAGTTCAATTTATTTTTATTTATAATAATTAAGCATATTTCTTTATATTTATTTACTATTGAAATTCTGTAAAATAATTTGTAAATTCATAAATTATTTATAAAAACATCACTGATGCCATGCACCAGCCGTGAGACAGTCTCGTTGATTTTTAAAACAGCAGTATTGTTTAGATACACTGACGCGCTTTTACCACCGATCTTTAAAACCGCGAATTTAATCGTCTGTTAATTGGGCACTTGATTTTGGTCTTTATCTAATACTTGCTATTGCTGTTCAGTTGTTTTGGTCTAAACTATAGAAAAAAGAAAAAATAACCTACCTCCAAATGACAAATACACTCCTTTGTGTTGTCATTTTCACTAACGCAGGCACCAACTGCAGGCTTGCCATCTGCCGTGTCTGTTAACAGTGCATGTGCTGGAAATGGCGTTACGGATGAACTGTAGGAAGACTGCTCCAAGCCTGTATAATAAAATAATAACGTATCATTAACAATATTTAATAATTTTCTTGCTCTACTGTAAATAGGGCTTAATTCTAGTGTCTACCTACTTTCTTTACTTGATTTATTACTCAAATACAGTGTAAACTTTATAGGGAAACACGAGATATGTTGCCCCTATAATGTATTTCCATTACACAGAGTTTCCACTGTATAAGTTATCTCTGAAAAATATTTGTTGATGGTTAAACTCAATGTTATAAATTTATCCATGATATGCAATAGTTAGAGTTCTCCTTCTCCACTTAATAAAATTCCGTTACCAGGTCTTGGCGCCCATCTTGCCAGGTCGGCCGCACGGAGGTACACACGCTCCCGTGCTGAAGCACAGTGTCTGGCTGCAGGTGGAGACAAAAGTCGTGTGGCGTGTCCCGCCCATGCTGTAGCTGTTGTTTGTCGCCAACCTTTGTCTTCTTCTGCTACTCTGATCGTACCTGGATTTTTCTGAAAAAAAAAATTGCCGGGTAAACCCATTACCCATTCCTCAAAGTTCTTTTTTCACCTTAGCCTTTCCTCAAATTCCTCGTATTTAGAATTTAAATTTTGTTATACTGGCAATTGGTGGTATTATTGTTAGTAGACATTGAGGCAGAAATTTAAAGAAATAAACATAATGACGTGGCATGTCAATATAATAAATCCATATATACACGGTGATTTTTTAGGCGTTTTGGAAACGAAACATTTTAATTTGGAATCATCTATAGTACCAATAAAAATGATAAAATCAATTGTAATGTTGTCTAAAAAAAGTTTCAGTTTTAATATTCATTTTTACTCGATCGACTTGGAAAGTAGTAATGGACTGATCATTCATTCCTTATCTTATATGAATGAAACACGTCCGTGGGCGTTTCGGCGGCCGCTGCGCACCCCTGACGCTAACAGCAGCTGATAAAAGTATACCTATAGGCGCGAGCTAGCGAGTACTTACGTAGATGACTCCAATTTGTCCTTCATACTTTACACGGGCTTAGGACCGTCGAAAATACCTATTTTATTTAAAATCCTTTTCGATTATTAACCACGATTGTTCTTTTCACAACAAATCAATTTATCAACGGACTGTAGGTATAAATATTTCAAGCGTATTTAAAAAATCGGAGCTATCTACAGAATAATTAACTTTCATACCTATTTACACTATTTACACTTCTCTGTATCGAAGCAACTGCTCAAAATTGAGTCCGCTGCATTCAATACACAAACGTCCACGTTTAATGCAATTGTTTTTTAATTTTCTTAATGTGTCTCTATCACTTTTCACTTTATCAAAAGCGTCCACTATCGCAATGCGTAAATTATCACGGTTTTCATATTCCCGTGTATAAACAAGTCTTTTTATTTCCGACCATAAGAAAAAATCCAGGGGCGTTAAGTCCGGGCTTCTAGGTGGCCAAGGCACTGGCCCGCCTCGACCTATCCACCGATCACTAAACTCATTGTCCAGGTATGCACGCACTACACTCCGGCGAATAATAATTTAAACGTCCTTGACCTTGCGCGTGAGTAGGCGCACGAAATTGTCCGTGGTCGAGAAGACGTTGGGTTGCAGCCAAGATGGTAGGTGTGGAGGGAATTTGAGGGCTTACAATTCAACGTAGCCGTAGTGCATTTCAATGCTCCGGCTGGGAATACAAACGCCGAGCCTCTTCCATGTTGTAGTTGGCAGTAGCGTACAGCTGTACCATTGCCAAGAAGTATTCCACGTTTGAAAATTCGTACTGTCGACTCATTTTACATGACCGACTGAAAGCGAAGGACGCCTCACGATTACAGGTGAGTCCCGCGCATGCGCCTACGGGGCAGACGTCATTGGTTGGACGACTCCGGCGCAACTCGGTAGCTTTGTTTTTATTGGCGAATACGATTTTATGTGACTCGATATTAAAACGCATAGTATTTCTATTCGTAGTATTTACCTACTTGTGATTGAATAGCCCTACTACTGGTTCTCACCTTTTCTCTGCAAACGATATGAATATCGACTTTGATGATAAAAAATATATATATTTTATTAAATTAACGTTATATATAGCTTCTGTTACTGATAAATAATTCAAAACTTTATTTTCCAAAACGCTTTCAAAATCACCGTGTATATATATCCCAAATAATATTCAAGACTTAAGTATAAACAAATTTAAATCCGCAATGAAGCGTAAATTGTGTCAGAGGGCCTATCACTCAATTGTGGATTACATAGAAGACAAAAATGCTTGGGATTAACTTCTAAGTGGAAATGTTTTATGTTATGTTTCACTTTACTTTCTCTTTAATTTGATCTTTTTACCTTATTTTTTTCCGTGCGGAAAACCCCTCGGATACCACCTGTCGGTGGCATGTCGGACTCGAACCGACTAAAACCGCACGCCGTCTCGGGTACTAATAGCCGGAGAACCAGGTATACCCTAGAAAGGAAGTCCCTGGTGCCCCGACATACCTCGGGCCATCTACAACAACAGGTAGACGACCCCCCCCGTGTGGGAACCCCATGTTCCCTCTGCTGCCTGGAAGCGAGCGCGCTTCGCAACGCGCTTGCCGCCACCCCGGCCTGCTTTTGTTAGGGTGACAGATGGCCTTACCTGTCACCCCCAGGCCTGCGCTTATGGAGGACGGAGGTCGTTCTGCAACCTCCGGCGCCTGAGTCGCCTGCGGTACCTGGCCCGTTCCCGGGCCTGGCGGTATGATCTTTTTACCTAATCTTATTTTTCGCTTTATTGTCTTTTTACCTTTTAGTCCTTAATAATGGACATACTGGCACACATCAGAACAATGTTGTGGTATATTTAATGATGCCATTGTATTTATCTGTAAATTGCAAGAGAGAGGTCATGAGTTTGTTTGCCCTTTCTTCTCATAAGGTTCAAACCCTTTGAAACGGGCGGTTGTGGATCGGCACAGGCATATCATGGATTTTGTATAAGTATAATTTTTATTAAAGTTATTTTTCAGATTTTTTGACAAAACAGATATTGTTGCTATTCTGTGTGTGTTGATCTACGACTTTGGAGTCTGCATAAAAGACGATTTCAAACAATTTATAAATGTTATGAAATAAAGATATTTTGAATTTGAATGTTTATTAAGAACGTTATTACGAGTATATAACAACTAAATTTTCCCAAGCAGTTTCACTAGCATTTGTGATGTTTTTATCAATTAATTTTTACAGAACAAAGTTGCGTAGGTCCTTTTTACACGCTTTATATTAGCTTATTTTTAGACTGTAATCTGTGGTCTAATTCTATTCAGATTGGTTTATCCATTCTGGTGTAATTGAGTAACAAACAACTATCTATGCTAATATAGCGGGACAGTCATGCTGATTCTGAATCCTTTCAGCGCCTTTTCATCACCCCCCGGTGATGAAAAGGCGCGCCATAGGTTGGTTGTTGTTAGTATGATATAGACCTTCTGCCTAATTGTTCCAATGAGCTTTTGTTTCAGACTCAACATCCAAACATCTTAAAAATGTCATCTTAGTATATTTTTTTTAAAGGCCAGTCCCACATTAGCAATATATCCTATGTCACGGGGGACTTAACAATCATACATGGAACATACACAAAAAACAACCAGACTCAGAAAAACAATTTGTGCATTACACAAAGTGTCATCCCATGTGGGGATCGAACCCGTAATACTCAGCGTAGTAGGAAGAGTGGCAACCGCTTAAACCAGTAAACCATCCATGCAGTTGTATAGTGCAGTGATATATTTATAAAGTTGTATCAAAATTTTTGAACATCTAACCAAGGTGTTTACTGCCTCAGTGGTGTAATGGTAGCGTATGTGACTGCAGTGCTGAGGTCTCAGGTTCGATTCCCAGTCAGAGCAAATATTTATATGATTCGCAAATATTTGTGTCAGAGTTTAGGTGTTTTCTATGTACAATATGTATGTGTTTACAATAAAAAAAGGATATAAGGATGCTATCAGTCAATCTAGCTTTCATAGTACAAGTTTTGATTAGTTTGAAACGACTTTGGATCTGTATGGTAGTAACTATCATACTCCAACCTGTCTTAATTTTGCCATTGCATCAGGTGCAATAAAGTCAGCTTGCGCAGCATGTGTTAGGAAGCACAACGTTTGGTGGCCCGTCTGTCCCAGCTCCTCCTCTCCGGGTATTATCACTTTCATAGCCTCAACCTCCTGCAACATTATAAAAATAAACTGAGGAGTAACTCAAGATGCTACTGATTTTACTAAAAAATGAGAGGAAACAGCGACTACTGCACGAAAGGACTCTCAGGGGGTTACAGTACACTGGCTCACTATGGTCACTGTCCAAGATCGTTGACAACGTAATGTGGTTATTGGATTCTTCAGGAAGTTTAGTTGCTTCAAAATACGCCATTTGATTGGTAGTTGAAGAAAACAGCAAGTATAAACTTGAGTCTTGGTACTTACATTAGTGAAGTCGACAAGTTGTGAGATGAAGACACCGTCGAGCCTTATAAATTCCAGTGTGATTGTGTCTTCTGACACGTTCGCTGTTATGTTCTCCTGCATAACATCGCCACCCTGCACACAACACACGGTACCTGATCACTTATGTAAAACAGAGTCAGGAGAAAACATTTCTGCAAGTTCTCAACTTCTAAAAGTATCGGCATTCGCTGTCATGCTCACCTGGTTTCGCACATTAATAAGAAGTTGTAAATTCGTAGATTTAACTAATAAAAATAACGTGATAACTTGAAAAAACCAGAGTTCCATTTTTGTTTTAATCTGTTTTGTTTGTTTTATTTTACGTCCTCTAGTACTTTGATATCTTTTCGAGATTGGTTCCCAAATAAAACATTAACATTCTTAATTAACTTAACATTATACCCTGGGTGCACAGTACTGCCAACTTAAAAAAAAAATTTTAGGCCAAATCTAAGTATATTAAATGCAAAAAAAACTTGATTATTCTCGTTCCCTTAACTGAAAAATGATAAACTAAATGAAAATACAAAAAAAATAAAGTCTGTCTAAGTTATTTATAATACATATTGGTAATGTAACCATGTATTTGTTACATAAGTGGATTGTTTGTTACACAATCCACTTTATGGTTATGTATCATACTTGTGAAATGTATTTTTCCTTTCTTTACATGCATTTTATACATTCAAGTGATCTGCCTATTTGTTTTCCCTTTTTGATAAAATAAATACAACTCAAAATCAATAGTCGTTATTTATCGACGGGCCTGTTGGTCGAGTGGTTAGTGCCCCTGACTGCTAAGCCGGAGGTCGTGGGTTCGATTCCCACCCAGGACAAATATTGTGTGATGAACATGATCATTTGTTCTGTGTCTGGGTGTAATTTATCTATAATATGTATGTATTTAAAAATATATAAGTATGTTTATCAGCAGTCTGGTCACCATAGCACAGGCTCTGCCTAGTTTGGGATCAGACAGCCGTTTGTGAAATGTGTGAGGTATATTATTATTATTATTATTATGATTAGAGCAATTGTTGACGATTACCAATAAAGGCTAAAAAGGAGTCACTTTAGAAAACTAGATTTGGCTATAAAATGTTACATTGGCAACACTGTAAAATCTGTACAATAAAAGGCAATTGAGTTTAACTTGACATCAATGATTTCGTTCAAAAACTTTTGCTACTTTTTTAAATAATTATTCCTGTAAATATTTTTTCATTTTACAAAAACACACATAAAAAATATATTTTATAATTAAAAGCAAACAAAAATGAACATTGCATCAAAAGTTTTAGATTTAAATTTTAAAATCAGTTGTTTTTTTTCTTAGCAGTAAACAAGTTTTGTAAATATGTGTAGTAAAAAGTATACAAACACACATGGAATATTTTGCATTCCTTTATACGTAAATTAGAATTAAACCATTGTTTTTGATGAATGTGGTTATTAAATTTAATTTTTTTTTTTTTATAAATTCCCTACTAATTAATTCCATATATTTTTTCAACTGATTTTTCTCATTTTTTTCTTTGATTTGATTTTATGTAATATTAAAAAAATATATATTAAATACATCTTTTACCCCATTTTCCTTACAATTTTTTTTAATGAAATCTCTGATGAAATACAGTCAAAGTTATCAGTTTACAATTTGATATGTTTTTCATTAGCCTTGCACCATTTTTGATGCACGGATAATTTTATTTTTGAGGTCATTACATTACAACACGATTTTGCCCGATGCGAAACCGAACGAGACCCGAACGTCATCCGAAACGGAAAGAAGGGCGATGTTGCACTAGCGAAGAAAGACAGCTGTCGTATCATTTTCAGCTGATTTTTGTGTACGCATCGCAGACGCTGCAAACTCGATTTGCGATCAAGGCATTTCATAACGGTACTACTTCATCAGTTCTATTCACGTAGAGAACACACATAAGAAGATAGCGTCTTGACGTAGTAGTGGTGAAGCGACAGTTTTGCAGTGACGAACAAAGGGAGATGGTCTATTGAGCGCGGGTGGTGCGTAGCGGACGGCCGTGACGTCACTCGGCCGAGGTGTTGAGGCGGTCGAGGCCGATGCGGCGGGCACGCTCGTGATCTCGGCGCTCCGACGAGCGCGGCTCGCGGGCGCAGCGGAGCGGGCCAGCCTGGCCTCCACTGACTCGGGCGACGAGGGCGCTGGGCATCGGCCGCCGCGCAAGCGGTCCCGCAGGCTGTCGCCGCCCGCCCGGCCCGCCCGGCCCGCAGACATGCACCAGCCTTGCACCAACGGCGCGCCGCACGTCAACGGCGACGCGCCGCGCAATGGCGACCTGCCGCCTCCTGGCCTGCGCATGACCCAGACCGACCAGGAGATCGTGCGCCTCATAGGGCAGCATCTCATCTCCATTGGACTTGAGTGAGTACCGCTGAGCGATCCCTTTATTGCTTTATCATATCATCAACAGCCAGAAGTATCAACTGTAACTAGATAGTTGGTATGGTACACCACCTCCGGGCTAGGTGGCTACTTTTATCACAGGCCTCTACCTTTGTTTTTCATCTCTTAAATTGGAACACCTCTAGCTGAGTACACAACGAGTTCATATACTATTGTACACATTAACTGCAAGGTGTCAACACATTGTAAGTACAAAGGAAACAATGAAAATGCATTTCTAGAAGTATGATGAATTGTCAAAATGATGGTATGTTTTTGTTGCAAAACAGGAAATGTTTGTTTCATTTTACACAATTTATTTCAACAATCATAGTCTCAAAAGATTTTTAATGATAAATGTATCTATTTTATACACTAATGTGTTCTAATGACGTTTTTATGTGTATTGATAACAACAAGCTCTAAAACAAAAAGTATGATGCACTATTCTGTGCCATGCACATGCCACATTGTGCTTGGTAAACAAAGGACTTGCAACATAAGCCAGTTTTGTGTTTAGTGTTGGCAGTTTCCTTCTTTCCTCACAGTATTGGCATTCCATAGAAGACCTTGATCTGAATCCTCATCCAATGTTGCTTGATGTTAATGTGTTAGTGATTTGATAAAAAAAACATATAACTTGTTTAAAAATGTATGAAGTGTAGATGTTAAACACATGTTCACATTTTCATATTACGTAGATATTGTCTTTAAATTGTGTGTATTTTTTTAACTCTATGTGAGGAAATCTTATTATTTAGCAATGCTAAAACACTATTCAACTTTTGTCTAATTAATTACTTGATTATTACAGAAGGAACAGTTTTTGTATGTGGGGTCAATGCCACAATGATTATCTGTTTACTTTGAACTTGTAGTGTGATATACATATTTCTATTGGAGTTAATCTCCACACACTTGTGTATATATAATACTCTTATTTATGTTTTATATATAAATTTAGCTCTTATGTGCAATATAAGGGTGAAATTCATCAATTGCAGACTTAAGCACAAAAAAAGCATCAACAGCCATTAGTAGTGCCCTGCTGGACATAGGCCTCTCCTTAGAAAGGAAGTTTTGGCCTACCATGCTGGCCAGAGCGGTTCATATACGGTTTTTGTCAAGATTTCCTTCTCTTTGTAGTGCTGTTATCCTGTGTAGTTTGTACAGGATGAATATGGATGAAATTCCTAATCTGTCACTAAATGGTACAAAAATATATAATATGTTTGGGGAATGATCAATGAATTAAAACGTAATAATTTACAATGCATACGTATAGTATATGTATCAGTTTATACCATACCTATACTACCATATCTATATTACCTTATTTTAAATGTATTGGGGGCAATCCAGTACACCTTTCATTTGATGTCTAACATGACTGACACCATTCAAGGTCACCTATAGATGTCCTTGTCTCTCTTGAGTTATAACTTCAGACACAGACCATCCTCTCAGTGCTCCCTATCCAGAGTTTGGGGAGAGGGGGAAGAGGTTCGGTCTCTGGTAACCTCACTCGCTCAGTTAAAAGCAGCATAAGTTAGAATAAACATGGACATATAAGAATATGAGAAAACTTTTGAACATTTTGCATGAATACATTGCATTGACTCTCTAAAGTAGACATTGCATTGAGTTAAATAGGCCTTTCTCTGCAACTCTAGACAACTTTTTTTTTATCATATTTTCGGACATCTGACACACAACGCCATCTAGTTTCAAACTAACTAAGCAGAGCTTGTACTATGAAAGCTAGAATGACTGATAGAATACTTATATACTTTTTTTGTGTGTATGCATACATATTATACATAGAAAATACCCAAACTCCACAACAAATATTTGCAGGTCATACAAACATTTGGTCGGACCCGGGAATCGAACCCGAGACCTCAGCACAGCACTTGCATAAACTACTATTGCGCCATCGAGGCAGTCTGTCATCAATTAAAATGATTCTTTTTTTTCAATTTACAATAGTAATTAATGAGTAATATTAATTATGATTCATTCTTAATACAAGAAAGATGAAATAACCATTAAGTAAATAAAGATTTCCTACATTTTTCTCAGGCTCTCAGTATCAATACTTCAGGTTTTTTAAGGCAATTTTGTTGTAAATGTAAAAAAATCACATATAATGTTTTTTTTTAAATAATTTTTAATTGTTTTAATTTTATAGCTAACATTTAAGTTTTTGTGATGTGCTGCAATGACTAAGATAAAATTTTGTAAAGAGATACTCGTAGTTTATGTGTCAGGACATAGGATAATTTTTATTCCAGAAATCATCCTTTAAAGGGGTGAACACGAGGGTGGCAGTTTGTATGGGGAATCAAAAACCATTCAACCGTTTATTATGAAATTTGTTATGGAATTAGTTTGATTCTTGAGGAAGGACATTGGGTACTTTTATAACCAATACAAAAGCGCGCGGAGCCGCGGGCAAAAGCTGGTGAAGAATAAATGTAATTATTCCTCATTTTCTAAATTGCGTTTCATGTTAATTTCAACTTGATACCTTCATGCATTCTGAAGAAAAACATTAGATCAAAGGGATCCTGTAAGGGTCCCTCACTGTTTGTTCAAAGTATGTGGTTTCTTTTTAATTTCTTGACCATACTTGTGTCATCAAGTAAATCCGAGCCAAGTGGAAATTTGGTTTAATCATTGAATTAATTATTGTTAATACGCATTTCTTTCTGTAAGTTGTTTACTAAATTATGATCATACTAGTTTGGACTCTATCGTGGTCTCTAAAGGTGGCATTGATCAGAAAGATTACGGAAGTCGTACAGTCTTCGTCTTTGAAAGCTTTTTAAAGATACATGTGGTAATGAAGTCGAAGCTGGGTGTCTTTCTTCTTTGATCATAATAATTCTATTACTGTAGGCTACTACTACTGTAATGGAAGATCCTCATGGATGTCCTTCGCCCAATAGGGGAGGGTGAAGGGGTCTGTCGGACTCTTACCGACTAAAAATCACCTCGGTATTCCTCTCCTTGCCAATGGAGCGAGAATCGCAATTGCATTCTTCCGCCACTCCCGACAGGCATTGAACCGTCTCACCATAGACGGGTCTCGTCACCCGTTGCAACCGTCACCCTTCGGTCGCAGTCCTCTAGAAGCGCACATGGAACATTGTGAGTGCCTCTCATCATGCCTGTATCTGTTCGGTATTCGAATTCCCTAAAATCGTCGCTCGCAGGCCACTTCCTAAAATGCCGGAGATCGACGAATGCCCTCAGGCGCCCGGTTCGCCTTCTGTGAGTAGAGATAGTGGTGCTGCGTTCTCTCTTCCGTCCCGCTGCTTCCTTGGAGGAAATCACCTCCTCGCAGAAAGAAGCGACGGCGCCTCATGCCCTCTCGCTCCGGACCATGGACAAAATCAAAATCGGAAGCGAGACGTTACCTGCACAACTGACTGCCGCGATAAGATCACGACGCTGGCTAGCCCAAGCTGGGCATTCCGCCAGCGTGTAAAGCGTCGTGTCGTCACGGCAGTCATCACAATGATGGCACTGTGATGTCTGCCGTTCACATTGCCGTTTGCTAAGTACCTGTGTCCGATTCGACACAGGTACTTGCCAAAGCAACCGTGTCCGGGAAGCACCTTCGTCATCCGGAAGGTGAGAGCTCCGTGTTTCCGTGTTTGCTCGTGTGTCCGAGCTCAGCCACGTGTGCCTATACTTCTCGAGACACTGGGAGCTGTGATACCGTCATCTTATTCAGATCTGTCTCAACCACATTGATCATTAGATTAATTTAGCACAGGCATATTCGTAGTGGAAATGTGATGTGAGCTTGTGTGGTTTTTATTAATTTTTGCCGTTTTTTTTATGTTTGACTTCATTTTCTTTTTTATTCGATCTTTTTTCTTAATCTTGTTTTCTCTTCATTGTCATTTTACCTTTTAGTCTTTAAATGCTGACATACTGGCACACATCGAAACAATATTATGGTATACTTAATAATGCATCTATCTGTTAAGTTAAAAAGGGGCTCATAAGGCTCAACCCCTTGGAAATGGGTGGTTGTAGATCGGCACAGGCATACAATAGATTTTCGATACGAATATATTTATTTTGCTAACTATTGGACAAGACAGAGATTGCTACTATTGTGTATGTTGATTTCAAACAATGTAATATTTTTTTAAAGAAATAAAGATAGTTTCAGTTTGATTGCTCTCGTTTCTCTTAAATACTTGAGTACGCGGCCTCGAGTTTGTCGTTCTCTGCTCGCGCCCAGGACCAGACCACGTATTAGTATCACATTGTATGATTGCTGAGGTCTAATCAAGCTTTGGATCCTGTCCAGAGGGAATGATGGTATCGATTCAAGCGTGCCTGAGGTTACCATTTCTATATGTTTGCCAGTGTTTTTAAGTCCTTAATTGGTTTGATAAGTAGGCTTGTTTTTAAGTCCTTGATTGGTTTGTTAAGTAGGCTTTTACGTCTACAGATAATATGGACCGAGGTTTTGTTTTATCATCAACAGCCTTTACTAGTCCACTGCTGGACAGAGGCCTCTCCTTAGAAACGAGGTTTTGGCCTACTATACTACGCTGGCCAGATAGAGTTTGTTTCAAGTTTTCTTTCTCTTTGCAGAGCTGTTGTCCTGCGTAGTTTACTCCCCCAGTCGGCTCTTACGACACCCACGGGATAGTTAGGGGTTTCGACACTCTGTATTCTTAATCCACCACCCGGATTCGGTGTTGTTTGTTAATAGAGTATTTTTTACGCTGCAACTTGAAGAGGATTTGTGAAATATTTGCAAACCTCAATAATTTCCACACTTGTTGTCAGTTGAATTCTCAGAAATGTAAACAATTACAAAAACTTTGATGATCTACCTTTGAGTGGAAAAAAAACTGTGTACTGTTTAGTTAAAAAAAAACGACAAAAAATATGACTGAATTCATTTTTCACATTCAAGTGCCCAGTTCACAGTAATAGTTGCGTGCATA